AAAGCCCTAAACGGCCTCAGTCCAGTATACCTGAAGGAGCGTCTCCACCCCCATCGTTCAGCCCAGACACTGAGGTCCAGCTCTGAGAGCCTGTGAGAAGCCAAGTTACAGGGAACCAGGCAGAGGGCCTTCTCAGTGGTGGCGCCTGCCCTGTGGAATGCCCTCCCACCAGATGTCAAGGAAATAAACAACTATCTGACTTTTAGAAAACATCTGAAGGCAGCCCTGTTTAGGGAAGCTTTTAATATTTGATTAATTATTGTATTTTAATATTTTGCTGGAAGCCTCCCAGAGTGGCTGGGGAAACCCAGCCAGATGAGTGGGATATAAATAAATTCTTCTTCTTCTTCATGATGGCATCGAAGTCTATGCTCTGGATGCCGGTCGTTTGGGAGAAACTGTAGGGGTCGACTACAAGCTCTTTTTGCAGACTTCCTGGGGGGGTCTGGTTGTGCACCAAGGAAGGCAGATGTCGGACCGCATGGGCCTCTGATCTGAACCAGAAAGGTCATTATTATGTGCTGAATTTGTTAATTCAGAGGAAAAAGAAAAGTAGAAATTTCATGAACTCAAGCTAGGGGCTGGTTTGCCACAGTGGGAAATCATCTTGCGGAACTCCTTGCTCCATGATGTTGCTGCCGCCACTACTCTCAGCATAATTTAACAGCCACAAAATGCAGGTGGCCACCTCTGGATGGCCAACCAGACCCTTTATCATCTTAGTCCCCTCCTCTACACATCTTCCAGCTTGTCAATATCCTTCTTAAAGTGTGGAGCTCAGAACTGGAGTATCCAAATTGAATCAGGGTTTCTCAGCTCTCCTTCAATAATCAATATTTTAAATTTTCCAGTGCTAATATTTTGTAAGGTTTTATGCTGTGTTATCCTCATTTAAGTTCTTTATTTGTAATGCTTGATTACAAGTTCTGCTAAGGAAATATATTTGTTATGTGCCTGAAGACTTATCCTTGAGCTCTAAAGACTCTGTGTGTTGATATGAAGGGTCCGTTGGTAACGGGGTAACGGGGCCGTTGTTACAGAGGGAACTAATGTGAAAAACTTAACTCTCAGTCGCAGTGCGGCAGGGAAACTAGGCAGTGAGTTCCACAGTTTAACTCTGTGCTGTGGGAAGAAGGACTTCCTTCCACCTGTCCTGAGTCTTCCAGCCTTCACCTTCATGGGAAGTCCACCGGATCCGTTGTTATGAGAGAGGTGGGGAAACCTTTTCATAATAATAATAATAATAATAATAATAATAATAATTTATTATTTGTACCCCGCCCATCTGGCTGGGTTTCCCCAGCCACTCTGGGCGGCTTCCACAGAGACCAAAAATACACTAAAATGTCACACATTAAAACCTTCCCTGAACCTTAAGATGTCTTCTGAATGTCAGGTAGTTGTTTATCGCTTTGACATCTGATGGGAGGGTGTTCCACAGGGCGGGCGCCACCACCGAGAAGACCCTCTGCTTGGTTCCCTGTAGCTTTGCTTCTTGCAGTGAGGGAACCACCAGAAGGCCCTCGGCGCTGGACCTCAGTGTCCGGGCAGAATGATGGAGGTGGAGACGCTCCTTCAGGTATACTGGGCCGAGGCCGTTTAGGGCCTTGAATAATTGCATAAACTTCTATAATACTAAGGACTGCAAAGTGGAAATAAATACCCTCTGATGAAAATAGGGACGTCCTATTGCATAATAATAATAATAATAATAATAATAATAATATTTTAATATGATTTTTCTTAAATTTTCTCTTTTACAATTTCAGATAAACATTTTACATACTTAAGATATCAATGATTTCCCATCTTCCCTTTCCATGGTTCATCATACATATCTTATATTCTTGCGTATTTTACCCAAACTATACTAATCAGTTTTCCATTATTACATCCATTGAGTTTATCTTAATGCTGCCAGCGTTTTCCGCTGTACACAATTATTTTCCATATATACAATAAACATTTTCCAATCATCTGCTAATTTTATTATTATTATTATTATTTTAATGATATTTATTGGAATTTCACATGAAAAAACATCTTAATAAAAAAGAAATTTAAAAATAAAAAGAAAAAAAACACACCATACAAAATACAAAAAGAAAAAAGAGAAAACAGTTAAAAACAATTCCGTCTTTTCATCACAACTTTTACATTTCCTTATTTCCCGGACCTCCTCATACCTCCCTCTTTTGTATTCCGATTTAATTTGTTTGTCCAGCAATTCCTTTTCCTCCTTTTTAATCCCATCCTTAATCTTAATATAAAATAACATTGAATTTTAATCTATTAAAAACCAATTTTCCATTTCTTTTGACTTTTTTAGTCCTAATCCTTAATCTTAATCTATCTTTAACTTTAAAGCCTGTACAGCTAGAAGCCACTTAATTTCAATCCAACATCACTCTAACATTCTTTAATTTTGCAATATTTCTGTAAATAGTCTTTGAATTTCTTCCAATCTTCTTCCACCGACTCTTCTCCCTGGTCACGGATTCTGCCAGTCATTTCTGCCAATTCCATATAGTCCATCAGTTTCATCTGCCATTCCTCCAGCGTGGGAAGTTCTTGTGTCTTCCAGTAGTTTGCGATGAGTATTCTTGCTGCTGTTGTTGCATACATAAAGAAAGTTCTATCCTTTTTTAACACCGATTGGCCGACTATGCCCAGGAGAAAGGCCTCTGGTTTCTTCAAGAAGGTATATTTAAATACCTTTTTAATGCATTATATATCATCTCCCAGAAAGCCTTAATCTTTGGGCACGTCCACCAAAGGTGAAAAAATGTACCTTCAGTTTCTTTACATTTCCAACATTTATTATCGGGCAAATGGTAGATTTTTGCAAGCTTGACTGGGGTTATGTACCACCTGTATATCATTTTCATAATATTCTCTCTTAGGGCATTACATGCCGTAAACTTCATACCTGTGGTCCATAACTGTTCCCAGTCAGCGAACATAATGTTGTGTCCAACGTCTTGTGCCCATTTAATCATAGCAGATTTCACCGTTTCATCCTGAGTGTTCCATTTCAGCAGCAAGTTATACATTCTTGACAAATTCTTAGTTTTGGGTTCTAACAGTTCAGTTTCTAATTTTGATTTTTCCACCTGGAAGCCAATTTTCTTGTCTGAATTGAATGCCTCCATTATCTGAAAATAATGAAGCCAGTCTCGCACTTTGTTTTTTAATTTTTCAAAACCCTGCAATTTCAGTCTATCTCCATCTTGTTCCAAAATTTCCCAATATTTTGGCCATTTGACCTCCATATTGAGCTTTTTCAAGGCTTTCGCTTCCATTGGTGACAGCCACCTTGGAGTTTTGTTTTCCAATAAATCCTTGTATCTTATCCAAACATTAAACAGTGCTTTCCTGACAATATGATTTTTAAATGCTTTATGTGCTTTGACCTTATCATACCACAGATATGCATGCCATCCAAATACATTGTTAAAACCTTCTAGGTCCAAAATGTCAGTGTTTTCAAGAAGCAGCCATGATAATTTTATTATTTATACCCCACCCATCTGACTTGATTGCCCCAGCCACTCTGGGCGGCTTCTGACATATAAAAACTTAATAAAACACTAAACATTTTTTAAAAAAACTTCTCTATAGAGGGCTGCCTTCAGATGTCTTCTGAAGGTTGTATAGTTCCTTATTTCCTTGACTTGGGGAGGGGGGAATCGCATAACTCCTTGCCCTCCAACATTTCTCTAATGAAAATAGGCACCTCCCAAGAAAAAAACGGGACATTCTGGGACCAAATCAGCAACCGGGAAAAGCTTCTGTAAATCTGGGATTGTCCCTTGAAAATGGGGAAACTTGGAGGGTCAGGGAATATTTGCCATTTGTTCCTTGGCCCAGGGGCTGCCCAGACGGGGACCAACTAGATGTTGTGACCCCCTATTGAAGAAGGCTGCCTTGAAAGCTTTATTGGGCTGATCTACCAATTAAACCGAGCCAAGCTTGCTGTGCTGATTATACCACCTCTATTGGTCTGTCACCCCCCCAACTGTATTACCTGGGTTATGAAGGCGCCCAAAAGATGTTAAAGCAAAGATTATGGGATAATGCACACAGTGACTTGCAATCTCGATCACACGCAGTCTGTATTCCGCTAGCAGTAGGAGTACAATATGGGCATGTCTTTAAGTTAACATCTTACCTTAAAAACCTGGCAGTACCAAACTACCGAAGGCTTTTCACCAAAGCCAGACTAAACGTCTTTCCTTCTGCAGTGTTGGATGGCAGGTTGAGAGGAGTTCCCTACCAGGACAGACTTTGCTTGTGTGCTCAAGACATCGATTACATAAAACATATTTTGTCGCACTGTGCAAAATATGAGCAAGCCAGGGCAGAACTGATACTACCCTTGCTGGTACCTTTCCCGGGAAAATCAGAGGCTCACTATGTCAGGTTCCTATTGGAAGACCGGACAAACGCTAGAACGTTAGCAGTGGCGAAGTTTTTATCGGTGGTTGCAAGAACCAATGATCTCTATATTCTGAACAAAATGCTTGTTTAACCTGGAGGTAGGCTGCATGATGGGGATGCGGGTGGCACTGTGGGTTAAACCACAGAGCCTAGGGCTTGCCGATCAGAAGGTCGGCGGTTCGAATCCCCGCAACAGGGTGAGCTCCCGTTGCTCGGTCCCTGCTCCTGCCATCCTAGCAGTTCAAAAGTACAAAGTGCAAGTAGATAAATAGGTACCGCTCCGTTGGGAAGGTAAACGACGTTTCCGTGGGCTGCTCTGGTTTCGCCAGAAGCGGCTTAGTCATGCTGGCCACATGACCCGCAAGCTGTACACCAGCTCCCTTGGCCAATAAAGGGAGATGAGCGCCGCAACCCCAGAGTTGGTCACGACTGGACCTAATGGTCAGCGGTCCCTTTACCTTTACCAGTTAAACCGAGCCAAGCTTGCTGTGCTGATTATACGCTTTGCTTTTGGTCTCTTTTCGCCAGCAACCTTTCGTCCATCGCAGTTAGATAAACCGATGGGAGCGACGGCCAGGTTCACCTGTCGCTTGTCGGAGACCGTTCAACATTATTCCCTTAACTGGTACAAACTGGGTGACGACAAGCAACCGAAATTACTGGACCTTGGAAAAAGGAAGTATAGCCCCACCATGCTGAACGCGACGACCTTTGAAATTAAAATCTCGGACTTAGAGTTGAACGATAGCGGGACCTACTTCTGTGGCCTCATCTGCCCCTCGCTGAAGTTGACAGAAAGCAACAGAGCCAACCTCACAGTAACAGGTTTGATACAAGTCGTTCTGGTGCTTTATGGGTGCAAATGGGTGAGAGAGTGGCAAATGCGATTCATTGTCAGCAGGAGCAGAACTGATGTATGTTGGGGAATGCAGAACATTTATTTATTTTTCAAACAAAACTCGTGCACCGCTTCATTGTAGGACGCAAAAACCTCAAAGCGGTTTACGGAAAAAACGATGAAACAATAAAATCACCAGTAAGAAAAATTTGCAACAATAATCTGAGAGTTGAAAGAACTACAGATTAAACCTCAAAGCAACTTTTAAAACTGCTTGGTTGTTGTTGTTTAGTTGTTTAGTCATGTCCAACTGGCTTACCTAAACAAAAATGTTTTTACCGAAAATTGTACCATGGAAATCAATAATCAAGGATTTCCAAAAGGGTAGGTAATACAGTGGTACCTCGGGTTACATACGCTTCAGGTTACAGACTCCGCTAACCCAGAAATAGTGCTTCAGGTTAAGAACTTTGCTTCAGGATGAGAACAGAAATCGTGCTTTGGCTGCGCGGCGGCAGCAGGAGGCCCCATTGACTAAAGTGGTGCTTCAGGTTAAGAACAGTTTCAGGTTAAGAACGGACCTCCGGCATGAATTAAGTACTTAACCTGAGGTACCACTGTACCAAACTAAAAGATTGAGTCATCCTATTTTCCCATGGGGGTCTGAACTGACAGTGTCTGATCAGGAATGAGACCTTGGGGTCATCGTGGATAGCTCAGTGAAGATGTACCTGCAGATTCTTCCTAGCTTCCAAGTAGATTCCAACTGGCTCAATTTATGGGCTTATCCTATATATTACAAATATAGGACATGAAAAGATGGATCATCAACGCGTCAACCTTGGTCATTTTAAAGCACAGACAGGTTGATGGCAAACGGGAGCAATTATTTTAGTGGCCTTGACTTCATGCCTGATCGCAGTCACATAGACTCAGAAGTAAATCATATTACCATTATTGGAACCAAGGCTGCTCCCAGACTGTCCCTGTTATGTGGGTGAGAGTCAGCCCCACACTCTCTGCAATGACTCTTGGAAAAGTGCTAAGCATGATCCTCTTATTCTGGGTTGGCCTTGGGATGGACCCAAAATTTTGGAGCCAGTCAGTGACTTTGCTTTTCTGCTTCAAAACCTCAGAGAAACAACTTGAGGCTGGACTACCGTCGGAGGAGACGAAGCCTGGACTGCCGTCAGAGGAGAGGGAGGATCACGGAGAGATCCTCCTTGCTGTCATCGGAGTTGGGCTGTTTCTGGTGCTCCCAGTTTTGTGTTACTACCTCTTTAACCTCATCCAGAGAAGGCAAGGTGGGCATCTCACCTGGTTGGCCCAATTTCCTCTCTCCCGGGCATCTTATATAAAAGGGGTCGCCAATTCCCAAGAGACTGCGATCTACTCTCAGAGTTAAAGACTGGCAGTGATCTACCCCCTTTTTGGGGGTTTCATGTTAAGAACGGAACTCCAGAATGAATTAAGTCTGTAACTAGCGCTACCACTGTATTAAAAACACGTTAAAACATCAAACATTAAAAACTTCCCTAAACAGGGCTGCCTTCAGATGTCTTCTAAGAGTCAGATAGTTGTTTATTTCCTTGACATCTGATGGGAGGACGTTCTCCAGGGCAGGGGCCACTACTGAGAAGGCCCTCTGCTTGGTTCCCTGTAACCTCACTTCTCGCAATGAGGGAACCGCCAGAAGGCCCTCGGTGCTGGATCTCAGTGTCCAGGCAGAACGGTGGGGGTGGAGACGCTCCTTCAGGTCTACTGGACCGAGGCCGTTTTGGGCTTTAAAGGTCAGCACCAACACTTGGAATTGTGCTCGGAAACATACTGGGAGCCAGTGTAGTTCTTTTAGGACTGGTGTTATATGGTCCTGGCAGCCGTTCCCAGTCACCAGTCTGGCAACCGTATTCTGGATGAGTTGTAGTTTCTGAGTCACCTTTAAAGGTAGCCCCATGCTCAACGCATGAATTCTAACCGCTTGTATCCTTTTGCAGAGGAAGAAAAACTGGAGAATGAAAATGCTCCCTTGGTAAGTTCCCTTTTGCCCGAAGAGCTTCGTTTGCTGTTGGCCCCTTCTGACTCTGGCACTTGGCTGATGCAATTCACACCACATCCTGTTTGGCCCCCAAAGCTCTTTCGTACAGATACGGGCCCAACCAGGCAGCTGTTCTGTTGCACAGGTATTCTGCAACATGTTTTATTTGGACACAGACATTAAAGCACAATGATACCACTTTACATAGTCCTGGCTGCGCACTAAAAGGATTCTGGGAAATGCACTTTGTTAAGGGTGCTGAGAGCTGCTTGTTGTTGTTGTTTAGTTGTGACCCCCTGGACCAGAGCACGCCAGGCACTCCTGTCTTCCACTGCCTCCCGCAGTTTGGTCAAACTCATGCTGGTAGCTTCGAGAACACTGTCCCACCATCTCGTCCTCTGTCGTCCCCTTCTCCTTGCACCCTCCATCTTTCCCAACATTAGGGTCTCTTCCAGGGAGTCTTCTCTTCTCATGAGGTGGCCAAAATATTGGAGCCTCAGCTTCAGGATCTGTCCTTCCAGTGAGGACTCAGGGCTGATTTCCTTAAGAATGGAGAGGTTTGATCTTCTTGCAGCCCATGGGACTCTCAAGAGTCTCCTCCAGCACCATAATTCAAAAGCATCCATTCTTTGGCGATCAGCCTTCTTTATGGTCCAGCTCTCACTTCCATACATCACTCCTGGGAAAACCATAGCTTTCACTATACGGACCTTTGTCGGCAAGGTGATGTCTCTGCTTTTTAAGATGCTGTCTAGGTTTGTCATTGCTTTTCTCCCAAGAAGCAGGCGTCTTTTAATTTCGTGACTGCTGTCACCATCTGCAATGATCATGGAGCCCAAGAAAGTAAAATCTCTCACTGCCTCCATTTCTTCCCCTTCTATTGGCCAGGAGGTGATGGGCCCAGTGGCCATGATCTTCGTTTGTTTGATGTTGAGCTTCAGACCATATTTTGCGCTCTCCTCTTTCACCCTCATTAAGAGGTTCTTTAATTCCTCCTCACTTTCTGCCATCAAGGTTGTGTCATCTGCATATCTGAGGTTGTTGATATTTCTTCGGGCAATCTTAATTCCGGTTTAGGATTCATCCAGCCCAGCCTTTTGCATGATGAATTCTGCATATAAGTTAAATAAGCAGGGAGACAATATACAGCCTTGTCGTATTCCTTTCCCAATTTTGATCCAATCAGTTGTTCCATAGGAGCTGCTAGGAGATCCCTATTCCCCTCTGGGCGCGACGATTCCCACAGCTCCCTGGAATGTGGGATTAATTGTTAAAACCCCTCTGGGAGTTGTAGCTCCATCAGAGGCAAATTTGGGGGAGCACTGGGCGCACTGGCGGAGGAAGAGGGGGCAGGGGAGCATACCACCTCCGGCACCATCAGGGAAGGGGGTACCATCGTGGCTGCCCCCCGACATGCACCTCGCATCCCCCCACCGCGCCGGGCTGCATTCACAAAGTGGGTTTTTTGGGGGGATCAAAGTTGTTGGGCATTTTGGGGAAACATCTCCCCCCCAATTTTTGGGGGGGGCTTTTCAAAGTTTATTTTGTATTTGTTTTAATTACCCTACTTGCCATACACCTGGGGATTTCCTGGACATTTTGCCGATTCAGTGTAAATCTGCCTTGGCACCATTTTCAAGTCCAATTCCGCCCCGATGTATGGCAACCCTAAGTTTATTCCATTTTCCTGATGCTTCCCTACCTGGTAATTTCCACATCATATTTTTTTGAGCTTTCACACGACACAGAAGCCAGTTATGGAAACAGCAGAATATAGCGCAATTTCCCCTGTTACCTGCTTCCAGAAATAAATCTGTTTGCAAATAACACAGGAATGAGTACAAAAATTATAGAAGTGGATTTTACATTGTGCCACATCTCAAATATATGGATCCGTTGTTGCTTTGCAGAGGCGCTGTAGCTAGCAAAAGAGGAGCAAGAAATAAACCAAAACATTTATTATTTAAAAAGCAGGAAGTTTCAGGATATGCACAGATTGGAAATGAAGCAGTCTGACTGCCCTGAAATGTTTGTTCTCAAATGTTTTGGCTCCCGGAAGTGACTGTTCTGGTTTGTGAACGATTTTTGGAAGCCGAACGTCCGATGGGGCTTCCGGGGCTTCTGATTGGCTGCAGGCGCTTCAGCCTGCAGCCAATCAGAAGCCATGCTTTGGTTTCCGAAGGTTTTGGAAGTCGAACGGACTTCCTGAACAGATTCCGTTCAACTTCCAAGGTATGACTGTATCTTCCTGAGATGCTCGTTTTTCTGTGCTTTTAGCCACACAACTTTCCACCGGCAGCTTGCAAGATAAAACGCAGCTAAAACTGCCAAACAGATCCACGTAGAATTATCGTTGTTGAAACACAGATAAAACAAAACAAAAAAGCTTTTCAAACTAATATAAGCAATTAAGTTGTGTGCCTGGGTTGGCCTGCCGAAATAAAAATGTTTTCAGCAGACATTTGAAGCAGTATAGGAGGGGCAGCTGCCTAAGGGGACACCTAGATGCCATCCAGACTAACCCTAGAATCCTATAACAATATTTTTGGGGAACTAGTGCAGAGGATGGGTAGGAATTTTAACCAAGCATTTCACCAGGCCCCCTGCGTCCCTGATCACCCAAGTCCAACTCATTTCTAATACTGAGGTCCGCCTAGGGTGATAGAACACCCCAGAACCAGCTGCAGGTGACAATGGTATGACTCTCCTTATTATACCAATGTCTCTGTACTGTTCCACTTCAGACTCTGCACAGGAGAGGGTTTATCTGTCTGAATGCTTCCGCAAATAAAAAGCTCCTTGCAGGTGTAGTAAACTTTCACATCGGGAGAACGAGAATTTTTCCTCCCTGATATGCTAATTTTCTGCCTGCGGGGTTTTTCCTGTTTATAAGGGGAAGTACCTGCAGACACAGGGACGCGGGTGGCGCTGTGGGTTACACCACAGAGCCTAGGACTTGCCGATCAGAAGGTTGGCGGTTCGAATCCCCGCGATGGGGTGAGCTCCCGTTGTTCGGTCCCTGCTCCTGCCAACCTAGCAGTTTGAAAGCACGTCAAAGTGCAAGTAGAAAAATAGGTACCGCTCTGGCGGAAAGGTAAATGGCATTTCTGTGCGCTGCTCTGGTTCGCCAGAAGCAGCTTAGTCATGCTGGCCACATGACCCAGAAGCTGTACGCCGGCTCCCTCGGCCAGTAAAGCGAGATGAGCACCCCAACCCCAGAGTCGGTCACGACTGGACCTAATGGTCAGGGGTCCCTTTACCTTTACTTTACCTGCAGACGCAGCCGGGGCAATTTGTGAACTCTGCCTATCATTCTTTTCCACATGCTGCAGAACCAGGTGGCAAGAATCCTGAGGTGGCCAAATGGGCAGCCCCACTTCAAACCATAGGAGGGGAATGTGTTCTTTTGTCTACTCACCAGCCAGCAATTTAAAACGCCACGCAAGTAGACAACTAGCGCATCAGGGAGAAACATTCCAGCATGCTTCTTGCGGTACTGGTTTTCTACATGCGGGGAGCTTTTTAAATGCAAGTTGCCCATCTGCCTAGCACCCTCTTTCTGGCAGCACACGGCCAGAGGCCACCGAGAGCTGACAAGCAGTGCATGGAAGGACTATTATTCAGAAATACATTGCCTTTGAATGTGGAGACTCCATTTAATGATCCATGCATTTGTCATATTAAGATCACAGGAAGAGGCTGCTGGATCAGGCCATCTTAAAGCTAGGGGTCAAAGTAAAAAAGACAAATTCTCTTAAGTTTGGTGTGACTTCATTGGTTTTGAAAAAGACATGAACAGGCCTCCTTAAAGGTAAAGAGACCCCTGACCATTAGGTCCAGTTGCAGACAACTCTGGGGTTGCAGCGCTCATCTCACTTTATTGGCCAAGGGAGCTGGCATACAGCTTCCGGGTCATGTGACCAGCATGACTAAGCCGCTTCTGGCGAACCAGAGCAGCGCATGGAAACGCCGTTTACCTTCCCGCCAGAGCGGTACCTATTTATCTACTTGAACTTCGTGCTTTTGAACTGCTAGGTTTGGCAGGAGCTGGGACCGAGCTCACCCCGTCATGGGGATTCAAACCGCCGACCTTCTGATTGGCAAGTCCTAGGCTCTGTGGTTTAACCCACAGCGCCACCCGTGTCCCTCAGGCCTCCTTAGGTGTATATAAATGGACATGGTTAGTCCTTTGAGGCCACCCTAGTTGGTGGCTGTCACTGCAGAAGTGAGTTCCATAGTTTCACTATGTTCCTAGTACTGAGTAGCTTCTTAAAAAACAACAACAAAAAACTGGCATTTTTTGGGGTAAAATCTTTTTTTTATTAAGTTTTACTTTACAAATTTAAATTCAAACATTAAGCCTCATCTTTCAGGATTCCCTGAATGCTTTGACTCCTCTCTGCCCTTCCATGGTTACCATTTTCCATCTTTTTTCAACTGCTTCACTTATTTTCTCTATTTTTCTTATATAGTCCATTTTTACCCTAATTTCTAGTACAGTCATACCTTGGGTTACAGCTGCTTCAGGTTGCGTTTTTCCGAGTTACACACCCGCCGAAACCTGGAAGTACCGGAACGGATTACTTCCGGATTACCCTGAAGTACCGGAACGGATTACTTCCAGATTACTTCCGGGTTTCGGCAGTCGCGCATGCGCAGAAGCATTAAATCACGCTTTGCACATGCGCAGAAGCGCTAAATCGCAACCCACATGTGCGCAGACATGCCGCTGCAGGTTGCGAACGCTGCGGGTTGCAAATGTGCATCCCTCACGGATCATGTTCCCAACCCAAGTGTCCACTGTATACTACAAGCATTATTCAAACCCTGCCAACGTTTTTCGTTGTTTACAGTGTTCTCTAAGATGCGTTGTAAAAAATTCCCCATTGCTTCTTCAAGTTCTTCTCTTCCTGGTTTCTGATTTTCCCAGTCCATTTCGCCATTCTGGTCCATCATCTTCATCAGCCATTCGCCTCTGGTCGGGACTTTAATCTTCTTTCCGTCTCAAAACTGGCCTGTTTTTTAACCCTCCCTCTCTTGCTGTACCTGAAGGAAGAAGGCCCTCCCGCTGTGAGCGTTTTCACCGTGGATTATGGGGTGCTGGAATTCCGGGCAGCGGACAACGCTCAGAGAGCCCCCCAAGAGCGCTTCGCTTCCGACCAGACTGAATATGCCACCATCATCTTCCCCCCGGAAAAGCCGGTCGCTGCCAAAGGAGGCAAAAAGACTAAGAAACCGAAGAACTGCCCCAGCAGAGCGGAGCCACACTGACGGCGCGGAAGCGAAACCTCCCCCTTTTGAACTTTGCATTCTCCCCCATTCCTCAAAGGTCCCGGGACCACATTGCAAGCACTGGGGATTCATTTGCAACGTCAGAACATGCCAGGGCTCAAAGCTGCCTGGAAGCCGTATCTTCTGCACGACAACCCTTGCCACTGCACTGCAGAAGCACACAGCCCACACTGCACATGCTCAGAGGCACTGTTGTCATAGGACCTGTTAACGGAGAAATCTGAGGGCTCCCTTGGACAAAAAACAAGGACAGCAGCCAGTAGGCTTGGTCTTTATTGAAGACTGTCGCGACAGGACTCCCACCTGCCACCAGGTGGAACAAGATGGAAGCCCCAAACAAAAGAGAACCCAAACTTTTATTAGCTGCTAATCCCCATGTTACACCCCCCAAACTACATCACTCATACATCACGGTTACATCATGAAAGGGAAGGACTGTTAGCAGTAATCTGAGCATCCTGGACCCTGCCCCATGGTTCTCCTTGCCCTCCACCAAACACCCATCAAGTGTAACAAAAAAGATATTTACATTTCCCTGTTTCCCAGCCAAGTTCATCCCACCCTTTTGTCTTCATCTGGGTTTGTTCTTTCTGGAATGGCTACCTGTCTGGCACTCAGGTATCAGGATGCCAGGGACTATCACTCAGGCAGAGGGGCTGCTGAGTAGCTGAGCTCAAATGTCTATATGAATTTCTGAAGTTTTCCCAGTGAGCCAGTACATAGATACATTGATCAGTGAATTCTTACATTTGGTATTGTGCAGCAGAGGCCCTTTGAACAGATAGGAAGAAACTGTGATGAAGTGTTTTGTGGGGACAAATCACAAAAGTCACAAAAGTGATTGTGCTGATTTTAGTAGTGGGCTGCATGTGCATGATATCTGATGGAGGGGGACCCCCCCCCCAAATCTATACATAAATTCCTGCAACAGACCGAACCCAGGCTCCTGGGGGAAGCTGGCCTAAATCCTCCGGTGCCAGTCTTGACTCGTAGTGACTCGCCAGAGCCTCACGCTGAGAAGTGGGTGCTCTGCTGACTCAATCTTACTAAGTCATCCACTTCCTGGGGAAATGTGCGTCTCTTTTGATGACACGGAGATTTCCAAAGCCTGCAGCAAACCCATTTCTGGTCTGTCGCTGATTCGTTTCGGAAGTCTGCCCTCAGCCTGCCCAGGTGGAAAAAGCGACTGGCAACTTTCCGACAGAGCTGGGACTTGTGTGCATAGAATCCGATAACCTAGCAGAGCTGGAAGGGACCCTTGGGTCACCAACCCCCTGCAATGCAGGAATTGCCATTAAATCTGGTGCTAAGCATGGCCGTTGGGCGCACAATTCCTGGTGCTTTCATTTACCTGGGGGTCCTGGGAAGACCCCCGTCCCTCTGCCCAGCGCAGGGTGGGGAGGAGGTTAAATGAAAGAGGTAAGGGGATGGGGGGAGAGGCTGGAGCATAGAGAGAGGGAGCCACTAGACTAGGACCTGGGAGAGACCAGGGTTCGAATCCTCCACTTGGCCATGAAGCTCACTGGGTGACCTTGGGACAGTCACTGCCTCTTGGCCTTAACCTACCTCACAGGGTTGTTGTGGCGATTAAATTCGGAGCGGGGGAGCCATGTATGCCACTTTGAGCTCCTTGGAAGAGGGGGGAAAAAAAGGTTATAAATGCAAGCAGTCAATCAATCAATCAATCAATCAATCAATCAATCATTCTCTGGCTGTGACACTTGGTTTGATACTGGGAACCTCTTTCCCTCCTGAAAGAGCCCGACCATTATTTCTAAAAGTGTAGAAAACTATTTTGTCAATATAAGGGTTGGGTTTTTTGTGTGTGGTGGTGGGGTATTCTGATTGCTGCTGAATACTGCATCATGGGATGTTTTCATGGTCTTAGGTGTTCATTTTGTACTGTTTTCAAACCTCCTCCTCCTCCTGTTTTAATGCTATTTTCAGCTATTTTTAACTCTATGCTTGTAAATCCCCTTGATTCGCATGCAAACGGCGATTCTTAATAAAAAAAATCCTTCCAGTAGCACCTTAGAGACCAACTAAGTTTGTTCTTGGTATGAGCTTTTGTGTGCATGCACACTTCTTCAGATACTTAAATCATCATCATCATCTATAGGCCTTTTAAATGGAATTGTTATAGGACTCTATCTGCACATATATAAAATACATGTATATATTGTATCAGCTGCTTTGGAGGCAGGATGTAAATTTCTATCAATAAATCGGTGAGATCCCTATAGCTGTTTCAGCGCCTGATAACTTGCCAAAGTTCTTCCCACCTTGCATTTTCCGTCCTTTAGAAGTGTTCCATGTTTTGCATGTGGGAAATTTATATTTATTTTGGGTAATTTCTCACTGGGTTCGTTGAGCGGGATGTGACTGTGAGATTGCTCTTGCAACAGCTCAGGGCGAGGTTGTATCACACTGCGCCCGGCGGGCTGTTGTGATGCTATTCACACTTACGCAGAAACTGTGACTTGTGTTGTTCAGATTTCCCACTCTGCTGCCGTTGCAAGCTCTGAGAACCAAAGTGCTGCTGCTCATGCGGTCTGAGGTCCACGCTGCGCCACCAAGCGCAAGGCGAACTCTGCACGTGGCAATGCCGACCTGTTGCATCATGTGCATACAAATGTCAGGCCAGCAGCAAGTGGGGAAGAGCATGAAAAGTTTCCGGGCTAGGAAACTATGCCGTGGGACGGCTGTTGTCATAAATGTATTAAGAGCAGGAAGGTGGTAGAATCACTGGGGTTTTAAAGTAGAGGTTGGATGGCCATCTGTCATGGATGCTTTAGCTGAGATTCCCAATGCATTGCAGGGGGCTGGACTAGATCAGGGGTAGGCAACCTAAGGCCTGTGGGCCGGATCCGGCCCAATCGCCTTCTAAATCCGACCCACGGACGGTCCGGGAATCAGCGTGTTTTTGCATGAGTAGAATGTGTCCTTTTTATTTAAAATGCATCTCTGGGCTATTTGTGGGGCATAGGAATGTGTTCATTTCCCCCCTTGAAAATATAGTCCGGCCCCCCACAAGGTCTGAGGGACAGTGGACCGGACCCCTGCTGAAAAAGTTTGTTGTCTCCTGGACTAGATGATTATCATGGTCCCTTCCATCTCTACAATTCTATGATCCTGTGAAATATATTGGAATAATAATAATAATAATAATAATAATAATAATAATAACAACAACAATAATAATAATGGCCAAGACCATATAACACCAGTCCTGAAAGACCTACACTGGTTCCCAGTACGTTTCCGAGCACAATTCAAAGGGTTGGTGCTGACCTTTAAAGCCCTAAATGGCCTTGGCCCTGTATACCTGAAGGAGCGTCTCCACCCCCAGCATTCTGCCCGGACACTGAGGTCCAGCTCTGAGGGCCTTCTGGCGGTTACAGGGAACCAGGCAGAGGGCCTTCTTGGTGGTGGCACCCACCCTGTGGAATGCTCTGCCATCAGATGTCAAGGAAATAAACTGACTTTTAGAAGACTTTTAGAACTTTGACTTTTAGAAGACATCTGAAGGCAGCCCTGTTTAGGGTAGTTTTTAATGTTTGATGTTTTATCGTGTTCTTAATATTCTGTTGGGAGCTGCCCAGAGTGGCTGGGAAAACCAGCCAGATGGGCAGGGTATAAGTAATATAGTATTATTTATTATTACTCTGCCCTTCTGGCTGGGTTTCCAGATGGAGCAAACTTGTTTTCCGATGTTCCAGATGGCAGACCCCAATCCGGTGGATTTAAATGACAAGAAAGGAGAATTTGACTAGCATCAAGAAGAACTTTATGAGGTTAAGAGCTGTACCTTCCAACTCTACAATTCTATGTATGACAGCTGCTTCCCAACAACCTCTCTCTGGAAGGGGCTCTGTTTCTCCTGCCGCTTTGCTGAAGGGGCGCTGCGCAGAGAGGGAGAGAATATATTTTTTCTTGTTCTCCTCCTCTAAAACTAGGTGCGTCTTATGGTCGGGTGCGTCTTATAGAGCGAAAAATATGGTACCCCCCATAGTCTATCACTGACTAGAATCTCCAGCCCATATCTCAGAACCCGTTGAAATAATACAAAGGAGAAAGATAGATAGGTAGATAAAAGCAAATGCTTAAACTTCCTTCATTGTGAACATGAGCATGTGAGGAGATTTCACCCCTCCCATATCCAAGAATCTCCTGAGGAGTCTGCTGATTCTCCAGAGAGGAGGAGGCGTGTTCTGCTCTCTACTTATTCTGCTCCAGCACCAAATCAGTCAGTCAGTCAGTGTCGGGGAGAGAGAGAGAGACTGAGTGTTAGAGATCATATGTAGAGATAAGGTTGCTGCTAAGAGCAGCTGCAGACACTCAGTGCAGTGAGGCATTCATTTATGCTTAGACCTATTTAGCTCTGTATATAGTTGTATAATAGTTGTAGATAGAATAAAGAAGATATTCTACAGAGCTGCTCTCCGAGTTGTTTATATACCCTGCTGTACTCTGCTGTGCGACGACTGTCTTCTTGTGGAAGTGAATCCGGTGCTCACATCTCTAAGCTGTGAGTCCACAGCACTTTGACCCTGTCCCTGTGCAGAAGGTGGTCTCTGGAAGTGCTACCCAGCTCGCCTAGCCCAGTCGGGGCTGAAGTGGATGAGTCCAGTTGGTGGCACTGGCTTAAGGACGATGCTGACAGCATGAATCTGCTGGTTTGCTGCCAGGACACGTTCAAGGCACTTGTGGTGATTCACAAAGTCCTAAACAACTTGGGGACACAGTAGTTTAAGGACCTGACTCCTTATGCTCTACCTCAATCTCCAAGAACTTCTGCACCCATCAGGTTCAGCTGAACTTCACTGGGGCTGAGGCCCTGCCCTATAGGATTTGCTACCAGCAGAATCATAGAACTATAGAATTGTAGAGTTGGTCCAACACCTACAATGCAGGAATCTTTTTGACCAGCATGGGGCTCAAACCCAGTACCCTGAGATTGATAGTCTGAGCTATCGATCCTTCAGCAGTAACCACCCAGGCCTGCTTTCAGCTAACTTCTGAAAACTGTACTACTGTTTGGACAGGGCGCTGCAATATGAATTACCCCTTTTACCCAATCAGTACTAATGTAAAAAAAGAGAAAGAAGCATAAAGCCCCTGTGAAATATACTCAGTGGATTTCATGCTCTTTATTCAGCTCATAGTGGTGAGGAGGAATTGAAGTTCCCCCAAAGTATCTGCTTTATATACATTATTGACACAATGGGCCCCACGTGATTGGCTAATTCCGGGATTCTCCTGTAGGCCAATCAGGTTGTGGATTCACTTCCATCTGGAGCTGGATTGGGTGGCTCCTGCAGACCAATCAGACTGCTGCATTCTGAATCCTATTGTTCTAGGACCAATCAGACTGCTGCATTTTGGATCCTATTCAACTCAGTACATAACACCCAGCCTTTACATGTCACCAGATTCAGGTCCTATACTTGCTTACTTACCTGCCCACCTGTCCTGCAGCCTTTCAGTCTTTCCCACCCCCTGAAAGGTGTCCTTTCGCAGCCTCCTGAGTGTGCAACCGAACAATTCTAGAGGCAGGCGCAACTGTGGCAGCAGAAAAATGCTGACTTGAAAAAAGGCCTCTGCGCTGCTTCTCAGAACTGTGAACCGCCCCATGCAGGCAAACCTCAGTCGCCGGGAGCTGCGAGAGCAGACAAACCACCTGTCTCTCTTGGGATGGGCATGACTAGGTGTCGCTGTGACGCCCAATAAGCATCCGAGGTATTGGTGGTCGGAAGTGGGGTTGTTCTGTTACACCGCAGGAAATTGCGCGCATTTCCTGCAAAGGGGTGAAGTGTGGCTGCTGGTGTATCATTGAGCAAGGAGAGCCTGTGCATGCAAATGTGGCCTTGTGTGGGTTTTGAGTGGGTGTGGAAATGAGATTCCTTGTGGGTCAGACAACGTGCTTTGCTTTTAGAAAGCAAGAAGGCATTGGAAGGTGAATTGTACTTTCTGGCTCCAATTCAAGGGGAATCATTTCTGGCTCCAATCCTGGCTCCAATTCAAGGGGAATTTCTGGCTCTAATTCAAGGGGAATCATAGAATCGTAGACTTAGAAGGGGCCACGAGAGTCATCTAGTCCAGCCTGCTGCAATGCAGGAATCTCAATTAAAGCAACCAGGACAGGAGGCCATCTAACCTCTGCTTAAAAAGCTCCGAGGAAGGAGAGTCCTCCACCTGAATATAATTCTCTGGACACATTCTCCAGACTTGTAAGGGTTTGGGGAGCAGGGATTCAAGCACATAACCCGGACATTTGGGTTTGCACAATTAAAGTGGAGTAAAGTTCTCTATCTCCCTAGAGCAACAAAAGCACTTTTTAATAGAAAGGAGTATAAAAACATAAAAAGAGCCTGCTGAATCGGGAAAATGGGTGACCGTCTAGTCCAGGATCCTGTTCTCACAGTTGTCAACCAGGTGTCCCAGTGAGAAACCAGGGGACTCTCCTCTCCTGCAGTTTCCATAAGAATAAGAATAAGAATAAGAATAAGAATAAGAATAATTTATAATTTATACCCCGCCCATCTGGCTGGGTTTCCCCAGCCACTCTCGGCGGCTTCCAACAGAACACTAAAATACAATAACCTATTAAACATTAAAAGCTTCCCTAAACAGGGCTGCCTTCAGATGTCATCTAAAAGTCTGGTAGTTGTTGTTCTCTTTGACATCTGGTGGGAGGGCGTTCCACAGGGTGGGTGCCACCACCAAGAAGGCCCTCTGCCTGGTTCCCTGTAACTTCGCTTCTCGCAGTGAGGGAACCGCCAGAAGGCCCCTGGAGCTGGACCTCAGTGTCTGGGCAGAACGATGGAGGTGGAGACGCTCCTTCAGGTATACTGGACCGAGGCCGTTTAGGGCTTTAAAGGTCAGCACCTTTAAATTGTGCTTGGAAACGTACTGGGAGCCAATGTAGGTCTTTCAAGATTGGTGTTATGTGTTCTCGGCGGCTGCTCCCAGTCACCAGTCTAGCTGCTGCATTCTGGATTAGTTGTAGTTTCTGGGTCACCTTCAAAGGTAGCCCCATGTAGAGCGCATTGCAGTAGTCCAAGCGAGAGATAACTAGAGCATGCACCACTCTGGCGACACAGTCTGTGGGTAGAATGGGTCTCATCCTGCGTACCAAATGGAGCTGATAAACAGCTGCCCTGGACACAGAATTGACCTGCGCCTCCATGGACAGCTGTGAGTCCAAAATGGCTCCCAGGCTGTGCACCTGGTCCTTCAGGGGCACAGTTGCCCCATTCAGGACCAGGGAGTCCTCCACATCTGCCCGCCCCCTGTCCCCCAAAAACAGTACTTCTGTCTTGTCAGGATTCAACCTCAATACAGATACTGGTATCCCAAAGCATTACTTTCTTCAGCCGTCACAGCTTTTAAAACACAATAACAAGGAAGAATTGAAACCACCAGTGACATACTGCTTGATAATTTTGGGGGAAAAGATCAAGGCAGTTAACAAACAGTAAGTGTAATGTCCATTGGAGTTATTAGCTAAAACACAAAACAGTATACAAAGAACTTAGAAATGTTATCTTGGCCACTACAGAAGTACCCTACGTACCACTGTATTGCAAGTAAACTAAACAGGGAATAAAAGCTATTGTTGGCTATCCATGCCACCTGGAAACTACAGGAGTTGCGTGCCAAGGCACCTGAGCCACAAAGTTCCTAGGAGAACAATAAAACACACTGACAGAAAGTATTTCGGTTTATGGGTTGAAATAGGACACAATTTAATTGATTGCAGATGTGAGTGGTTTGTCTTAGGCTATATCTTGACTCCTGCCCATCTGCAGGGAGTCCACAGAAGGGCAAACCACCAATAGGGGGTGCCCTGTGACTTGTATGAGATAGTGGCACCACCCTGAGGGGTCCCAGTAGGGGCTGTGACATGGCCCTAGCCCACGTCCAGGCTTCGGACAGTATTCACACCCCAGATCCCTTTAACATGATACCCTTACTGAGGAGGGGCAGGAGAAGGCAATAACCTCCCCTCCAGCCAACCAAAGGCTTACCCAATGCAATGCCTCCCACCAATAAAGAGGTGAGTGGACTTGTCCCAAATTCCTCGCAGTTGACTTTGAACCTCTGGTGTTGTTAACTCTTGGCTGAGTTTCGTTTCACAAACGGTCAGCTTGTGAGAGTGAGGAAAGCAAAGCAGGGAATCACAAACGGCACCCACCTTCGCACTGCATCCCATTCTGGCCTCTGCAAAAAAGACCACAATCACCTTTGTCATTAAGCAACCCCGATCGGAAAAGAAGCATGAAAAGGCTCACGGTGGATTTTTGGAGACGGGTTTTTAAGAAGCAGATGAATGAGGTGAAGCCAAATGATCTCTGGAGGCTGACAATGGATCTGAGGCTTGACTTCCACAGTGTGGAACCCGGATGGACAGAAACATTTCAGGAGCATGCTCATGGAAGGTAAAAAACAAACAAACAAAGCTTCTACCAGATAGCTAATATTTTTGTAATGCGCAGGAACATAGAGACCTGCCTTTTCCTGATTCAGAGCATTGGCTCATCTAGCACTCTGCTCTCTCCCCTGGCCGGCTGCGGTTCTCCAGGGTTCCATGTAGGGTTCTCTCTTGGCCCTAAATGGAATCGTGGAATACTAGAGTTGGAAGGGACCCCAAGTCATCTAGTCCAATCCCCTGCAATGCCATTGGGGATTGAAAGTGGGACATTCTGTGTGCGGACTCTCTTCTCCTGATCTACGTCTAATCCCATATTGTGCTCCAGCACACCTGCAGAGTGAGCCCAGCTGGGAGTTTATTGTGGAATTGATAGTGCTTATGCACACAGGGTACGATGTCAACATCTTCAAAATTCTAAGATATCTCTATCTATCATCTATCTATCTATCTATCTATCTATCTATCTATCTATCTATCTATCTCTATCTATCTATCATCTATCTATCTATCATCTATCTATCATCTATCTATTCTCTCTCTCTCTCTCTCTCTCTCTCTCTCTCTCTCTCAATTTCCTCTTCCCATGGAAAATCCATTAAGTAGAAATAACCCGTTATAATCCGCTGTGGAAGGTCATTACCTCATGGAGGGGCAGTTTGTCTCATGTGATATGATATTTTGGTGGATGTTCTCTCTATCACAACACCTTTGCTCTCTTTTCCTTCTCACCTGATATCAGGTGCCCCACTTGTGGGGCAAGTGGGTATGGCTGGGGAAGAACCACTGGGAGGGGGAGTCACTGAGTACTTTAAAACCATTGTTCTCTATGGGCAATTAGCTGCAGGTTACAATGTACAAAAAGCAAAGTCCACGCTTCAGGAGATCATCAACAGAAGTACCAAATTCTGCTTGCTCCCTGCCCCCCCCATCTCTCTCCCTGCTAGATTTACCTGTTCCGGATGCCTCCACAGCTGGTCCTCGCACCAAGTTCTTATCCTGTTCCACATGCAATGGGACAGTTCTGAGAGGCAAGGACACGTCAGGATGAAGCCCTTGGGTCAACGGTGCCACGAATGCTCTCTGGACACGTACAAAGAGCCACGGTTCTCCGAGGACGACGTTGCCGACATCTTGAAGGAGTTGATCCTCGATATCAGGGAGAATTGCTATGGGGAGCAGGTTGACCGCAGTCAGCTCTCTAGGGTGGTCTGTCACGAGGGTGGTCCACATAAGCGCGAATTTTGTGAAGGGTGCCAGCTGGGAATCCACAAAGGGCAACAAGGGCGGTCGAAGCAAGCAGAGCACCGCGGGAAACCCCAAAGCACAGGGTATCCGGCGACCATTATACAGATAGAAACACCAAGTCCATCATTCCTGGGGTCCTCAGCCCCATCATTCGCAGGGTCCTCAGCCCCATCATTCGCAAGGTCCTCAGCACCATCATTCACAGGGTCCTCAGTCCCTATACAGAATTGCAATTGTTGCCTATGTTTTATAATTATAATTATAATTATAATTTTCATTGTCTGGTACTGGGGATAGCAGAGCAGGCGGTATATTTAAACTGCAATGGAAATTCCGCCACCCACCCCTTGCTGGCTTGGCCTGCCGTGACTTTATAAGCCCTGCCGCCTCCTGTACAAAAGCTGCTGAATGTCTGCAAAGGCTTTTCTGTATTCTGAAACTATTACACCAGTGGCAAATTGTGACGGATCAGAACAGCTCTGGTGTAAGATTCACCTTTTCTTCCCTTTTATTTCTTTGCTACTCGAATAGAATGTTGTTCAATCAATCAATTGACCGTTGTGTGATCAGCTGCTCATTAGAGGCAAATCAGAACACAGTTTTATAGTAGTTAAAACACAGCAAACCAAGAGTCATAAAACATTTCCGTACTACAAAAGGCTTAACCTTTGAATTTCAGCAGATTCAAGGGTTTTCCTTCATGTGTTGACCAGTGACCATCAACATCTTTGTACGTCTTAACAACTCTCTCTCCCCTCCCCCTGTCCCGACGATTCCCTGGTCTGGCAGACAAGCTTAAACTGCATTTTTAAAAACACCGCAACACTGTCTCTCCCCAGGTGAAGACTTCGAGCATTTAGTAATTCCTAACATGTACTAACTCTAACTATGGTTGTCCCAAAACTGTACAGCATTGTACAGATTGGACAATGGACAGATGGCCATCCAACCTCTGCTTAAAAACCTCCAAGGAAGGAGAGTCCACCCCCTGAATATAATTTTCTGGACACATTCTCCAGACTTGTAAGGGTTTGGGGAGCAGGGATTCAAGCACATAACCAGGACATTTAGGTAAAGGTAAAGGGACCCCTGACCGTTAGGTCCAGTCGCGGACGACTCTGGGGTTGCGGCGCTCATCTCGCTTTACTGGCCAAGGGAGCCGGCATACAGCTTCCAGGTCATGTGGCCAGCATGACTAAGCTGCTTCTGGCGAACCAGAGCAGTGCACGGAAATGCCCTTTACCTTCCCGCTAGAGCAGTACCTATTTATCTACTTGCACTTTGATGTGCTTTTGAACTGCTAGGTTGGCAGGAGCAGGGACCGAGCAACAGGAGCTCACTCCGTCGCGGGGATTCGAACCACCGACCTTCTGATTGGCAAGCCCTAGGCTCTGTGGTTTAACCCACAGCGCCACCTGTGTCCCAACCAGGACGTTTAGTTTTGTGCAATTAAAATGGAGCAAGGTTCTCTGTGTCCCCAGGGCAACAAAAGCACATTTTAAAAGAAAGAAGTGTAAAAACATAAAAAAGAGCGTGCTGGATTGGGAAAATGGGTAACCCTCTAGCCCAGGATCCTGTTCTCACAGTAGTCAACCAGGTGCCCCAATGCGAAACTAGGAAGCAGGAGTTGAGCTTCCCAGGGAACTCTCCTCTCCTGCAGTTTCCAGGTATACAGTGGTACCTCGGGTTAAGAACTTAATTCGTTCCGGAGGTCCGTTCTTAACCTGAAACTGTTCTTAAATTGAGATACCACTTTAGCTAATGGGGCCTCCTGCTTCCGCCGCACTGCCGAAGCACAATTTCTGTTCTCATCCTGAAGCAAAGTTCTTAACCTGAGGTACTATTTCTGGGTTAGCGGAGTCTGTAACCTGAAGCGTCTGTAACCTGAAGCCTCTGTAACCCAAGGTACAACTGTACTGGTATCTGAAAGCATTACTTTCTTCAACCACCACAGCTTTTAAAACACAATAACAAGAAAGAATTGAAATCACCAGTGACATAAAGGCAAAGGGACCCCTGACCATTAGGTCCAGTCGTGGCCAACTCTGGGGTTGAGGTGCTCATCTCGCTTTATTGGCCGAGGGAGCCGGCATACAGCTTCTGGGTCATGTGGCCAGCATGACTAAGCGACTAAGCATGACTGGCGAACCAGAGCAGCGCACGGAAACGCCGTTTACCTTCCCACCGGAGCGGTACCTATTTCTCTACTTGCACTTTGACGTGCTTTTAAACTGCTAGGTGGGCAGGAGCAGGGACTGAGAAACGGGAGCTCACCCCGTCGTGGGGATTCGAACCGCGGACCTTCTGATCGGCAAGCCCTAGACTCTGTGGTTTAACCCAGAGCGCCACCCGCGTCCAGTGACATACTGCTTGATAATTCTGGGAGGAAGGATCAAGGCAGTTAACAAACAGCAAGTGTAATGTTCATTGGAGCTATTAGCTAAAACACAAAATAATATACAAAGAAGCTTAGAAATGTTACCTTGGCCACTATGGAAGTACGCTATATAGTATTGTATTGCAAGTAAACTAAACAGGTAATAAAAGCTATTGTTGGCTATGCATGCCACCTGGAAACTACAGAAAGAGTTGTCCCAAAGTCCTCACAGTTGACTTTGAACCTCTGGTGTTGTTAACTCTTGGCTGAGTTTCGTTTCGCAAACGTACGGACCGGTCAGCTTGTGAGGGTGAGGAAAGCAAAGCAGGGAATCACAAACCGCACCCACCTTCTCACTGCATCCCATTCCGGCCTCTGCAAAAAAGACCACAATCACCTTTGTCATTAAGCAACCCCGATCGGAAAAGAAAAATGAATAGGCTCACGATGGATTTTTGGAGACGGGTTTTTAAGAAGCAGATGAATGAGGTGAAGCCAAATGATCTCTGGAGGCTGACAAAGGATCGCAGGATTGAATTCCACAGGGTGGAACCTGGGTGGATGGAAACATTTCAGGAGCATGCTCATGGAAGGTAAAACAAAACAAAAAAGCTTCTTTGTTGTTGTTGTTTAGTCGTTTAGTCGTGTCCGACTCTTCGTGACCCCCTGGACCAGAGCACACCAGGCACTTCTGTCTTCCACTGCCTCCCGCAGTTTGGTCAAACTCATGCTGGTAGCTTCGAGAACACTGTCCCACCATCTCGTCCTCTGTCGTCCCCTTCTCCTTGTGCCCTCCATCTTTCCCAACAACAGGGTCTTTTCCAGGGAGTCTTCTCTTCTCATGAGTCTTGGAACCTCAGCTTCAGGATCTGTCCTTCCAGTGAGCACTCAGGGCTGATTTCCTTCAGAATGGAGAGGTTTGATCTTCTTGCAGTCCATGGGACTCTCAAGAGTCTCCTCCAGCACCATAATTCAAAACATCAATTCTTTTGATCAGCCTTCTTTATGGTCCAGCTCTCACTTCCATACATCACTACTGGGAAAACCAGAGCTTTTAGTATACGGACCTTTGTTGGCAAGGTGATGTCTCTACTTTTTTTTTGCTGTCTAAAAAAAAAAACACACACACAAAAAGCTTCTACCCGATAGCTAATATTTTTGTAATGAGCCGGAACATTGAGAGCTGCCTTTTCCTGAATCATAGCATTGGTCCATCTAGAACTGTGCTGTATCCCCTGACTGGCTGTGGTTCTCCAGGGTTCCGTGTAGGGTTCTCCTGAGGTCCACTCTTCAGGAGAGCCTCAATAAAAGTACCAAATTCTGCTTGCTCCCCCTCCCATCATCTCCCCCTCTCTCCCTGCTAGATTTACCTGTTCTGGATGCTGGCACAGCTGGTCCTCATACCAAGTTCTTATCCTGTTCCACATGCAATGGGACAATTCTGAGAGGCAAGGACACGTCAAGATGAAGCCCTTGGGTCAGCGGTGCCACGAATGCTCTCTGGACACGTACGAAGAGCCACGGTTCTCCGAGGACGACGTTGCCGACATCTTGAAGGAGTTGATCCTCGATATCAGGGAGAGTTGCTATGGGGAGCAGGTTGACCGCAGTCAGCTCTCTAGGGTGGTCTCTCACGAGGGTGGTCCGCATAAGCGCGAGTTTTGTGAAGGGTGCCAGCTGGGAATCCACAAAGGGCAACAAGGGCGGTCGAAGCAAGCAGAGCACCGCGGGAAACCCCAAAGCACAGGGTATCTGGCGACCATTATACAGATAGAAACACCAAGTCCATCTTTTACAGGATCCTCAACCCCATCATTCACAGGGTCATCAGCACCATCATTCACAAGGCCCTTAGCACCATCATTCACAGGGTCTTCAGCCCCATCATTCCCCTGGTCTTCAGCCCCATCATTCCCACGGCCCTCAGCCCCGTCAATCTCAGGGTCTTCAGCCCCATCATTCCCCTGGTCCTCAGCCCCATCATTCCCAAGGCCCTCAGCCCCGTCAATCTCAGGGTCTTTACCCCCATCATCCACAGGGTCTTTAGCCCCATCCTCCACAGGGTCCTTGGCCCCATCCTCCACAGGGTCCTCAGCCCCAACACAGGGTTGCAATTACTGTCTTTGGTCTGTAATTCTAATTATAGCAGTATTTATAATTTCAATTATAATTTTCATTGCCTATATACTTTCTCTCATTACCTAACTGGTTCCGTTGATAGCAGAGCAGGCAGGGAATTTAAACTGCAATGCAAATTCAGGCACCCACCCCTGCTGGCTTGGCCTGCCGTGACTTTAGAAGCCCTGCCGCCTCCTGTACAAAAGCTGCCGAATGTCTGAATATGCCTTTCTGTATTCTGAAACTATTACACCAGTGGCAAATTGTGACGGTGTAAGAGTTGCCTTTTCTTCCCTTTTCTTTCTTTGCTACTCGAACAGAATGTCGTTCAATCAATCAATCAATCAATCAATCAAGTATACCGTTGTGTGATCAGCTGCTAGTTGTGTGATCAGCAAATCAGAACACAGCTTTTATAGTAGTTCAAACAAAGATTCATAAAACATCTGAACATTCTTAAAACATAAACACCCTTCTACATACATCAGGAAAGGTTACAGGTCATAAGAAGTAACTGAACTGCTGGTTTCGCAAGGCTGTGCTATTGCAATGATTTTAATAAATGCTTTGTCCCTCCTGGATACGGGACTTGAATTCGCTTCCGTGGTTTATTTAGCAGGTGGTCCCTCACCTGGGGAATGAACAAGTTGATATAGAAGTGAATTCTTTTGCAGGTGGAGTGGATGGCCACCCCCCAATTTTTTTTAAATGGCCACCCACGTAATACAGTGTCCGACAGATAGAATGTGAACAGGTGAACTTTCCCCATAATTCCATTTCCATACTAGAAAAGGCTTAACCTTTGAATTTCAGCAAATTCAAAGGTCTTCCTTCATGTGTTGACCATCAACATCTTTGTACGTCTTAACAGCTCTCTACCCCTCCCACCCTCCCGTCCGACGATGCCCTGGTCTGGCAGACAAGCTTAAACTGCATATTTTTATTTTACACTGCGACACTGTCTCCCCCCCCAAGTGAAGACTTCAAGCATTTAGTAATTCCTAACATTTACTAACTCTAACTATGGGTGCCCCAAAACTGTATACCATTGTACTGCAAGTTAACTATCCAGTGAATTATTAAGGAGTTCCTGATTTCTACCTTCTAAGCCTCTTTGCAAAGTTTTCCCATGTTGCATTTGCCATTTGGTTGGGGGGCAGCAATGGCAAACTTGTTTTTGTTTTAAGATTTTAAAATAAGAACATATTTTGTTTTAATGGGGCTGCATATCTCTGCTACCATCTGATTTTATTATTCATTACCTGTTTGATCTTAAAAAGAGAGGTCTGTTGTTATTTCTTTCTGAGGTATTACTTGTTCCTGGAAATTTTAAGACATTGAAGGATTGGGTAGGAGAAAACTGTTTCAAATGAATAAAATAAATTGCAAAAGAAAAAAACCCTCTCGGATCCTGTGTATTTGTTATGGATACTTCCAAAATACCTAATGATAATGATAGTAGTGCTAGCAATGGGAGTCAAATAGGTAACTCCCCTCTCCCCAGCAAAAAGGGTTTGTGCAACAGGATTTATTTATTTCATAAAATTTATAATCTGCTTGATTGGAAAAAAAAGGTTGATAGGGGTTTACAAAAAGAATAAAGCAATGAAATTATCAATAAGCGAAATTAACAACAATAATTTAAGACTTTTGAAAAATTAAAATAGCAATAGACTAAAACCAGATTAAAACTTGCATAAACGTTCTAAACATCTGGGTAGGCTTATCTAAACAAAATTAGCTTTCTTTTTTGCAGATTTGGAACACAGGACATTTAACTACTTATGGAAATAATCAATATATATATAGAAATTCTATAGAAATAGAGTTGACCTGAGGAATAATAATAACAGCATAATGAGATTGCGATTGAATTAAATTGGTCGTTGGGGTCCCTCGAGCCCCATAACTGTGACTGGGAAGAAAAGAGAGGAAAAAACAAAGGAAGGCATGTTAGCACGTAAGAAAAATTCCAAAGTCCATATTAGGGCAATACCTTTATCAGGCTAATGCCCCACCCCAAAGTTGTTGGTTTTTTTTTTTAAAAATGTGCAAGCTTTAGAGTTCTTCAGAATTCTCCATCTAGCCTGATGAAGAGTTCTGAAGAACTCAAAAGCTTTCATACTATTTTCTAGCCCAGGCATGCCCTGTGTTAGCCGATGGTCATGAACTCAGCTGCCACCTTTGTGAATGGGAAGAAAGCATCAAGGGGCAGGGAGAACAGCACATTTTGGTTGCCCTTCTTAAGTTTCCGCGTGCTATACAGAGGGAGGATTAGCAAGAGCGTGGAAACTGGTTTAGTAAGATCTTGCCCAAGCATGTTTTGTGTAAGCCGATGGTTTTGAACTCAGCTGCTGCCTTTGTGAACGGGCAACCCGGAGCCATCGTTGGCATTCGCAAACGCACAGGCATGACTTGCTCTCTCTGGCAATTCAAAGCTTTGACATTAGGTCTCTAGGGGAATATCAAAGGAAGAGTAAGAGACTCTGGAGGGTTAATGATGTTGTGAGATATAAACGCTGGTCCCCAGGACTTGGGTCTTGGACCCCTTTGAAATACAGTGGTACCTCGGGTTACATACGCTTCAGGTTACATACGCTTCAGGTTACAGACTCCGCTAACCCAGAAATAGTGCTTCAGGTTAAGAACTTTGCTTCAGGATGAGAACAGAAATCGTGCTCCGGTGGCGTGGCAGCAGCAGGAAGCCCCATTAGCTAAAGTGGTGCTTCAGGTTAAGAACAGTTTCAGGTTAAGTATAGCCCTCCGGAACGAATTAAATACTTAACCTGAGGTACCACTGTAATAAAGTCTGGACAAAGTTGATGAAGCAGTTGATGAAGAATATTTTATCGAAAATAAACACTTGCAAGTGGGTGTCCTGAAAAGGCAGGCACGCCATCCCTTATCAAAAACATGAATATATAAACCCTTTTCCCGAGCGCAAGTCCCTCCTTCATTGCCCACAAGGAAGGGGCGTTCAAAGTTCACATCTATCGCGTCCGTCTCTTGCAATGTAAAATCCAACCCTTACTCCCTCGCTCACCCCCAAAGCCCCTTATTTGGTTAGTTTTTCCTGTTCCCCAAAGCCCCTTATTTGGTCAAGCCTTTGCCCCCTTGTTGTTGTTGTTTAGTCGTTTAGTCGTGTCCGCCTCTTCGTGACCCCCTGGACCAAAGCACACCAGGCCCTCCTGTCTTCCACTGCCTCCTGCAGTTTGGTCAGACTCATGTTCATAGCTTTGAGAACACTGTCCAACCATCTCATCCTCTGTCGTCCCCTTCTCCTTGTGCCCTCCATCTTTCCCAACATCAGGGTCTTTTCCAGGGAGTCTTCTCTTCTCATGAGGTGGCCAAAGTCTTGGAGCCTCAGCTTCAGGATCTGTCCTTCCAGTGAGCACTCAGGACTGATTTCCTTCAGAATGGATAGGTTTGATCTTCTTGCAGTCCATGAGACTCTCAAGAGTCTCCTCCAGCACCAGAATTCAAAAGCATCCATTCTTCGGCGATCAGCCTTCTTTATGGTCCAGCTCTCACTTCCATACATCACTACTGGGAAAACCAGAGCTTTAACTATACGGACCTTTGTTTGCCCCCTTACATACTGTTTTTAGCAATAAAGCTATGTTCCTTTATTTCACCGAAGCGTGTAACACCGGTTTCAACTACAGTGGTACCTCGGGTTACAGACGCTTCAGGTTACAGACGCTTCAGGTTCATAGCTGTCAACCTTCCCTTTTTTTGCGGGAAATTCCCTTATTCCAGCGCCGTTTCCTGCTGCTTCCCACTGCTATCCCGGATTGTTAGATATCCCGTAGACTGTCCCCGGGATAGGTGAGGCTGCTGATCCCTTATTTTCAAATCTGAAAGTTGACAGCTGTGTTCAGGTTACAGACTCTGCTAACCCAGAAATACTACCTTGGGTTAAGAACTTTGCTACAGGATGTGAACAGAAATTGCACGGCTGCAGCGGGAGGTCCCATTAGCTAAAGTGGTGCCTCAGGTTAAGAACAGTTTCAGGTTAAGAATGGACCTTCAGAACAAGTTAAGTTCTTAACCCGAGGTACCACTGTACCTGTTTTGCAAAAAGCCCCTGGCCACAGTTGCTAAAGATACTCTAATTCTTCAGAATTTTGCAACAACTTGTTTCTCTCAAAAAGCCTCATGATTTCTAAAGAAACATGACCACAGCTAGTTTGAAATATGCTAGCAACAGTCACCCACACCTTGGCTGCAATATTCCTATAGACTTACACACCTTAGCTGCAATTTTCTTATAGTCCTATGATATTTATGATTAATAAAAATCTAAAACTGAAAAGACAACATTTACATTTCTCACAATATAGACTCACAACCCTGGAAGGGTCCCACCAATATAATCCAGACCAACCCCCACTCCCATAACAATATATAGCGGACTATCAGCCTCGTATCCTGGCCTTGCTCGGGAATTCTGCGAAATCAGTGCAGTTTTGAAATCAGTGGTTAAATTCAGCACCATTTTGAAAGGCTCCACCCACCATCTTGATTAAAAATGGAGTCCAGTTGTAACCGAACATGGACAAAGCCTGCTCCTCGATCTCAGGAACCAACGTTTGCTTGCAATATCTCTGATCCACAAGCTACAGGAAGCCCCAGCTAATGGTAGCATCAAGGTAAAGAGAGCAAACTGCGTGGAAAACACTTACCGTATTTTCGCTCTATAGGTCGCACTTTTCCCCCTCCAAAAATTAAGGGGAAATGTGTGTGCGTCCTATGGAGCGAATGCAGGCTCCTTGGCTTCAGCGATAGCAACGTGAAGCCTCCGAAGTGCAGAGGGAGCGCTGCCTCCACGCTCCGGAGGCTACGCGTTGCTTTCGCTGAAGCCTGGAGAGCGAGAGGGGTTGGTGCGCACCGACCCCTCTCGCTCTCCAGGCTTCAGGGATAGCCGCCTGAAGACTTTGGAGTACAGTGGGAACTCATGCTGCGCTCCGAAGGCTTCAGGTTCCTTTTGCTGAAGCCGGGAGAGCAAGACTCTCCCGGCTTCAGCAGAGAGGGAGAGCTGAGCAGCGCCCCTTCAGCCAAGCGGGAGGAGAAATGGAAGGGGCTCCGTTTCTCCTGCCACTTCGCTGAAGGGGCGCTGAGCAGAGAGGGGGAGAATTTGTTCTCCCCCTCTAAAACAAGGTGCATCCTATGGTCAGGTGCGTCCTATAGAGCGAAAAATACGGTAGTTATTTGATTATTTCATTAAAACAGACGAAAAAGGGCACAGTGAGGTCATTGTGTGCTAGGAGCCAAATCCTGAAAGTACTTATAACTCAGGAGCCAAAGGGGTAGGAAATCTGTAGAAATGATGTGTTCAGCACTACCCTAGCAGGGAAGCCTAAGGGGCCGCAGTGAAGTATTGCTACAAAAGGTATTGCCCCAAAGCCATCAGAGTAGGCTTTCAACTTCTGATGTTGTTTGTTAAGGAACTCTTCCTGGTAAGTCTCACTTCAGTTTCGTTTCTCAAAGGTTTGGGCTGGGCAGCTTGTGTGAGTGAGGAAATAGAAAGCTGGCAAGAAGGTGAACCACCCACTGTTTCACTGGACTCCGATACGGGCCTCTGAAAAAACAAAATAGGCTTTATATTAAGCAGGATTGATCCCAAAATATACACGGAGAAGATGAACATGGACTTTTGGAGAGCAGTTTTCAAGGAGCAAATTGAAGCAGTGAAACCGAGAGATTTCTGGAGACTAACAATGGATCGGAGCCTTGACTTCCATAATGTGGCATCTCCATGGAGGAAATCGCTGCAGGAACATGCTCATGGAAGGTAAAACATCAGCTGCTACTGCATGCACAATAATTTTGCAATGCACAGAGCCATAAAAAGCTGACTTTTGCTGTGTCAGATGCTCAGTACTGCCTACCCTGAGTGACAGCGATTCTCCAGCAGGCACGGCCAAATTTGGCCCTTCAGCTGTTTTGGGACTACAGTTCCCATCATCCCTGACCACTGGTTAGTTAGGGCTGATAGGAGTTGTAGTCCCAAAACAGCTGGACGGCCAAGTTTGGCCATGCCTGCGTCCAGGGTTTCATTCAGGGCCCTCTCCTAGCCCTACCCAGAGTTGTCATTGGGGATTGATCCTGATCTCTAATCCTGAGCTACAGCTCTTCCCATAATGTGCTCCGGCACACCAGTGGCTTCAAAGATCTGTCGAGGTCCCCTCAGACAGGGGGTTATCGTGAGATAGATAGCAGCTGTGCACACAAAACTATTTGTCACCACACCTTTACTGCACCTGAGCCAAACCTTGCCAATTTGTTTTCAGAAGTATAGTACAATAATAATAATAATAATAATAATAATAATAATAATAATAATAAATTATTTATACCCCGCCCATCTGGCTGAGTTTCCCCAGCCACTCTGGGCGGCTCCCAATCAAGTGTTAAAAACAGTACAGCATTAAATATTAAAAACTTCCCTGAACAGGGCTGCCTTCAGATGTCTTTTAAAAATAGGATAGCTGCTTATTTCCTTCACATCTGAAGGGAGGGTGTTCCACAGGGCGGGCGCCACTACCGAGAAGGCCCTCTGTCTGGTTCCCTGTAACCTCACTTCTTGCAATGAGGGAACTGCCAGAAGGCCCTCGGTGCTGGATCTCAGTGTCCGGGCTGGATGATGGGGGTGGAGACGCTCCTTCAGGACTGAGGCCCTTTAAGGCTTTAAAGATCAGCACCAGCACTTTGAATTGTGCTTGGAAACGTACTGGGAGCCAATGCAAATCTCTCAGAACTCAGTGTCCCGGCGGCCACTCCCAGTCACCAGTCTAGCTGCCGCATTCTGGATTAATTGCAGTTTCCGGTATAGTATAGTATAGTATAGTATAGTATAGTATAGTATAGTATAGTATAGTATAATACCAAAATAATTTTGGGGGGTATTTACAACCAGAAACAGTATCTATGCCTCTCTTCAAGAGCATTGGCTATTCTTCTACAGTTCTCCATGACATATTGTGTTGCGCAGGGATTTTCAACTCTGACAAATATGAAACATCAGAAAAGAGAAAGGTTTCTTTGTGTTGATGAAGAGATGGGTGTTTATTTGTCTCAAATGAGACCTGAGATTACCTGGCAAGCTCACACCTCTAATTGAGTTTGTATACATATTTAAGGTACACATATAAGAGGCTTGTTTATTTATTTATAATTATATCTGTGAGATGATTCATGTTCTTCTGTAGCCACATTGTTTTAAACTTTCTGGGTGTCCCATAGTCCTATTATAAAGTAGTTGTGTTTTGTGCTATAAACCAAGCACTTCTAGAAGTTGTTTCTTTGTGTTTTCTTATCAATGACAAATTCAGTGCGGCACAAGCAAATTTGTATTCTGAAAGTGTGGCCCAGGGGGAAAAAACACCTTCGAGAACCAGTACAACAGCTCCCACTCTTGAGAGCAGGGCAGAAGGGAGCTCTGGGATTTCATGTGACTTCAGGCTCATACACAGTTTCTTTTGATTCATTTTCTGAGCATAAAGTAAAGGTAAAGGGACTCCTGACCATTAGGTCCAGTCGTGGCCGACTCTGGGGTTGCGGCACTCATCTCGCTTTATTGGCTGAGGGAGCCGGTGTACAGCTTCCGGGTCAAGTGGCCAGCATGACTAAGCCGCTTCTGGCGAACCAGAGCAGCGCATGGAGACGACGTTTACCTTCCCGCCAGAGCGGTACCTATTTATCTACTTGCACTTTGATGTGCTTTCAAACTGCTAGGTTGGCAGGAGCAGGGACCCATCAACGGGAGCTCACTCCATCGCCGGGATTCAAACCACCGACCTTCTGATCGGCAAGTCCTAGGCTCTGTGGTTTAACCCACAGTGCCACCTGCATCCCAGTTTCTGAGCATATTGTGTACTGATTAGTCTCCCCAAATCCGAGACCATTTCTTATGGTTCTACAGCGGTACCTTGCGAAAACACGATCCTAGCCACTGAGCTGCAGCTCAGTTAAACAAAACTCGGAGTCGAGAGTGGATTTCATGCTCTTTATTCAGCTCATAGTGGTGAGGAGGAATGGAAGTTCCCCCAGAATGTCTGCTTTATATACATTATTACCCAATGGGCCCCATGTGATTGGCTAATTCTGGGATTCTCCTGTAGGCCAATCAGGTTGCGGATTCACTTCCACCTGGAGCTGGATTGGGTGGCTCCTGTGGACCAATCAGACTGCTGCATTCTGGATCCTATTGTTCTAGGACCAATCAGACTGCTGCATTCTGGATCCTATTGTTCTAGGACCAATCAGACTGCTGCATTCTGGATCCTATTCAACTAAGTACATAACAGAAGTGAATCAGCGACCTGATTGGCCAGCAGGAGCAGCCAATCAGGCTCCTGGATGAAGTGAATCAGCAACCTGACTGGCCTGCAGGAGCAGCCAATCAGGCTTCTGGAGGAGGTGAATCCGCAACCCAGAATTAGCCAATCATGCGGGGCCCATTGTGTAAATAATGTCATTTTGGGGAAAGTTTCATTCATTGCTACTATGAGCTGAATAAAGAGCATGAAATTCACACTCAACTCCGAGTATATTTCACCTTTGTTAACTGGAATCGTCCATCTGGGGAAATCAACTGCAGGTTCAAAGTATCAAAAGGAAGCACTTTCTCCAGGATAACCCCAAAGAGAAGTCCCTAAACCTGTTGCCGTTCTTCTCCATTCCTCCCACCTTTGTCTCTTTTAGCTTTACATGTTCACGATGCTACCACAGCTGGTCCTCACATCAAGTTGTCATCTTGTTCCATATGCACCTGGAGCGATACAGGAATCAAGGGTCGGTCAGGATGAGGACCTTCAGGCAGCGATGCTACCAGTGCTCTTCAGACAAGTACGAAGAGCCACAGTTCAGCGAGGAGGATGTCATCCATAGCGTTGAGTGCTTGATCTTAAGCATCAGAAAGAAATGCTACGGGGAACACTTAGATGACAGCAGACTCTTTGAGGTGGTACATGAGAACAGGGGCCCTCATAAGCATGAGCATTGTGAAGCTTGTCACCTGGGAATACACAATGCACATTATAGGTGGTCTAGAGGTGCCGGTCATCATAGGGAGCCCCAAAGACCAGCACATCTCCCAGCCAGTCTGCAGGAGAGTAAGGCAAGCTCAACCACTTACAGCTCCTTGGCAACACCAAAATATGAAGCATTTGCAAACCACGCTGACCCCAATTTTTGCCAGGAATGTTGCTCTTGTTTCATTGCTTTTGTGATTGTGATTGTTGTATTCCTTGTCTACTGGAATAAGAATAAATACCTGTGATTTCTGCACCGCAGGGGGTTGGACTAGATGACTTTAGGGGTCCCTTCCAACTCTACAATTCTATGAAAAACCCAACGGCACATTACCAGAAGGTGTTCTCAAGAGGACCCAGGGGACCTTTGGCAGGGAAAACAAAGACTTCCACCTGGTGGCAGTGGGAAGATCACAGGAAGGGAAGGGCAAATGCTCTGTTTGGCCTGGTCTCCCTTCCTTAAATGGGTCTGGGTGTACCTGGGCCAAATGATAATCTAATCTATTGTTGGAATGGCATACAAAGGATGAGCAAGTTAAATCTGTGATGATAGATTGGGCAAGAGATGTGGGACATAACATAATGTTTGAAGACTGGGAGAGGTTATGGAGGAAAGGGGTCAAGTTCACTGCTTGTACGGTGTTAAAGGAAAATATTATGAAAATGATGTATAGATGGTACTTAACCCCTGTAAAATTGGCAAAGATATATCATAATAGTGATAATTTATGCTGGAAATGTAAAGAAAAAGAAGGTACCTTTTATCATATGTGGTGGACCTTCCCCAAGGTGAAAGACTTCTGGGAGAAGATTTATAATGAATTGAAAAAAAATGTTGAAATATACATTTATTAAGAAACCAGAGGCCTTTCTTCTTGGAATAACAGGTTTGGAATTGCCCAAGAAAGATGTTAGACAGTTTTTGTATGCCACAACTGCAGCTAGAATTTTGTTAGCTAAGCATTGGAAAACACAAGAAGTCCCAACAGTGGAGGAATGGCAGATGAAGATGATGGACTTTTCGGAGCTAGCCGACCTGACTGGAAGAGTCCGTGACCAGAAGGAGGAGGAGTACCAGGAGGAATGGATGAAATTCAAAGACTATTTAGTTAAATATGCTAAGATAACTTAATTGGAAAAACTTGCAAATACCAGATAGGCTTAGGATTTAAATATGTAATGTTAGAGAATAACATGTTTAAAGTTAAAATGAAAAGAAAGAAAGATGTTAAGTGATTAAGTTAATTTTATGAGAAAATTGGTTTTGGAAAACTGTTACAATGATATACTCTGGAACTCAGCCAGGGGGATTCTAGGAAATCACTCAACAAGGTTACTAAGATTGGATTAAGTACAGTTAAGATGTATGTTTGTTTGTTTGCTTAAATTTTTTTTTGGAAAATCAATATTTTTTTTGGGAAAAAATATATATAATCTAATCCAAGGATTGTAGAACGGCAAGGGACTCTGAGGATCATTTTGCATTTCAAACCTGGCTGGATGTGTGCTGGTTCAGCAGGAGTGCAGAAAAGTTCCAGAATGTGATGATGGCATGGAGTCTAGATTGCTTTTTAAAAAATACTCGTAGCCTCTTCCTCCATTTTAAGCTTGCAAAGATTTGTCTACAAGTGTGTGGTGGCTGTAGCAATGACCGTGTGAAATCTCAAAAAGCCACATGCGTGGTTGAATAAAATGGCAACTCTATACACAATTGTTGTTGTTGTTTAGTTGTTTAGTCGTGTCCGAGTCTTCGTGACCCCCTGGACCAGAACACGCCAGGCACTCCTGTCTTCCACTGCCTCCCGCAGTTTAGTCAAACTCATGCTGGTAGCTTTGAGAACACTATCCAACCATCTCGCCCCCTTCTCCTTGTGCCCTCCATCTTTCCCAACATCAGGGTCTTTTCCAGGGAGTCTTCTCTTCTCAGGAGGTGGCCAAAGTCTTGGAGCCTCAGCTTCAGGATCTGTCCTTCCAGTGAGCACTCAGGGCGGATTTCCTTCAGAATGGATAGGTTTGATCTTCTTGCAGTCCATGGGACTCTCAAGAGTCTCCTCCAGCACCAGAATTCAAAAGCATCAATTCTTCGGCGATCAGCCTTCTTTATGGTCATCACTGCCTTGCCGTGGCGAAGGAGCTTGAATAACTCAGAGAAGCTATGAACTATGCCGGGCAGGGCACCGAATATGGACAGGTCTTAGTGGAGAGTTTTGACCCAATGTGATCCACCTGGAGGAGGAACCGGCAAGCCACTCCAGTATCCCTGCCAAGAAAACTCCATGGACAAAGACAACAGGCATACACAATTACCTGTGGAATTGAATTTAATGGGGGAGGGTATCTACACCTGAGCAGACGTGCATAGGATTGCAGTGCACCATTTGCAGACATTGGAGGGTGGGGTGTCAGTGCCATGTGGCACTAACAGAAGGTAAACATTATGTGACTCAAGAGGGTGGCAAATCGTGCATTTTCTCCATCTGCATCATTGGCGGAGGCTGCAGAATTTGGTTTATCTTGTTGCAGAAGTTTAATTACATTTTAGAGAGGATTACAAAAAGCCCTGAGAATGTAAGTCCTCAATGCAAAAAAGAAAGTAAATCAAAAGCAGGTCTTAACTTAAAACAATGCCAAAATGAAACAGTGGCGTTTCCAGCAAGTCCCTGAGATTTTTGGGTGCTGCCTTTTTCTTCTGTCTGTTCCAGGCATGGAGAACCTTGCTGGGTTCCAGCTCCCAACATCCTTGACTTTTGGCCTTGATGGCTTGGGCTGATGGGAGTTGGATTCCAACAGCGTTACAGGTTCTCCACCCCAGATCTGTGACATCTTCTCTCCTGTTAGGCACTGGGCAAATCTATCCCAGTCTGCTCCAATTCACCAGAGCTCTTTGGGGGTTCAGGTAGAGGAGTCTTCTGCAGGCCTGGTACCCAAGGTGCTTTTGGCTAGAAATGATGGGGGATTGAATTAAAAACCACCTGTGCACAACGTGCGCTTTCATTTAGCTGCGATCCCTCCCCACCACAAATGCGTCTCCAGCATAGCTGTCAACTTACAGTTTTGAAAATAAGGGACCAGCAGCCTTGAAAATAAGGGATCATCAGCCAAAATAAGGGATTTTCAGAGCACAGGTATGTTCAACTTCTGAGCCCCTCCGAGCCAAAGGCAGAAAGCCCAGCTAGCAGCCAAACGAAGCCTCAAGCGGTGGTTCCCACAGCGCAGCAACCAGGCAAAGGGAATGCAGCAAGGAAAAGCACCGTCACCTCTCCGCTGGGAAGCACTGAGCAAAGAAAGGCGAGTCCCCAGGCAACGCGGCCGATTTGATTGGCACAAGGCATGCAAGCTCCGCCCCCCAGTCGTTCTTAGACTCCTTATTGGGTGAGCAACGCAGCCAAGCAACACAGCTGGAGCCTCCCTCCTCCCTGGCTGGCAGGAAGGGAGGGAGAGGAGCTGCTTCCTTTGAAACCTGGGAAATTTAAGGGACATCATCAATAAGGGACAGCAGCGGCACACAGCGCTGGGATAAGGGACTTTCCCGCCAAATAAGGGACGGTTGACAGCTGTGGTCTCCAGCTGCCACGCCATGCATTTCCCCTGAGATTTATTTTGAGTCCTAGTTAACAGACTTCCTTTCTAAGCACGACTGTGTGCTGCAGAAGATATGCACAATTTTTAAAGGTTTTCGCAAACCAAACCGCCCCAAACCACGTTGATCCAGGCTTTTTGGGTCCCCGTAAAGTCAAATCCATCAGCAAATAACCCAGGGAAGCAGGTCAGCATCAGCTATTGGAGCAGAGTTCAGTTCAGCAGGATGTAGAATCCAGGCCAGGCCTTTCTCATCCACGTGTCCAAGGCGAAAATCCACGGGCAAGCTTCTCCCTGGTCTAATACCAGGGGCGCCCTTTGACGGAGAGCAAGGAGAGACTTTTTGGAGGCAGCAAGATTCTGAAATGCGGCAGATGCTCATTTTTATTTATTTTTTGCTTTGGGTTCTTCGTACGGTTGGGAGACTTCAGTATTGCTCTCCCGTGACCTGCTTAATCCAAGGCAGAGTCAGCAGGACGTTGGAATACACTCCATAGCGGTCATTCAAGCCGCATCCATCGCCCCAAGACACTGTCCCTATGAGCTGCCACTGGCCAGTCTGGTTGTTCAGAGTGACCATGGGGCCGCCGGAGTCCCCTTGGCAAGCGTCTTTTCCTCCTGCGTGAGAAAGAGAGAAACGATAATGGCTGGGGCATCTTTCAGACCAGAAAAGCCACTTGTTCTACGTGGAGTTTGCAAAGGTGCAGAACAGGAGCTAGAATCAGAATAATAGAATTGTAGAGTTGGAAGGGACCCTGAGGGTCATCTAGTCCAGCCCCCTGCACCGCAGGAATCTCAACTAAATCATGCACGACAGACTAGCATCCAACCTGCATCTCGACACTTATCTCCCTGCCCCAAAGGGGACGACTGGCACAGTGATCATTGACTCTCCTTGGTTCCATGAACTCATCCCCAGTGACCCCCAACCCTATATAGAAACTAGGGCATAAAGACCTCTGGTGTGAAGGAACAAGTTACCCAAACCTGACTGTGCAGTCACCCGAACCGGGCCCCAAAATTCCCGATTTTCTTTGTTCAAGGATCCATTAGCTAAAATCCATTAGCTAGAGCTGTATAACACAAACCTAGCCATATAAGCAAGAACCTTCTCCTTGATCAGTCAAGAAGTGTTTGACAGATGGACTTGTCAGTTGCCAGGGAGACGGGATGACAGATCTGGGTCTTGTCTTATAGGTTGTAACTATCCTGACCACACTGACGCACAGACCTTGCAAGACAGGCCTGTTAGCCCCTGCGCCTGGGGATGGCGCCAGGAGTACTCCTATAGTTGGGTGACCTTTTTACCCCAAGATAAGAGTACAGAAACAGGAATTTCTGTTCATGCTCAAGGATGTAACTTACGTGTACAAACTCATGAGGCTGGATTCCTGGGGAGGGGGAAAGGGGACCTGAAGGGGATATAAGCTGTATGTAACTGCTCTTTAAGTGTGCTTGCTGTGACTGATCACGCAGTGCCTTTCTGCTATCTGGAAAGCAGAAATAAGCTCAGTGATCTCTAGAACTCATCCTTGGTGTCCATTGAATCCTTCATCCCTCCAGGTGCAACGCACCAAACCCTATATAGAGCCTAGGGTATAAAGTCCCCTGGTGGACTTGTAAAAGGGTAAAAGAGTATTGGGAAATGATCTACAATGAATTGAAAAAAAATGTTTAAAAGTACTTTTTGGGGGAAAACAGTGTTTTGCAAGCCCCCAAATGGAAAACGAGCGAGGTCCCAACCAAAGAAGAATGGCAGCTCAAACTGATGGAATATGCGCAGCTTGCGGACCCAACATATAGAATAAGACAACAAGAAGAACACGTTTAGAGACGACTGGAAAATACCGTATTTTTTGCTCTATAAGACTCACTTTTTCCCTCCTAAAAAGTAAGGGGAAATTTGTGTGCGTCTTATGGAGCGAATGCAGGCTGCGCAACTATCCCAGAAGCCAGAACAGCAAGAGGGATTGCTGCTTTCACTGCACAGAGATCCCTCTTGCTGTTCTGGCTTCTGAGATTCAGAATATTTTTTTTTCTTGTTTTCCTCCTCCAAAAACTAGGTGCGTCTTGTGGTCTGGTGCGTCTTATACTTATTGAATATATGGGGTGGGGGTGGAAATCGTGTACATTTGAAAATGTCAGCAGCATTAAGATAAATTCAACAGTGTAAATAAGTTTTGACGGATGTAAGAATGGAATACTGAATGGTTTAGTTTATGTAAAATATGCAGGGATTTACAGTTTGCAAAATGAACCATGGAACATTGAAGAAGGGAAGTCATTAGTATTTTAAGGTTGTTTAAATGAATATTCTAAAATGTAAAACTGAAGATTTAATTAAAAATATATTTTAAAAGAGTAGAAAGACCCAAGGAATGTAATAACACAATAAAATTCAAAACGGCAGCAATTAATTGCACATTTATTCAGAATCACCTTGTCTTTCTCCAGCGCAGATCATGTCTCCCGTCACAACTTTCTGCAGCTTGCGATAGGCTTCTTTGCACACTGAGTGATCCGTCAGTGGGATCTCAATCTGCAACACAGAACAAAAAAATGACTCCTGGGATAATGTGCCTGAATGGTCCTCCTTTGTGAAACACACAAAACTGCCTTCTACCAGGTCAGACTGTTGGTCCATTTAGTTCAGTATTGTCTGCACAGACTGGCAGTGGCTCGGCAAGGTTTCACGCAGGAATCGCTTCCTGCCCCACCTGAACCTGAGACCTTCTGTCTGCAAAGCAGATATTCTTCCCCTGAGCTATGGACCTTCTCCAAAGACTCCATAGATTCACTAATCCCATAATTCATAGGATTCTGGTCCATAGGATGACTAAGGAACAAGTGCCACTCTATTCCGCCTTGGCCAAGCCACAACTGGAACCCTGTGTCCAGTTCTGGGCATCACAGTTTTAGAAGGATATTGGCAACCTGCAATGGGTGCAGAGGAGGGTGACCAAGATGACCAGGGGTCTGGAAACTGAGCCATATTAGGAATAGTTGAGGGAGTTGTGTATATTTAGCCTGGAGAAGAGAAGACATGATAGCCAGCTTCAAATATCTGAAGGGCTGCCACAGGGAAGATGGAGGAAACTTGTGGGGGTTTTTTTTGCCGCTCCAAGAGGGTAGGGCCCAAACCAGCGGATTCAAATTGCTAGAAAGGAGATTCTGACTTAATGTTAAAACTTTCTGATAGTAAGAGCTGTTCAACAGTGAAACGGACTACCTTGGATAGTTTTCCAGAGGGGTTGTGTTGTGTGGCCATCTGCTAGGGAATTTTCAGCTGTGATTCCTGCATTGCAGGCAATGGACTTGTTGACCATTGGGGCCCCTTGCAACTCAACAATCCTTGAGTGTCAAGCTTGTGCTCCCCTCATCATACGAAGAAATGGAAAGAGGGGGCAACGACTGTGTTATGTACTGAGTTGAATAGGATTCAGAATGCAGCTGTCTGATTGGTCCTAGAACAATAGGATTCAGAATGCAGCAGTCTGATTGGTCCTAGAAGAATAGGATTCAGAATACAGCAGTCTGATTGGTCCTAGAAGAATAGGATTCAGAATGCAGCAGTCTGATTGGTCCTAGAGCAATAGGATTCAGAATGCAGCAGTCTGATTGGTCCTAGAACAATAGGATTCAGAATACAGCAGCCTGATTGGTCCTAGAACAATAGGATTCAGAATGCAGCAGCCTGATTGGTCCTAGAACAATAGGCTCCAGAATGCAGCAGTCTGATTGGTCCTAGAACAATAGGATTCAGAATACAGCAGTATGATTGGTCCTAGAACAATAGCATTCAGAATGCAGCAGTCTGATTGGTCCTAGAACAATAGGATCCAGAATGCAGCAGTCTGATTGGTCTGCAGGAGCCACCCAATCCAGCTCCAGGTGGAAGGGAATCCGCAACCTGATTGGCCTACAGGAGAATCCCGGAATTAGCCAATCATGTGGGGCCCATTGTGGAAATAATGTATATAAAGCAGACAGTTCTGGGAAACATTCCATTCCTCACTACTATGAGCTGAATAAAGAGCATGAAATCCACACTCGACTCCGAGGATATTTCAGACTGAGACGTCTACGCCTGCTCCCTAACTATACTGCAATTCCATTCCATTCTCAGATGTACACAGAAATGAACGGCAAGGAGCATCACCTCCATCAGGGCATCTGGGAGACGTTGCAGGAACTGCTTCCCCCATCCGCTGACGATGACCATGGTGTCTAGTGGGAGGGGAAAAGAAGAAGACAGACATTGTATTACCTTTCGGGAGGTGACCTGGAGAGGAAGTAGGATGTGTCATTCCTTGCAGTCTGATGAAGCGAACCAGACCCTCCTAGGGTCATCTTTCCTTTCCACTGCTCAAAAACACCTGTTGCAGGTGTGAAGCACCTTTGGCCCTCCATGTGCACACATGCTGCAAGGTGCGCCAATGTCCCATGTGCATGCTGTGCGGCTTGCGTGTGTGACACGAGCACAGCCCATGGTGTGCGCAAGCGAGGTGAGCACATCACACTGTGCATCCATGGTTGCTGTGGAATTTGGAGGAGGCCCGGCACCCTCCTTGAAAGTTTTGGGGGGCCCTCACCCCCCTGGGCTACCCATAGTTGGTGCCCCTGGATGCATTAAAATTACCAATGAAGATCTCTATATGTCGCCTTTCAGTTAGATCTAGCATTTACTGTGCACCTCTGATACCTCCTTTTGGAAGGGCTTAAGTTGCGATTTCCATGAAGTTTGATCGTTCAAAACAGAACTTGCATGCCATTCCCTTGGAACTGAAATATCTGGTGTTTTCAGGGTTCCTAAGTTTTGGAGCATACAGGGGCTAACCTTTCGAGCTGATTGTGCACCTCCAGGAGACTGTGGGATGCAATCCACTGAGAGCAGTCAAGTACAACATTCCTTGTTTTGCTAGAGTGGACATGCAAGGGAATGTTTGGTCCAGCCAGTTGAAACTTCCTGTTCTCCTGGCCTGGAGCATCCTTCCTCTTGCATGTGACTAGACCTTTCCAGACCTGGTAAAAGGACAAGCCATGCTGCCACTCTCCCTCTTTTCCATCTTCTTTTCATCCTTGAACTGGGCTCAGGAGCAAACAGGCAGCCAAGCCGATGCGATTCTTTCAGAATCCATGGGAATCTAATTCTGCATTGGTTAAAGTTCTGCCTTAATCAATGCTTCTGAGCCAGCTTAAAGGGTTGGCTGCTGCTTCTCCAATTGACATTGTCTGGTGGAAGGATGGCGCCACCTCCTTACCTTTTGGGAAGGCTCTATCTGGAAAGCAAACGGGCATCACGTAATCATTCAGCCTAGCCTCTTCAGACAGTTCCACCAGGGCGATGTCATACTCAAAGGTGGCCGCCTTGTAGGATGGGTGGATGGAGATTGTTTGGGGTTGCACCTCCTGCTCTGTGTCATCTTTCCTTTGGGTTCTGTGTTTCCCTGCAGAAAGTCAGAAAGAGAGGCTGGAAGTGTGAGAGAGTGTATCCGGAACAGGAAGCTGTCTTCTACAGAATCATGACCCTAAGTCCGCCGAGACCACATAACACCGGTCCTGAAAGACCTACATTGGCTCTTAGTATGTTTCCGAGCACAATTCAAAGTATTGGTGCTGACCTTTAAAGCCCAAAATGGCCTGGCCCAGTAGACCTGAAGGAGCGTCTCCACCCCCATCATCCATCCCTGACACTGAGGTCCAGCTCTGAGGGCCTTCTGGCGATTCCCTCCCTGTGAGAAGTGAGGTTACAGGGAATCAGGCAGAGGGCCTTCTCGGTAGTGGCGCCCGCCATGTGGAACGCCCTCCCACCAGATGTCAAGGAAATAAACAACTTTCTGACTTTTAGAAGACATCTGAAGGCAGCCCTGTTTAGGGAAGTTTTTAATGTTTGATGTTTTATTGTGTTTTCAATATCCTGTTGGAAGCTGCCCAGAGTGGCTGGGGAGGCCTGGCCAGATGGGCAGGGTATAAGTAATAAATTATTACTATTGAGTTCAGTTTTGCCAACACAGGCTGGCAGTGGGTCTCCAGGGTTTCAGACGGGGCAGGTGCTCAGTTCCACCTGGAGATGCTGTGAATTGAACCAGGCATCTTCTGTGTGGAAAGCAGAAGCTCTGCTGCTGAGCTATTGCTCTTGAATACTTCCTGAAACTGCAGGAATAATAATAATAATAATAATAATAATAATTTCTTATTTATATCCCGCCCTTCCCGATTCAAAAACCGGGCTCAGGGCGGCTAACAACAAATTTAAAACACTTAATTATAAAAGCAGCATAAAATACAGTATAAAAGCATGAATAACAATAAAATTCAAAAATCAAAAATCAGTTTAGGGGAAATAAGCATTAGATAGTCCCCAGGGCTAGCTGGCTGAATTGGTCCTACTTGGGCCAGCGTGGAGACCAGGGGAGAATTAGCTGTGGGGTCTCAGGGTGGGTGAGGGAAGGGAAATAAAAGATCAGGCTGAATTCAAATTAAAGGCCAGGCGGAATAGCTCTGTCTTACAGGCCCAACGAAAGGAGGCCCTAGTCTCATGGGACAGAGCATTCCACTAGGTCGGAGCCATCACTGAAAAGGCCCTGGTCCTGGTGGAGGATAGTCTGACTTCCTTAGGGCCCAGGACCTCTAAACTATGGTTATTCATGGACCTTAAGGTCCTCTGTGGGGCAGACCAGGAGAGGCGGTCCTGTAAGTATGAGGGCCCTAAGCCCAGAGAACAGCTCTTATGCTCGGGTCCCGGTTGCAGATTTCCCACAGGCATCTAATTGTCCACTGTGAGGAGAAAATACCGAACTACATGGACCATTGGCCTGATCCAGCAGACTCATTTCATGTTCTTATAATATAGAATTTCTAAGACACAGGCTGCTCTCCTGGGCAACCACCTCTTGCTTACCTAGGATCACCTTGAACGACGAAGGGCTGATCACGTCGGAGCTTCGGAGGACAGGATTCTCCAGGTCGAGTTCATGGTGGAGACAGTGAGCGGCCGTCACAATCCACCTGTTCCCTGGGGAACAAGAAAGGGCTAAGATGGTGACATGATGGTTGTCTTCAAAGAGCAGTTTGACTCCCTTGTGAAGTGGTAGACTCTCCTTCCTTGGAGGTTTTTAAGCAGAGGTTGGGTGGGATTAAATTTCAAATCAAATCAAATCCCTTTCTTGGCATCACAGTATAAAACATTTCAGGTCACTGGGATAATGAAAGGAACAAGGGTGAATCTGTCAAGGGTCCTGTAGAGGACCTTAAGGTCCATGAATAATCATAGTTTAGAGGTTCCGGGTCCTAAGGAAGTCAGATTATCCTCCACCAGGGCCAGGGCCTTCTCAGTGATGGCTCCGACCTGGTGGAATGCTCTGTCCCAGGAGACCAGGGCCCTGCAGGATTTAACCTCCTTCTGCAGGGCCTGTAAGACAGAGCTATTCTGCCTGGCCTTTAATTTGAACTCAGCCTGATCTTTTATTCCCCTTCCTTCCCTCTCCCCTTTTTATGAAGATTCCCCGCTCTGGGATCCCGCAGCTAATTCTCCCCTGGTCTCCTCGCTGGCCCAAATAGGACTAATTTAGCCAGCTAGCCCTGGTGATCATCTAATGTTTACTGGATGGATTTCCCCCCTAAATTGATTTTTGAATTCTGAATTTATTGGTATTCACGTTTTATACTGTATATTATGCTGTTTTTTGTTGCATCAATTAAGTGTTTTAAATTTGTTGTTAGCCGCCCTGAGCCCGGTTTTCTGAACTGGGAAGGGCGGGATATAAATAAAAATTTATTTATTTATTTGGTCACACAGTGATTGTGTGCACTTAGATATTCTGCTTCACCTTGTCTGTTCCCCGAAAGGATGGTTCGTTGGGAACCCTTTCGGGTAAAAATGTGGCTAAACACGAAGCTACTAAAGCAGTGATATCTTTGTCCCGATCTGGCAGGAGAAACCTCATTTGACTTCTTCTTGGAGTTCTAGGCTGGAGGTCCAACGTTTTGCTCTCGGGATTATTTAGCTGTGATTCCTGCATTGCACAAGGCTGGTCTGGATGATACCTGGGGTCGCTTTTACCCGTACAGTTTCTCTGGTTTTATGAATGCCAGTATAGCATTTACATCATAAAATGGATGGATCATTGTTGTGTCATTCTATGATATTATGCCTGTTATGTACTGAAGTTCTCACCCTGGGCCAGCAGGGGGATACTGTAGATAGTTCAGGTCCACATATGCAAATAAGGGACTGAAAGTGACGTTCAGTGATTGGATAGTTACAGAAAGTTGTTACAGTTACGTTGTACTGGAGCTCTATATAAGCAGGCTGGCTGAACCCTTCAGTTCAGTTCTGGCCTGTGAATAAACAAGAGCTGTTTGAAGAATCGCTGTGTCGTCTGATATGTTCACCCACAACTTAACAATGCCCTCAATTCCTAGCCTGCCTCCTCCCAATGAAGAGGTAGGAAGTCTCAGACCTGGAAGCCGGTTTCTCAAGTGCTCTGGTGAAGTGGATATCCGCTCCACTTCATGGTGGGGAGGAGTTGCGGTGGACCGCGTGGCCACCCACTCCCCCCAGGGACGGGAGACAAAGTCCCGCATTGCCCTGGGGATCCCAGCCACGTCAACACTCAGCCAGCCAATCCGCTGGCTGGTGGGAGAGTGGCCGGGACCATTTAAGTGAGGGCGCGAGCCGGAGGGCTTCCTCTTGGCTCGCTTCCTCAATCTCCCACCCACCCTCCCTTTTTGCAGGTTTTCATTGGCCTTGCTATGGACCTCGGTTGGTCGCCGTTGAGGGGCCTGGTAGGAATTTTTCCACTTGGCAAAACTGGCACGGGCCATTTGGTTTTCACCTACCTCGCAGCAATTGTCACAACTTTGTAAGGTTCTGCGGTTAGGCATTGTTTGACCTTGTGATGGGGGAGGGGAGGTGTGGCCATCACCTGCCCCTCCAAGCTTAAGGGTATTCCGTTACAGGAATCCGGGGGCGTGGATCTTGTCCGAAGCCCGGGGTGGGGCTAGGGCCATGACACAACCCCAATGGGAACACCTGGGGAAGCTCGAGTTGGTTTGCACCCTTCTGGTGGTTTACCCTTACTGGACTCCCTGCGCAATGGGCAGGAGTCAGAAGAAGAAGAAGAAGAGTTTGGATTTGCTATCCCGCCTTTCACTCCCTTTAAGGAGTCTCAAAGCGGCTAACATTCTCCTTTCCCTTCCTCCCCCACAACAAACACTCTGTGAGGTGAGTGGGGCTGAGAGACTTCAGAGAAGTGTGACTAGCCTAAGGTCACCCAGCAGCTGCATGTGGAGGAGCGGAGATGCGAACCCAGTTCCCCAGATTACGAGACTACCGCTCTTAAACACTACACCACACTGTCTGGTCCATTCAATGCCTAAGCCAATTACTGCTCACATTCTGTAATCAATAAAGTTGTGACCAAAATTTGCCCAATAACATTAACCCAATATATGTGTCCTGGTTTGTTTTATTCTTCAACAAGGGGGTGGTTGGAGGGTCTAGACGTGTGCTATGTACTGAGTTGAATAGGATTCAAAAGGCAGCAGTCTGATTGGTCCTAGAACAATAGGGTTCAGAATGCAGCAGTCTGATTGGTCCACAGGAGCCACCCAATCCAGCTCCAGGTGGAAGGGAATCCGCAACCTGATTGGTCTACAGGAGAATCCCGGAATTAGCCAATCACGTGGGGCCCATTTTGTAAATAATGTATATAAGGCAGACATTCTGGGGGAACTTCCATTTCTCCTCACCACTATGAGCTGAATAAAGAGCATGAAATCCACTCTCGATTCCGAGTATATTTCAACATGCAAGAGTGGATGCCCCTCCAGAGGTCCTTACCTAGGAGGGACCCCCCACAGAAGGGGCGCCCGTTCCTCTGCAGCATGGCGACCCATGGCGAGATCCCTCTCTGGGCGTAGCGTCCATTGGAAATTCGAGCAAGCAGACTCCTGGAGAACCGGGGTTTCCCACACACTGAAAGAGAAGAGAAAGGATGGATTTAGCGAGGAGGAGATCATACCATCACAGAACTGCAGAGTTGGAAGGTCCAAGCCCTTGCATCTCACATCTTTCTGATCTGCTGGCAGCCACCCCATCCCTCTGGGACCCGACAAAGAGGGCAAGGTTGGGGGAGGACGGCTGAGGTTTAACCCTTGCACAGATGCAAGGAAGTGGAGACCATATTACTAGCTGGTACCCGGAGTTCCGGTTGGGCCACTGTAATGAGAAATGGCTGCATACCTTTTTAATTTTTTTTTTTTAAAAAATACCCTGGTGTTATCACACCTGATTCCCATCTCCTGATAATTCAGTGGCTGGTACCTCCCTTAAAAATCACAACCGGAATAGCAAGAGACAGTATGGTGTTGTAGACCTGGGAGATTGGGGTTCTAGTCTCCCTGCAGCCATTTGGGTGACCTTGGGTCAATCAATGCCTCTCAGCCTAGCCTACCTTGCACGGTTGTAGGGAGGAGAGAAAACCATGTACACCATCTTGAGCTTCTTGGAGGAAAGATGGGATAGAATTGCAATAAATACGTAAGTCCCAGTGCACTGACTTCTCTCTTCCTCCAAGGCTGGTTGGCAATGGATGCCTCTTGGTGTGATGAATGTTCCCGTGATTTCCCAGTTATTGCTCCCCCTCACCATTATTGGAGTGGGCGGGCATAGCTGTCAACTTACAGATTTGAAAATAAGGGACCAGCAGCCTCGAAAATAAGGGATCAGCAGCCAAAATAAGGGATTTTCCAAGGGGCACAGGTATGTTCAACTTCTGAGCCCCTCCAAGCCAAAGGCAGAAAGCCCGGTGTGATGGCCTGGGAATCCGATTCAGAGGCTGAACCAGAGGAATCCCAGGCTGCACAGGAGTCCCCACCTCCAGGGCCAGCTGAACTGGGGCAGGGCCTTGATTCTGAAGCGCCTGCACCTGTGCCGGATCCTCAGGAGCAGGCACCAGGTGAATCCACTCTGGCTCTGGAGGCGATTGAGGACGCATTGCCTACAGGTGCGCCTCTCTCAGCCCTGTCAGGGGAAAGTGAGTCTCCCCCTGGGTCCAGTAACCCACTGGCCTCTCCTGAGCTGCAGAGGCTCTGGGCAGGGAAGCGGAGGGAACTGGTTTCTCCCAGGAGGAGTGCCCGCTTTAAGGCCAGGAGAGGCGGGTCACCTGGGGGACCGGGACCGCCCCTGGCCTCAGAGAAGATAAAGGCCAGTCAGCCCGGTCCCAGGTTGCGGGAGCAACGTCATTGAAGAGCTGTTTCGGCCAGCATCCAGTCCTGTTCCCCCAGAGTTCCTGTCCTTGCCCGGCTCCTCGCTGTGGACGCCGCTTCGCCCGTGGAGGACTGTCTGCTGACCCTCGACTCAGGTCCTGCACCTCGCCCCACGGTAAACTCCCCCCTGGACCAGCACACCCGGCCAGCAGCCAAGCAAAGCCTCAAGTGGTGGTTCTCACAGCGCAGCAACCCGGCAAAGGGGATGCAGCAAGGAAAACCACCGTCACCTCTCCGCTGGGAAGCGCTGAGCAATGGCGAGTCCCCAGGCAACGCGGCCGATTTGATTGGCACAAGGCATGCAAGCTCCACCCGCCAGTCGTTCTTAGACTCCTTATAGGGTGAGCAACGCAGCCAAGCAACACAGTTGGAGCCTCCCTCCTCCCTGGCCGGCAGGGAGGGAGGGAGAGGAGCTGCTTCCTTTGAAACCTGGGAAATTTAAGGGACATCATCAATAAGGAACAGCAGTGGGACACGGCGTTGGGATAAGGGACTTTCCCACCAAATAAGGGACGGTTGACAGCTATAGTGGGGGGTTGTTGCTTCCAAGTCTCACCCTCCCTGCCCACCTGCAGAGCACCTGTGATCAACTGTCTTCCGTTTCCCACCCTCTTTTCCCCAAACCACATTTCTTCCTTAAACTGGGTAATTTCTGGCATTTTGGTAGCCAACCAAGGTCTTTAAGAAGGAAGAGGCAACAATTTGGCCGTCAAGTGTTCAAAACACAGAAGCAAGTGCAACACAGAGTATTATCTGTAGCTTCTGGGGTTTCCCCTCTGGATGTTTCTGAAGGGTCGGTGAGGTAGGAATTCTGCAAAACCCCAGTTTCGGTGGAGCCTAAGGGCTGAAAAACAATGCTTGATAAGGTGCAAGGGGGGCTCCGCACGTACGGCAAAAAAACTTGGGTTGAGTAAGTGTTTTCGAAGACTGTGGTTGGATGAGAGATAGTAATAATATATATATATAAATATTTACCCTGCCCTTCCCGGTTCAAAAACCGGGCTCAGGGCGGCTAACAACAAATTTAAAACACTTTAAAACACTTAATTATAAAAGCAGCATAAAATACAGTATAAAAACACGAATAACAATAAAAATCAAAATTCAAAAATCAATTAGATAATCCCCAGGGCTAGCTGGCTGAATTGGTCCTACTTGGGCCAGCGTGGAGACCAGGGGAGAATTAGCTGTGGGGTCTCAGAGCGGGTAATCTTTATAAAAGGGGAGGGAGAGGAAAGAGAAGGGAAATAAAAGATCAGGCTGAATTCAAATTAAAGGCCAGGCGGAATAGCTCTGTCTTACAGGCCGGACGGAAGGAGGTTAAATCCTGCAGGGCCCTGTTCTCATGGGACAGAGCATTCCACCAGGTTGGAGCCATCACTGAGAAGGCCCTGGCCCTGGTGGAGGATAGCCTGACTTCCTTAGGGCCCGGGACATCTAAACTATGGTTATTCATGGACCTTAAGGTCCTCTGCGGGGCAGACCAGGAGAGGCGATCCCGAAGATTCAAGGGCCCTAAGCCACAAAGGGCTTTAAAGGTCAAGACCATAGTAGGGGAGCAGAGGACACAATTTTTTTCCTGTATAGGGTGTGTGTAAATGCAATGCTCTCAGAGATTCTTTCGGTCTCTTTTGTCCTGTAATTGCATAAAAAGTCTGACTAATTGGGAATCTGATTTCAGGCTTCGTATTGAACCCCCAAAGGGAGTTTCTCCCGCATCCTGGCATGTGTGGGGATAGTGAGGGGTGGTGGTGAGACAATTTGCTGCGCTGTTGGGAGTGCCATTTTGGTTCTGCTGGTGAGACCAGTGCCGGATTTACATATAAGATAAACAATACAGCTTAGGGCCCCTCTCTCTTGGGGGCCCTCAAAAAATTTAAAGGAAAGAAAACCTGGATATACGTTTTCAAAATATAAGATTAAAAACAAACAAAATTAAACCTACATACAGCAACAGTGTTTTGTGTTGTGTAGGCTCCTATTTTAAGAGAAGACTCATTGGAAAAGACCCTGATGTTGGGAAAGATGGAGGGCACAAGGAGAAGGGGACGACAGAGGACGAGATGGTGGGACAGTGTTCTTGAAGCTACCAGCATGAGTTTGACCAAACTGCGGGAGGCAGTGGAAGACAGGAGGGCCTGGCGTGCTCTGGTCCATGGGGTCACGAAGAGTCGGACACGACTAAACAACAACAACAGGCTCCTATTTTGTTATGTGCAAATGGCTTGAGATACCTATGAGGTCCATAAATTACCATATAGCATATATTCAACACAAAAAACAGTGACAATTTGTTGTTGACAAAGGACAGCTGGACATATAAAGGGCCCCATTACCTTCAGGAGCTTAGGGCCTCATCAAATCTAAATCCGGCCCTGGGTGAGACTGAAAAGCACCAACCTCAACATGGGAGACAGTGGGGTATAATGGTTAGAGTGTTGGACTCGGACCTGGATTCAAGTTACAAGAAAGGCGATTACAACTAAACATCAGGAATAACTTTCTGATAGTAAGAGCCATTCAGCAGTGGAATGGACTCCCTTGGGAAATTATGGGTGGTCACCTGTCATGGATGCTTTAGTTAAAATGGAGCTCCCTTCCAGCTCTACAATTTTATGATTCTGTGAAAACTCCATGCATTACTCAGTGGTGCAACACACTGATTTCTAACACGAAGTGCCCTGAATAGAATTCTCGATTTGCAGAGTTTGGTATGTGGTACAATAACTTTATTCTCTTTTCTGCTAAGGAATGTAATACAAAATAGTAAAAATGCTACAAAACAGAATACAAAACCCATAGCAAACAGCGTAACATCTCTTAAATATGTAACAGAGCCAATAATGTTTTTCTAAGCATGTATTATAGTAACATAAAACATGTTTCTTTGGATTTTTTTTCAGTGTTTCCTCATTGCTTCCACACAGTAGTTCCCTATGGACCTGGTGAAACTCACATATCCAAGGTTTTCGCAGCACCCACATCCTTCTCCCAAAATGCCACCCCGTATTATTTCCCCTTTAATCCGGATTTACCATGTACACAGAAATAATAATAATAATAATAATAATAATAATAATAATAATAGTACCCCGCCCATCCGACTAGGTTGCCCCAGCCACTCTGGGCAGCTTCCAACAAATATAAAAGCATAATAAAACATCAAACATTAAAAACTTCCCTATCCGAGAGTAAAACACACCATGGAAATGAGATATCTGGAGTAAATGGTGTGTTTTGATGAGGGTAACGTCATGTAAACCCTTCACAAAACTTTCATGCGGAAAAAGTTGCATCTCTACACCATGCATTAAAAGCCCTCCCCCCAATGATCCCGTGAACTGTAGTTTGCTAAGGGTGCTGGGAATTGTAGCTTTGTGAGGGGCAAACTTTGATTCCCAGCATTCCTTCCTTGCTCTACAAATGTGCTTTACACGTAAGGTGCATACGCACCTTCAGTGAAGTGCCACTATAGTGGTACCTCGGGTTAAGAACTTAATTCGTTCCGGAGGTCCGTTCTTAACCTGAAACCGTTCTTAACCTGAGGTACCACTTTAGCTAATGGGGCCTCCCACCGCCGCCGTGCGATTTCTGTTCTCATCCTGAAGCAAAGTTCTTAACCCGAGGTAATATTTCTGGGTTAGCGGAGTCTGTAACCTGAAGCGTCTTTAACCCGAGGTACCACTGTACTCAGGCAAGTTCCTGATGGATGACTGAGTAGTTTGGCCTGGTCCTTTTTACTAAAACAAAGTTTATCACTCCAAGGAGTGTTTTCAAATTAGGAAAAGACCTTTGACCTTACAGTGCTGAGAAAACCCCAGTGATCCAAAACCATGATGGGTACCATCTTTCATTGGACTGATTTTTCACATTGGGAAGCTTTTGAACATATTCAAATTTGCAGTCCTGAATTAAAGCATTGCAGCTGCCTCCTGCCAGCATGCACAAGCAAGAGCCCCTTCCTTTTGTTAAAGATGCTCACCTGGCTTGAAGGCTAAGAAAAGCCTTTGCCAACCTGGTGCCCTCAGGATGTTTGGGACTATGACCCCCATCAGCTTCATCTAGCACAGCTGTTGCTGCCCAGAACATCTGGAGATGCAACAGGTTGCTCAAGGCTGGCTTTGAGCATTAAGCAAGAACTGACCCCCTAAAACAGGCTCTTCCCTAGCCGGAAGATTGCTGGAAGAAATATCAATAACCTCAGATATGCAGATGACACAACTTTGATGGCAGAAAGTGACGAGGAATTAAAGAACTTTTTATTGAGGGTGAAAGAGGAGAGCGCAAAATATGGTTCTAAGTGTGTGTATTTTGTACCCAGTGGATCTCAGCCTTCTCTTAAAAAACCAAGCAGATCCCTAGAGACCAACTAAGTTTGTTAAGGTTTCTTAAGGTGCTACTCCCCTTCATGGATCAGAACCTTTTATTGAGGGTGAAAGAGGAGAGCGCAAAATATGGTCTGAAGCTCAACATCAAAAAAACGAAGATCATGGCCACTGGTCCCATCACCTCCTGGCAAATAGAAGGGGAAGAAATGGAGGCAGTAAGAGATTTTACTTTCTTGGGCTCCATGATCACTGCAGATGGTGACAGCAGCCACGAAATTAAAAGACGCCTGCTTCTTGGGAGAAAAGCAATGACAAATCTAGACAGCATCTTAAAAAGCAGAGACATCACCTTGCCAACAAAGGTCCGTAAAGTTAAAACTATGGTTTTCCCAGTAGTGATGTATGGAAGTGAGAGCTGGACCATAAAGAAGGCTGATCGCCGAAGAATGGATGCTTTTGAATTCTGGTGCTGGAGGAGACTCTTGAGAGTCCCATGGACTGCAAGAAGATCAAACCTCTCCATTCTGAAGGAAACCAGCCCTGAGTGCTCACTGGAAGGACAGATCCTGAAGCTGAGGCTCCAATACTTTGGCCACCTCATGAGAAGAGAAGACTCCCGGAAAAGACCCTGATGTTGGGAAAGATGGAGGGCACAAGGAGAAGGGGACGACAGAGGACGAGATGGTTGGACAGTGTTCTCGAAGCTACCAGCATGAGTCTGACCAAACTGCGGGAGGCAGTGGAAGACAGGAGTGCCTGGTGTGCTCTGGTCCATGGGGTCACGAAGAGTTGGACACGGCTAAACAACTAAATGACAACAACAGCAAACAAACTTGGCCTTCCAGATGTTTTTTGGCCTACAACTCCCATGATCCTTAGCTAGCAGGATCAGTGGTCAGGGATCATGGGAATTGTAGTCTCAAAACATCTGGAGGGAGGAGTTTGAGGAAGCCTGCCCTAAAAAAAGGAAGCAGTTTTAACCGAGGGCCAAAGAGTGAGATCCAATGCCATCTTTTCCCTCTAAAAGGGACAAAGGCGAATGTCTCCTTCCCATCCCATGATTTCAAAATACATTTCTCTTGGGCACAAGGGATGGGGCAGGGTGGGCGAGGCAGCACCAACATAACATTGAATCCAGAATTCAAGGAAGTGGTGCAGAAATGAGTGATATGGATTATGGAATTCACCAAATTCCCACAAATCGCTTTCGAACATTCCAGACTGAATTTTGCAAGCCTTGGATTTCAAAGAAATCTGCAATGTTTCAGAGGATGTCTGACTGCGAAGACTGAATTTATGGATACAGGAAACCCCATCACTATCACAGAGCTGGAGTTTGGGGGCAGATTCGAAAGACACAAACTCTGCAATTCAATGTTTTAAACATTCAAGGGGAGGGATTCACGATAAAGTCAAACTTTTTAAAGAAAGAAAGAAATGCAGAAAGTGACCACTAGAGGGGGCTTCTCTTTCTCTGAGCCACACAATTAAGCAACATACTGGCCATCAGACAAAGTCGACTACTTAGAGGTTGCATTTAAACGGTGACTTCCTGGGCTTTTAATTCCACACTTTCGTGTTAAACGGGAAGTGGGGGAAACTGTGCATTTTGCAGGGTGGGAAAGGAGACTCAGGGACAGGCCAGATTATTATCTCCTGTGCCCCCCCCGGGGGGGCAAAGTTTGTCTGGTTGATGAGGATGTCTACCTGTCAATCGCCAGACATCACATTGACACCAGGCAACTCTTTTTGGGGGGAGAATCAAATGGTGATCTGGAATTGGTTCCCTTTTGGACATCTTGAGTTCTTTCTCTTGGAAAATGTGATATTTGTTTGACAGGAGCACTGCTTAGAGGAATGGTCCCGATTCCTTCCAATTAATAACAACTGTACACATTTATTCTCTCTCTCTCTCTCTCTCTCTCTCTCTCTCTCTCTCTCTGTGTGTGTGTGTGTGTTTGTGGGAAACAACAACTGACGGCCTATAAAGGCTCTCAAAAGGTTCATCTGTTCCTCTCGACCCCCCTGAATGTCCACCCGGTCTTCTCCTGAAGCCAGTCCACATAGTTGGAGACCTTGGTGTAGACCCCGTAGACTTGCTTGCTACCACACTCTTCGGGGCCTCCCCACGAGACCAGTCCTTGGGCCACCCATCTCCGGCTCTCCAGGTCTTGGATGACGAAGGCTCCCCCGCTGTCCCCAAGGCAAGTGTCCTTCCCACCTTCATAATAGCCGGCACAGAACATGTTCTCAGTGACGCTGTAGTTCCCCGACCGAGATTCGTAGCTCATCTTGCACTCGGCGTGCAGGACCACTGGTAGTTTGACATACTGGAGAACGTCAGAGAGGGTCCTCATGCCGGAGCTGATGACCTCGTCCACGGTGATGTTGGGGTTGGAGATGCCCCAGCCAGCCACCAGGCCCAACGTGTTGGGTTGAGGTCCTTCTAACTCGTGTTCATACTGCGGCAGGCAGATGGGCATGACATGGGGTCCCAGCGTCACCTTCTCCTTCAGCTTCACCAAGGCAATGTCGTGGTTGTAGTTCTGGATGTCAAAGGCCTCGTGGAGGACGATCTTCTCCACCGTCCGGTTGACGGCGTCCACCTTGTTCCTCACGTCGTGAAGGCCCAGGTAGATGGTGACGTGCTCTTTGGAGACGGGGATGATGGTGTTGTCCCGGCGCTGGGAGCGGAGGACGTGGGCGGCGGTCAGCACCCACGACTCGGAGAGCAGGGCCCCGCTGCCAAACCACCTGTCGTTCGGCACTCGGGACGTGTCCTCCACCACGATCAGGGCTTGCCAAGGGAAAAACCCGGGCTCTGCGTTTCGCCCGCCGATGATGCGCTTGATCAGGGTGGGCAGCGACCGCGTCGGCCGCCCACAAACTGGGGAAAGAATACAACAGAGCAGATGGTTAGACGACCAGGGCTGGATCCATCCCAAAAAGTAGCCAAACTGTGACTCCAAGTAGATTATGCCAGGATTCCCCCCCCCCATTGGGGGGCGGCAGAAAAGTTCCTGCCTTGCTTCCAACTTTTGTTTCCTATATTAAGTCCTACAGGGCTACTCTGTGTAAAGGTGCGCTGGATCGTTTGTCATTTTAGAGCTGGGCAGCATTCAGGTGTATCAATTCCAACAATTGAAATTTCAAATTGACCAGCAGAGTTTTAAATTATGAAATTACAAATTTTCAGTCCCGAGGCTTTGAATTTAACATGCCAAGAGCTCCGCTCAATGGACCATGCCAAGATTATATACACATGGAAATCCATCAAATGTCACTGGCAAAACACTAGGACTTCATACAGTATATCTGATATATATATATGTTGGTAATTCCTGGAATTAGACCCTCAATTGCTGCTGGACACCTGCATCTATGTTCTATGGCCTATGTCTATGTCTCAGTGGTAGAGCACACATTTTGCATGCCCTCCATGGAATCCTGGGACCTGTAGTCTGTTGTGGATGCTGAGAGTTGTTAGATTGAGGTTGAATCCTGACAAGACAGAAGTACTGTTCTTGGGGGACAGGAGGTGGGTGGGTGTGGAGGACTCCCTGGTCCTGAATGGGGCAACTGTGCCCCTGAAGGACCAGGTGCGCAGCCTGGGAGTCATTCTGGACTCACAGCTGTCCATGGAGGCACAGGTCAATTCTGTGTCCAGGGCAGCCGTCTACTAGCTCCATCTGGTATGAAGAATGAGACCCTATCTGCCCGCGGACTGCCTTGCCAGAGTGGTGCATGCTCTGGTTATCTCTCGCTTGGACTACTGCAATGTGCTCTATGTGGGGTTACCTTTGAAGGTGACCGGGAAACTGCTATTAACTGGGAGTGGCCGCTGGGACCACATAACACCGGTCCTGAGAGATCTGCATTGGCTCCCAGTACGTTTCCGAGCACAATTCAAAGTGTTGGTGCTGACCTTTAAAGCCCTAAATGGCCTCGGCCCAGTAGACCTGAAGGAGCGTCTCCATCCCCATCGCTCAGCCCGGACACTGAGGTCCAGCTCTGAGGGCCTTCTGGTGGTTCCCTCATTGTGAGAAGTGAGGTTACAGGGAACCAGGCAGAGGGCCTTCTCGGTAGTGGCACCCGCCCTGTGGAACGCCCTCCCTTCAGACGTGAAGGAAATAAGCAGCTATCTTATCTTTAAAAGACATCTGAAGGCAGCCCTGTTTAGGGATGTTTTTGATATTTAATGCTGTATTGTTTTTAACACTCGATTGGAAGCCGCCCAGAGTGGCTGGGAAAACTCAGCCAGATGGGCAAGGTATAAATAAATTATTCTTATTCTTATTCTTATTCTTATTCTTATTCTTATTCTTATTCTTATTCTTATTCTTATTCTTATTCTTATTCTTATTCTTATTGAAGGGACCCTGAGGGTCACCCCTGCAATACAGTAATCTCAACTAGAGTTGTGTTTGTATCCTGCTCGCGGGGTCCCCTTCATCCTGTCCCAGCAGGCTCTTCATACATAGCTCTGTGGCGGGGATTGGGGGATCTGAACAACTCTCAGCTCCCTTAGCAAACTGAAGTTCCCAGGATTCTCGACTGGTTCATAGAATTACAGGATTGTCGGGGACCCAAAGGGCCGTCCTGCCCAACTGCCTGCAATGTTTAAAGCGGTACGCTGCCGCTTTAAATGCCCGATGCAGATATGTACAGAAGCATCCCTCAAGGAGACCCATGGCATAATCTACAGGCAATGATGCCTTCGCACACCCTGGTGCTGTCCATCATTGCACCCTCAGAGATCCGGAATACCTTTGCGGGGCAGGAAAGCAAGTGGCCGATCTCCCCACCAGCATGCACGGTGAAGGGAGGCAGCCAGCTGTGCCAGTCGCTAGCCAGCCAGGACAAGTTGCCCGCTCTCCGGAGGTGTCCAGGGCTGGCAACGAAACAGAAGGCAGGCCGGTCGGGCGGATCTCGCCAGCGTCTCTTGGGAAAGGAGGAAGAAAGATTCTTTTGGAGCGCCAACGCCTTCCGGGATTTCGATGGAGGCCGGTGTGGTCGGCGGGTCAGAGGGCCAGGAGTCATCCCAACATCATACCATGCATAGCCTGAGAGAGCAAGCCAGACCTCTGATTCGCCTGGCACTGCCCATATCTGCCAGGACTGGGTTAAATAAGTTAAGCCCCACTGGCAAGGCATGCCCCACTGATTCAGCCCACATGCTGGGTGGGAGGAAGGCACCAGAAAGTCCTGAAATGGGGCATTTGGGGAAGTGGGATGTGGAGTTTGGTTGGTCCAGTGCAAGAGTGGGCAAAGGCAAGTGTACCGTATTTCTCGCTCCATAAGACACACTTTTTCCCTCCTAAAAAGTAAGGGGAAATGTATGTGCGTCTTATAGAGCGAATGCAGGGGGAGGCAGGCAGGAAAAGCCCCCAAGAGCCGCATACAAGCTCTGCGTGGCTCTTGTGGGCTTTTCCCCAGCAGGGAGAAGGGACTGACGTGGCTAGTCAGTCCCTTCTCCCTCCTCGTAGAAAAGCCCACAGGAGCTGCGCGCTCTTTAAAGGGTGCGCAGCTCCTGTGGGCTTTTGCGGGAGGTGGGGGAATTGCCATAGCCGCTCGCAGCTTCTCCCGGCTAGAGAGGTTGCGTGCGGCTAAAGAGGAAGCCAAGACAGCCAGTGGGATGGATCCTGCTCGCTGTCTTGGCTTCTTTGCTCTTTGGGGCTGGGGGAAAAATAATAATTCCCCCCCTTGATTTCCCCCTCTAAAAACTAGGTGCGCCTTATGGTCCGGTGCGCCTTATGGAGCGAAAAATACAGTAATTTTATCTGCTCCCCTTTTCTGGCCTGGCTGGAACAATTGGTAGGGCTGTGGATGTGGAGGTGGCTATACCCCTTCCGCTGGCTGTCTACCAGGGTTTGGGATTGCCCATTTAGTACCCAAGCATAGTGGAATCCCATTATATTTGGGCATTACCACAGTGTCAAGAAATCATAGGTTCTGTGAGACTCTAGTTACATAAATGAGTGCAAACGACAAGCGCTGAATTTCTCAAGCGAAAGCTAAAATTGGATGGCAATCGACAAGCTGCCTCAGTTAACCGGAAAAAACCCCACCCATAGATGCCGGTCTGACAGCAGCATACACTGCAACACTTTAGCAAAACCCGAGAAGTGTGAAGAGCTTGAGCCAGAATCTAGTACCAAAAGGGTTTTAGAACTGATTCAAGAATTTGGTCAGGTTGCAGGATTTAAATTGAATAAGTTAAAAACCAAGGTTTTAGAGAAAAACTTAACACCAATTGAGAGAGAGAGGTTTCAGAATGAGACAGGTTTAACAGTGGCTAAGAACGTTAAATACCTGGGGATTAACATGACAGCAAAAAATGGGAATTTGTTTAAAGACAACTATGAAAAATGCTGGGCTGAAGTGAAAAAAGATTTAGAAATTTGGTCAAATTTGAAGCTTTCACTGCTGGGTTGTATTGCTGCGATAAAAATGAATGTATTGCCTAGAATGTTGTTTTCGTTTCAAACATTGCAAATTGTGGACAAAATGGACTGTTTCAAGAGGTGGCAGAGAGATATTTCTAGATTTGTCTGGCAGGGCAAGAAGCCTAGAATAAAATTTAAAATATTAACAGATGCAAAGGAAAGAGGTGGATTTGCCCTGCCAGACTTTAAACTTTACTATGAATCAGCAGCTTTTTGCTGGTTGAAAGAATGGCTGCTTCTTGAAAACACAGACATTTTGGATTTAGAAGGTTTTAACAATGTATTTGGATGGCATGCATATCTGTGGTATGATAAGGTCAAAGCACATAAAGCATTTAAAAATCATATTGTCAGGAAAGCATTGTTTAATGTTTGGATAAGATATAAGGACTTATTGGAAAACAAAACCCCAAGGTGGCTGTCACCGATGGAAGCGAAAGCTCAGAAAAAGCTCAATATGGAGGTCAAATGGCCAAAATATTGGGAAATTTTGGAACAAGATGGAGATAGACTGAAATCGCAGAGTTTTGAGAAATTAAAAAATAAAGTGTGAGACTGGCTTCATTATTATCAGATAATGGAGGCATATAATTTGGACAAGAAAATTGGCTTCTGGGTGGAAAAATCAAAATTGGAAACAGAACTGTTAGAACCCAAAACCAAGATTTTGTCAAAGATGTATAACTTGCTGTTGAAATGGAATACTCAGGATGAAACGGTGAAATCTGCTATGATTAAATGGGCACAAGATGTTGGACATAACATAATGATGGCTGACTGGGAACAGTTATGGACCACAGGTATGAAGTTTACGGCATGTAATGCCTTAAGAGAGAATATTATGAAAATGATATACAGGTGGTACATGACACCAGTCAAGCTTGCAAAAATCTATCATTTGCCCGATAATAAATGTTGGAAATGTAAAGAAACCAAAGGTACATTCTTTCACCTTTGGTGGACGTGCCCAAGGATTAAGGCTTTCTGGGAGATGATTTATAATGAAATGAAAAGGGTATTTAAATATACCTTTCTGAAGAAACCAGAGGCCTTTCTCCTGGGCATGGTCGGCCAAATGGTGCCAAAGAAGGACAGAACTTTCTTTATGTACGCCACAACAGCAGCAAGAATACTTATTGCAAAGTATTGGAAGACACAAGACCTACCCACTCTGGAAGAATGGCAGATGAAGGTGATGGACTACATGGAATTGGCGGAAATGACTGGCAGAATCCGAGATCAGGGAGAAGAGTCGGTGGAAGAAGATTGGAAGAAATTTAAAGATTATTTACAGAAATATTGCAAAATTAATGATGTTAGAATGATGTTGGAATGAAGTTAGGTGGTTTAAGCAGTAATGCTATAAAGGTGTATGTAAAAAAGGATTGTTAATAGATGAAAATTTAAAGTTATAGAATATTAAGTTAAAGGATCATGAGAAAACAAAGAGGGAAAGAAATTGCTGACTTAATTAATTGAACTGGAATACAAAAAAAGGGAGGTATGAGGAGGTCAGGGAAACAAGGATATGAATGTAAGCTATGGAAAGATTGACCCATTTTTCTTTTTTCTCTTTTTAAGTGTCTTTTATTCTTTTATTCTGTATTTTGTATTTTTTTTTGGTATTTTTACTTTTTGTTTTTCTGTAATTCTTTTTTTTCTCTGAAATTTTAATAAATATCATTTTTTTAAAAAAAGAAGTGTGAAGAGCTTGATCTGGAGCTTTGTCTGTTGCAAACGCTTGCACATCAAGGGGCGAAACTGTCGAGTGAGATTGACACAATGAGTTCTTTGTTCACTCAGGGCAGCTGCAGAACGGAAAAACACTTCACCTGTGAAATATCTGCTTGTCTTGCAGCTGTGAAAGGCACAGGTGCCCAGCCAGAATAAACCACTGGTTATGCTAGATGAAAATCAAAATAAACGTTTGCATGGAGACAAAAATCAGCGCATTTTGAAGAGCTGGCATGGCCAGCAGAGATCTCTGCACGTCCCAAGGTAGGACACCCTCATAGCAGAATTGTCACCTCTCTCCCCCTTCATCCACCCTTCCACACCCTTTGGAACCAGCGACACAAGGACATCATCTGGCAGCCTTCCTACTTTAATTTACATCGCACTGGAGTTAACTGAACAGCAGCCAAGAGTACTGAAATACATTAAGTGTGTGTTTATTTGTTTTGCTTAACTGTCAGTAGGCAAAATTAGGGCTCTGCTAAAATGGAAACTGATTAAAGGGTTGGCAAGGACAGAGAAAGCTTGACGGAAGGAGCTCTGCTAAAATGGCAGAGCAAGGGAAATTAATTAGAACATTCCCCCTCTATGCTCTTCATCAAGGACCGCCAGCCGTTTTTAGGCCTGGGAGCACATGTGGCTTCTTGAGCGAGAGCCAGGGGTGTTGCCGCCGCTCTTTCTGCTCACTTTCCTCCCCCCCCACATCATTCCCCCACCCAAGACACAGAAAGCATGGCAGTGCACTCACAAAGAGTTCACTTTTCCAAGATATTTGGCAAATCTGGATGCAGTAGAATCCACCTGAGCCTTCAAAGGCATCTAGAGCAGAAAGAGGAAGTGTAGAAAACTGCCACTCATCCAACTTCCAGCTCTATTTTTCCATGCACAACATGCCCCCGTGTATAAGACGACCCCTGTTTTTTGAGACCCCAAATTTAGGAAATGGGGGGAGATTGTCCAGAGTTGTTAAGCTTTCTTTAGGGGAGCGGGATTGCTGACAATCGCTCACCCGCCTGACCACCAGTGCCAATCGCATGCATTGCCAGAGACACCAATATCGTCTGCCCACTCGCTGCCAGCAGCCACCAATCACCTGCCCAATCGCCGCAGACAATCTCCTGCTCGCGGCTGCCACCAATCGCCTGCAAATTGGCACCAGCCACTTGGTTTTTCGCCTACCTCATAGCAAATCGTCACAACTTTCTTGGTATAGGCGGTTAGGCATTGGTATTGGTATTGTCATGTAGTTGGAAGGGGGGGAGGAAGCGCCATCACCTCCCCTGCATATTGAAGGGTAGTCCGATAAAGGATTCTGGGGGGCGTGGACCTATCCAAAGCCTATGGAGGTGAGGGCCTAAGGCACACCCCCCGAGCGGTGACCCTGGGGGAGTTCCTAGTTGATGTGCATCAGCAGGACTCCCCCTACTGGAGATTGACCCTTCCCGGACTTCAAGCGAACAGGCTGAAGCCGGACTGTTGGTTAGGACCAATGCCTAAGCCAATACCGCTCATCACCGGTAACCAATAAAGTTGTGGCCATATTTAGCCCATTAAGCTTCAATATCTGTGTCATGTGTCTTTATTTCCACTGGAGGGAGGCAGGAACTCGCCACGCAAATGCTTTCGCCACCTCATGGCCAAAGGTGTAGTGTGTCTCTGTGTGCAGTTTAAAAGCTTCATGGGCATCAGGATAAGACCTCAAAGGGATTACCTGGCTGGGGGCGGGGGATGCGCTAAGAGGCAAGGGGGCTGCGGGGGGGGGGGGCACTAGAGGTGTCAATGACTACCAGATTTTGAAAAGCCAGTATCACTGGATAAAGCTCATCAGTTTTGTTGAATTACACCAGCTAAGTAGTTTTAACTGGATTATGAATAAATGTGAAATTAATTGTGTCTTTTTTTGAATTTTATTGCATTATTATCTTGCCAAATCACTGTTCATCATCATCATCATCATCATAATTTTTAAAGTAGTTTGGCACTGGGGATAAGTTTATGCAACCAAGTGAGTAGCGGCCCAAAAGTGTTTTGGAACCATTTTCTTAAATAGATGGAATGATTTGGGTATTTGGTTTTCTTTTTTAAGTGGGAGAAAGCATGGTAAACAAACAGGCTAAAAATAGCGCAGCCCAAGCCAAGGCATGTTTACCCAGAAGGAAAACCCCGGTTGGTCCCAGTGGGTGCAGGATTGCAGCAGAAACCATGACAAAGGGACAGGGCACTGCCAGAATGTTTATTCTGGCTGTATGCAGAAGCCAGTGATCTGCTAGAGAAGAGAGAGGGGTTTCCTAGTGACAGGCAACTGGCGTTCCAAGGAGAGAGGAGCAAAGCGCTGCGATTTCTCAGCTCTTGGCCAGCTTGCTCTGACCTCTGGAAAACTTTCCCTGGGACTTGCCAGCCCGCCTGGATTCCATCAGGACCAGAAGCAGACAGAAAAGAGCATGTTTAAAAAACAGTCAGTCTTTTAAAAGGGGGCAGGGAATGGAAGTTTGTACTATACAGTTACTATAACACCCTGAAAGCTCAAAAAAACCACTTTTAAGAGATGTGCGTCCCCATGTTCAACGTTGTATCTTGGTGGGTATGAACCTGGGACAGAGGAACCTGACAAATTCGATTTCTCCCAATTCCTCGTTTTCCCAGTCTTAAGTTTGGCTCTCCCATGTTTCCACATCAATTTGCAAATTTCTTTGTGAAAAGTCCCCATGAGCCTTTTGGTGCGAATCTCTCCTAATGTTTGTATGCAATTTTGCTCATCTTTTTCAAAACAACTCCCCCCCCGCCCCAAATATGCATTTCTTTCCATGTCATTTTCACTCTTATTTGCATTGATGTGGACACTTCACCCTCCAGGTTATACATTTTTGGACCCATTAACTTGTCTGGAGAACTCTGTTGCAAAATTCGGAGAAGCGTGTGTTTTGAAAGACGGCCGAGCTCTGCTTCTTCATTGTTTCGGAAAAAGCAAATTAGGTAATTTGCCTTCAAATGCAAATGGAATAATCCGATTTCTCCCTCCCTCAACAAGCTCTCCCCAACCAATCCTGCCTGGTTGAGCTCTTGCCATCCTAGCTTCTACTAGCCAGAATTAACACCAGCAACTGAGAAATCTGGGCAGATGCTCCTGGCTTAACCAGTGACAGGGGAGCTCATGGATGGCTCTAAACAGAGTTTATGTACCAGTGGCAGAACACATGCTTTGCACATGCAACCTGGTCCCAGGTCCAATTCTCCAGTTAAAAAGAACTTGGCCGGACACTGTTCTGCCCGGACACTGAGGTCCAGCGCCGAGGGCCTTCTGGAGGTTCCCTCGCTACGAGAAGCTAAGTTACAGGGAATACAGGGAACCGGGCAGAGGGCCTTCTCGGTAGTGGCACCCGCCCTGTGGAACGCCCTCCCACCAGATGTCAAAGAGAAAAATAACTACCAAACTTTTGGAAGACATCTGAAGGCAGCCCTGTTTAGGGAAGCTTTTAATGTTTAATAGGTTATTGTATTTTAGTGTTCTGTTGGAAGCCACCCAGAGTGGCTGGGGAAATCCAGCCAGATGGGCGATGTATAAATATTATTATTATTATTATTATTATTATTATTATTATTATTATTATGGCTGGCAGGGTTTCCCACCTAAAACCTGGAGAGGCGATGCTACTAGACAGGGCAGAACGTACCAATGGTCTGCCCTGGCGCGAATTAGCATCATATGCCATATTTGCACCAAAAGCAGACCCCTCTTGCACCAATTCTGATTTAGCCACACGAGGAGCTCTGCATAGTGTGAAAGGTTTGCATCTAAAACCAGAGGGTGAGAAGCTCAAAGAAGCCAGCTGGCATGAAGGTTGCATTTCAGTGCAATCTAGGTACCTGGTTGACAAGACGGCAGGCGCGTTCCCAGCTCCGCACTTCTCCATAGGCCCCTGGCATCACAGGTGTAGGTACCTGGGGAAGATCAAAACACAAGTTCTGGACAGGAATCATACCACTAGGTGGTGCTGTCGTAATGTCTTACCGGTTTTCTTCAGTCTATAAGGAGAATCAACTGGGATTCAGCAACCAACTGGGATTCAGAAGCATCGCTGCCTCCAACCGTGAGTGCAGGGCAGACCCCTCATGGCTAGTAGACATCTGTGATGGACAGCAGAGCCAGACCAGAGTCTCCCCTGAAATTCCACCTGAATGCTGGAGCCTCTCTCTGATTGGCTACAAAGTCAGCTGGTCACAGAAGGGGGAGGAGCAGCACTTTGGGAGAGAGAATAAAAGGGGCCGCTTCTGAGGGAGAAGAATTAGATAGGGCTAAGGGTCAGGTTAAGAGATAGGGCTGGATTTGAGAAGAGATAGGGCTAAGGGCCAGGTTGGGAGATAGGGCTGGATGTGAGAAGAGATAGGGCTAAGGGTCAGGTTAAGAGAGGGCTGGATTTGAGAAGAGATAGGGCTAAGGGCCAGGTTGGGAGATAGGGCTGGATGTGAGAAGAGATAGGGCTAAGGGTCAGGTTAAGAGAGGGCTGGATTTGAGAAGAGATAGGGCTAAGGGCCAGGTTGGGAGATAGGGCTGGATGTGAGAAGAGATAGGGCTAAGGGTCAGGTTGAGAGATAGGGCTGGATTTGAGAAGAGATAGGGCTAAGGGCCAGGTTGGGAGATAGGGCTGGATGTGAGAAGAGATAGGGCTAAGGGTCAGGTTGAGAGATAGGGCTGGATTTGAGAAGAGATAGGGCTAAGGGTCAGGTTAAGAGAGGGCTGGATTTGAGAAGAGATAGGGCTAAGGGCCAGGTTGGGAGATAGGGCTGGATGTGAGAAGAGAGAGGGCTAAGGGTCAGGTTGGGAGATAGGGCTGGATTTGAGAAGAGAGAGGGCTAAGGGTCAGGTTGGGAGATAGGGCTGGATTTGAGAAGAGATAGGGCTAAGGGTCAGGTTGAGAGATAGGGCTGGATTTGAGAAGAGAGAGGGCTAAGGGTCAGGTTGAGAGATAGGGCTGGATTTGAGAAGAGAGAGGGCTAAGGGTCAGGTTAAGAGATAGGGCTGGATTTGAGAAGAGATAGGGCTAAGGGTCAGGTTAAGAGAGGGCTGGATTTGAGAAGAGATAGGGCTAAGGGCCAGGTTGGGAGATAGGGCTGGATGTGAGAAGAGATAGGGCTAAGGGTCAGGTTGAGAGATAGGGCTGGATGTGAGAAGAGAGAGGGCTAAGAGTCAGGTTGAGAGATAGGGCTGGATTTGAGAAGAGATAGGGCTAAGGGTCAGGTTGAGAGATAGGGCTGGATTTGAGAAGAGATAGGGCTCAGGGTCAGGTTGAGAGATAGGGCTGGATTTGAGAAGAGATAGGGCTCAGGGTCAGGTTGAGAGATAGGGCTGGATTTGAGAAGAGAGAGGGCTAAGGGTCAGGTTGAGAGATAGGGCTGGATTTGAGAAGAGAGAGGGCTAAGGGTCAGGTTGAGAGATAGGGCTGGATTTGAGAAGAGAGAGGGCTAAGGGTCAGGTTGAGAGATAGGGCTGGATTTGAGAAGAGATAGGGCTCAGGGTCAGGTTGAGAGATAGGGCTGGATTTGAGAAGAGAGAGGGCTAAGGGTCAGGTTGAGAGATAGGGCTGGATTTGAGAAGAGATAGGGCTCAGGGTCAGGTTGAGAGATAGGGCTGGATTTGAGAAGAGAGAGGGCTAAGGGTCAGGTTGAGAGATAGGGCTGGATTTGAGAAGAGAGAGGGCTAAGGGTCAGGTTGAGAGATAGGGCTGGATTTGAGAAGAGAGAGGGCTAAGGGTCAGGTTGAGAGATAGGGCTGGATTTGAGAAGAGAGAGGGCTAAGGGTCAGGTTGAGAGATAGGGCTGGATTTGAGAAGAGAGAGGGCTAAGTGTCGAGTGCCTGATCACCTCATCTGTCTCCTGAGAAATCTCTATGTGGGACAAGAAGCTACAGTTAGAACTGGATATGGAACAACTGATTGGTTCAAAATTGGGAAAGGAGTACGACAAGGCTGTATATTGTTCCCCTGCTTATTTAACTTATATGCAGAATTCATCATGTGAAAGGCTGGGCTGGATGAATCCCTAGCCAGAATTAAGATTGCTGGGGTCACGAAGAGTCGGACATGACTAAACAACTAAACAACAACAAAGGGCTAAGGGTCAGGTTAAGAGATAGGGCTGGACTGAAGATGAGAGATAGGGAGCAAGATAGGATTTGACTAAGGGAGAAATGGTTCTGAGTTAAGTTAAACACCCACACTGAGGAGACTATCCAGAGCAAGAGGAGAAAGCCCCTCAGCTTGGATAGGGAGACCGGGTTGAGGGTCTGGGGAAGGTATACAGAGAGGAGTGTTCTGGGAGGGCTGAGTCTGAGCTGGGAGAGGCAGATCCTGTGGGAATTCAGGCTTCCTGGGTCTCATCCTAGCCAGGAGGGGGAGAGTTCTTTTAGGTACAGAAGAATCCCAAGCCAGTCACAAGGGGTGAGGAGATCCTCTGGGTCTGTTATGCCATTGGGAACCCCTCAGGAGTGGGATTGCTAAGAGAGCGGGTAACTGCGGAGAAGTGCCCCTCGCTCACGAACCAAGGTATTATTCGGTGAAGGAAGCTGTATGGTGTTTAAAGCGTTTAACTGTCATAACTCAGTAACAGAAACTGAAGTACAAAGACTGATTTTGAGTAAACTGTGTACAACTTGTACACAGCCCGCAAGCAGAGCACGATGGCTATTTGTCCGCAATAAGTTATCCAATATTTGCAGGTACAGTGCCCCTGTACATGGAGGCTCCTCTAGCTGTTGTGGCTCATAGTCATTGGCAAACAGAGGGTGGGGATTTAAGAGCATGTTAAGTAAAGGTAAAAGTAAAGGTACCCCTGCCCGTACGGGCCAGTCGTGTCCGACTCTAGGGTTGCGTGCTCATCTCGCTCAAGAGGCCGTGAGCCGGCGCTGTCCAAAGATACTTCCGGGTCACGTGGCCAGCATGACGAAGCTGCAGCTGGCAAGCCAGCACAAGCGCAGCACACGGAAACGCCGTTTACCTTCCTGCTATAAAGCGGTACCTATTTATCTACTTGCACTTAAGAGTGCTTTCAAACTGCTAGGTGGGCAGGAGCTGGGACCGAACGACGGGAGCTCACCCCGCCGCGGGGATTCGAACCGCTGACCATACGATCGGCAAGTCCTAGGCACTGAGGTTTTACCCACAGCGCCACCCGCGTCCCATATGTTAAGTAGATATGTTCTATTCTGAGAGGAGCTCTAGGAGGGGGAATCCAGAAGCATTTTGGTGCAGTAGTTCACTTTGAACTGGCTTCTGTGGGCATGTACTGGTCAGCGCCAGTGTCGTCACCGACACTCAAATCCCCAGTGCAGTTTTCCAATTGTTTTCACAATGGTTCCGGTTCCACTGAGCAGCAAGCTAATCTCACATTTGATTTGCTTATAAGTATGTGACTGCCCGGTGGGATTCAGGCCCTGGCTCAGAAGCCACTGTAACCACCATTGAGAATTCTTCTCCTGTCTTCGGTCTTCATGTGAGGAGAGGCAGGACATGCATTGCATTCTTAGGAAATCACCTTCCTTCCCCTTCAGGGCCATTCCAGCCTCCCCTTCTGACAGCAGTGCTGCAAAAGTATTGATTTTGTCTCCGTGCCTCTGCCTAGCAATATCCTGTGGCAGGCCTGTTGCCTGGGGCTGCTTCCTTGCACTCCTAAAACATCTCTTGTTGTCACGGAAGAAAAGCCTACCGATGGCTACTAGTGGGGATGGCTGCACGCAAAGACTTCTTTTTCAAACAGAGGTTCACCCCACTTTCCAGCCCATCTCTATTCCTCCCCTCCCTCAGCAGTCTTCTTCATCACTGGCTATAGATTTCGACCGCATTTGGAATATTTTGTAGCGTTCTGGTTGCCTCGCCTCACAAAGGAGATTATAGGGTTGGGAAAAGGTTCGGAAGGGAGCAACCAAAACAATCAAGGGAATGGAATCTTAGAATCTTAGATTGAAATACTTTATTGTCCTAGCGGCCTTTAGAAGGCAACTCTTGAGCACAAGCTCCTGGGCCAACTACATTTCTTGACCTGGCCCATCTTACTAGCTCTTTGTGGTCTTCTGTGAATGCTGCTTATCCCTTGTCCAGTCTCTGCTGCCCACCCCAGCATGCAAACCGGACACCCCCCCCACCGCGGGGCAGCCGCTCTCACCTGTGACGTTGGGGACCATCTCATAGTATGGATGCTGGCAGGAATACTGGATCGCCGACTGGTACGTGGTCAGGTTGTGTCGGGTGGAGAAGGTGACAAAGCCGTGGTCCAGCTCTCGTGGCGCCTTGCAGTCTGCAACTGGAAAGCCGAGCAGAGGGGAGGGTTTGGAAAAAAAGCCTCTGAGAATTAAGCTGGAGTCTTGTGGCTCTAAAGCGATCCCCTGTTTTGCTAAGCCTCACCGTCCCCTTCAAAAAACCCAGCGTCTGTAATGCCAGCTGGTCAAGGAGGGTTATAGAGAGCAGCCAATTTGCCTGATACAATAGCAGAGCTCTACTGGCTGTGCCCATCTGTTTCCACTGGCGGAGGAAGGGGGGTGCGGCCCGCTCCAGGTGTCATCCCTGAGGGGGGTGACATCGCCGCACCCCCCCACCATGCAGGCGGCACCCCTGGACGCTAGGGACACTCGCTGTGTGGGTGGCTCCCCCCGACGCTCGCCAGGCTAGGGAGGCTTGCAGTTGCGGGTAGCTAACTCCGCCCCAGCGGGCTGGCTAGCCCCACCCCTGCACAGCTCTGGGTGCTGAAGCAATTGCCTCAGCCTCTGCCTGTTTCTGGTCACAATTCGAAATGCTAGTCACAACCTACAAAACCCTACATAGAATAGGTCCAGGCTATCTGAAAGACTATATCCCCTTACATGAACCTGCCCAGGTTTTGGGATCTTCAGAGGAGCTCCTTCTTTTGGTCTCTTGGAAAGCATGAATGGGAAAAGGCGACTGCGCTGAAGCCCTGCTTGTAGGCTTCCCAGAGGCACCTTATTGACATGGGCCTGATCCAGTCCCAGGGCTCTTCTTCTTATGGTCTGATGCTTAAGGGTGGGAGCTGTGACATAAGAAAACCCACCCCAGGATGCAATGCGGTCCTCAGGCTTGCACTGGGACAGGGAGGCAGGGGCGTACAAAGCGGGGGGCGGAGGGGGCCGCCTCGGGTGCCACACCGCCTCGGGTGCCTCCCCCCAGCTGTAGAGCAGCCAAGGGCGTGTACAGTCCTTATGGGCGCCGCTTGCGCGCCATCCGTATGGGCTGCCGAGAATGTGCAGTCCGTATGGGATGCCGCACATGCGCAGCCTGTATGGCCGCCGTGCACAAGCGGCAGCCCGTACAGAGTGCACATGTGTTGTTATGTACTGAAGTTCTCACCCTGGGCCAGCAGGGGGATACTGTAGATAGTTATGCAAATAAGGGACGTTCAGTGATTGGATAGTTTTAGAAAATTGTTACAGTTACGTTGTTCTGGAGCTCTATATAAGCAGGCTGACTGAACCCTTCAGTTCAGTTCTGTTCTGGCCTGTGAATAAACAAGAGCTGTTTGAAGAATCGCTGTGTCGTCTGATATGTTCACCCACAACTTAACATGTGTGGCATCCTGTATGGAGTGCGCATCTGCGGCAGCCCATGTGGTGGCTGTGCATGTGCACTCCGTACGGTATGCCACACATGCGCACTCTGTACGGGCTGCCCCATCCCTCGGCGTCCTGCCCTGGGTGCTGGAGAGGGTTCCTCCTCCACTGCGGGGCGGGTGCCAGTTATAAGATTGCATGTTCCTTGCAGCTTACTGGATAGAGAACAAAACGATGGGCTGATTTTTTTGCAGTCTGGAATGATTGCAATTTGCACAGATGATTGCACTTTGCATACTGCATTCTTGAGTGATAGTTTTATGACTGCTTCTGAGCCTTTGTGTAGAGGAAAGTCTGTTTGCGTAGAAGAAAGTCTGAACCTCCCCAGGCCCCACTCCCCAGAGAGGCCGGTGCTGTGCTTTGAAAGAATTAAGCAAACTAGGGTTGCGCAATTTGTTCTTATTTAACACCGACAGGTTTAATTTAATTGGTTTAACTTGCATCCTTGATTCCAGTTACGCAAGAGTATCTGCTCTCTCTGTTTGAGTGTCGCTGTGCTTTTTCTTTTCTTTTCTTTTTTTTTGCAGAAGAAAATAATTTGTTCTATATTGGTTACGCAACATTTCCCCACCTTGTTTGCAGGATCCAGAATCATTGTCTGGGAACACAATGGGCCTTGAAAGAGGGCTGACTCCCCTATCAACTGTATGGGAAAACCCAACCGGAAGACCAATTGTATATTGAGGAGGCAATGATTCAAACATGGTTATTATTTATACCCCTGCCCATCTAGCTGGGTTTCTTCAGCCACTCTGGGTGGCTTCCAGTGGAATATTAAAATACAATAACCTATTAAACATTAAAAGCTTCCCTAAACAGGGCTGCCTTCAGATGTGTTCTAAAAATCTGGTAGTTGTTTTTCTCTTTGACATCTGGTGGAAGGGCGTTCCACAGGGCGGGTGCCACTACTGAGAAGGCCCTCTGCCTAGTTCCCTGTAACTTGGCTTCTCACAGGGAGGGAACCGCCAGAAGGCCCTCGGCGCTAGATCTCAGTGTCCGGGCAGAACGATGGAGGTGGAGACGCTCCATGAGGTATAGTGGGCTTTCAAGTTTCGGGCTTGAAAGGTCAGCACCAACACTTTGAATTGTGCTTGGAAACGTACTGGGAGCCAGTGTAGGTCTTTCAAGACCGGTGTTATATGGTCTTGGTGGCTGCTCCCAGTCACCAGTCTAGCTGCTGCATTCTGGATTAGTTGTAGTTTCTGGGTCACCTTCAAAGGTAGCCCCACATAGGTACCTTCAAAGGTAGCCCCTCGCATTGCAGTAGTCCAAGCGAGAGATAACTAGAGCAAGCACCACTCTGGCAAGACAGTCTGCGGGCAGGTAGGGTCTCAGCCTGCGTACCAGATGGAGCTGATAGACAGCTGCCCTGGACACAGAATAGACCTGCGCCTCCATGGACAGCTGTGAGTCCAGAATGACTCCCAGGCTGCGTACCTGGTTCTTCAGGGGCACAGTTATCCCATTCAGGACCAGGGAGTCCTCCACACCTGCCCACTTCCTGTCCCCCAAAAACAGTACTTCTGTCTTGTCAGGATTCAACCTCAATCTGTTAGCTGCCATCCATCCTCCAACCGCCTCCAGACACTCACACAGGACCTTCACCACCTTCACTGGTTCTGATTTGAAAGAGAGGTAGAGCTGGGTATCATCATAAATCACTGTCCCCCTCTCCTGGCTCAGTCTCCATCCCACTTGCCTCAGCACCAGAGCCCTGCCAGTTCCTGACATTGGGTCCCTCTGGGGTCGTGGTGCCAAAGGCTGGGCCATACCTGGTGTTATGTACTGAAGTTCTCACCCTGGGCCAGCAGGGGGATACTATAGATAGTTTTCACTCAGGTCCACATATGCAAAAAATAAGGGATTGAAAGTGACGTTCAGTGATTGGATAGTTACAGAAAGTGGTTACTGTTGCGTTCTAGTGGAGCTCTATATAAGCAGGCTGGCTGAACCCTTCAGTTCAGTTCTGTTCTGGCCTGTGAATAAACAAGAGCTGCTTGAAGAATCGCTGTGTCGTCTGATATGTTCGCCCACAACTTAACACCTGGCATTAGCCCCAGGTGGCAGAGCAGCTGGAAGGAAAGAAGGCCTGGCCCCCGTGCCATTTGAATTCAGCATTTGCCGTCCCGAAAGCATCCAATTTGCTCTCAGTGGCGTCCTACCCTCCGGAATTCAGGTCAATGAGGAAGAGAGAACTCTATGCAGCAAAAAGGCTTCCCTGAAGCTGAAAACTTTGAAAAGTAGGATTTTAATCACCTGGGGATGGGGGGCAGGGAGGACAAGGAAGGTGCAAGGAACTCTATAAACTTGTGAGAGAAGAAATTTGCAAGGGAAGAGGTGAGATGCAAAGAACTATGTTAATTAATGGGAAACGAACACCCACGGTAAGAAGCTTGGCCTATTTTTAGTTGGTGGGAGTTGCATATTTAAATCAGGCATTGGAGGAGACATTGCAAGGGGGAATTTCTGCATAAGGGATGGAGAGTACAGGTGAGTTGATCCACTGATGGACCCATTTCTGCTAACTGATGGGGGGAGGAATGCTGGACCATATGCACATAGGAAGCTGTGTCATAATATTGGCCCACCTAGGGCAGTATCATCTATTCTGGCTTGCAGCAGTTCTCCAGGGTTTCAAACTAGGCTATGCCCTTGATCCACAGGGTGGTGGACTAGATGGTCCTTGGGGGTCCCCTCCAACTCTGTGTTGTTGTTGTTTAGTCGTTTAGTTGTGTCCGACTCTTCGTGACCCCATGGACCAGAGCACGCCAGGCATTCCTGTCTTCCACTGCCTCCCGCAGTTTGGTCAAACTCATGGTGATAGCATCGAGAACACTGTTCAACCATCTCGTCCTTTGTCGTCCCCTTCTCCTTGTGCCCTCCATCTTTCCCAACATCAGGGGCTTTTCCAGGCAGTCTTCTCTTCTCATGAGGTGGCCAAAGTACTGGAGCCTCAACTTCGGGATCTGTCCTTCCAGTGAGCACTCAGGGCTGATTTCCTTCAGAATGGAGAGGTTTGATCTTCTTGCAGTCCATGGGACTCTCAAGAGTCTCCTCCAGCACCAGAATTCAAAAGCATCTATTCTTCGGCAATCAGCCTTCTTTATGGTCCAGCTCTCACTTCCATCCAACTCTACATTTTAGTTTTTCATTGGCTCACACAGAATTCTGCTTTCAGGATGTGTTTAAAGCCCTTTGTGGCTTAGGGACCTCGTATTTACGGGACCGCCTCTCCTGGTCTGTCCCACAGAGGACCTTAAGGTCCACGACTAATCATAGTTTAGAGGTCCCGGGCCCTAAGGAAGTCAGACTATCCTCCACCAGGGCCAGGGCCTTTTCAGTGATGGCTCCGACCTGGTGGAATGCTCTGTCCCAGGAGATTAGGGTCCTGCAGGATTTAACCTCCTTCCGTAGGGCCTGTAAGACAGAGCTATTCCGCCTGGCCTTTAATTTGAATTCAGCCTGATCTGCTATTTTACTTCTCTTCCCTCCCCCTCCCCTTTTATGAAGATCACCCGCTCTGAGATCCCACAGCTAATTCTCCCCTGACCTCCTCGCTGGCCCAACTAGGACCAATTCAGCCAGCCAGCCCTGGGGATTATCTAATTGATTTTTGATTTTTATTGTTTTTATGTTTTTACACTGTATTTTATGCTGCTTTTATAATTAAGTGTTTTAAATTTGTTGCTAGCCGCCCTGAGCCCGGTTTTTGAACCGGGAAGGGCGGGGTATAAATAAAATTATTATTATTATTATTATTATTATTATTATTATTATTATTATCTGCAGGCAACTATTGGTGACTGTTCTGGCCAAACCCTCTATAGGGTCCAGCACTTAATACCACCCGGATCTCCCGCATAGCATAGCTGAAAAATGGAAGGGGAATGGACACATTAAAATAAAATACAGAATTTATTCCAGCACCTATTTCCTCAGCTTATATGGATCTTCCTCATGCTTCCGAGAGGCTTTGAGTAAGCGCATTTGAGCTAGCGAAGAAGGAATTTGCTCTCTTTTCTTTTCCGTTAGGCAACTGTCTAATTTTGCCTTTCCCACCAACAAACGCATTTTGGGAAGAGCAAATAATGATCGGTGAACGGTAGAAAGGATAGCAAAGACTTGGGAAGGCCAGGCCAAGCCACATGTCACATGGATTTCTCAAAACAGAGAATGTCCATTGCACAAGAGAGATTGCCAGAGACAGGAAGAACTGTTTGCCTTTCAAAGATTTGGGTACCGGTGATTGGGAAGCAATGAGTGGGTGTAGGGAGATCTAGCTAAAATGTCACCCCCTCCCCTCCCCTCCTGAATTGCGCCATAGAGTTGATGACCTTTAGGTTGGAGAGACCCAGAGTACTTCCTGGAATGGGCTCATAAACAACTCCCCCAAACTTCAGCAAAGAAAGATAAATTTGAACCATCCCATCATTAGGGAAAAAATTAATTCACCTAAGTGCAGATAAAGCCACATCTCCCAACACATGGGACGAGTAGATCTTTGCTATTTGGTAGGATTTTATCTTATATACAACACATGCAGACACCCAGGACTCCTTCTCCATAGTACAATGTGAAATTTGGCTTTCCTATTTATAGAATCATAGAATTGTAGGGCTGGAAGGGACCCAAAGGCCATCTAGTCTGACCCCTTGCAATGCAGGAATCACAGGTAAAGAATCCCTGACAGGTGGCCATACAACCTCTGCTTAAAAGTCTGTAAGGAAGGAGAACTGTCCACCTCCCAAGGGAGTCTGTTCCACTTTCCAACAGCTCTTACACCAGAAAGCTATTCATAATGTTCAGTCATAATGTAAAGGCTGTGGAGAGAATAATTGGGTGCACTCTTCCCACCTTGGATCAAAGCTATGCTTCCAGGTGTCATAAGAAAGCTGCAGAGATAGTGCAGGATAGTGCGCACCCCAGAAACTATCTCTTTCAGTTTCCGTTTTCTTGCAACTTGAAGCCACTGGTTCGAGTCCTACCCTCCAAAGCAGGAGAAAACAAGCTAGCTTCCATGGGACAGCCCTTCAGACATTTGAAGATGGCTGTCATATCACCTTGTACTCTACCAGCATAATGTGACATCTCTTCTCAATATGCTGCACTGCTTTTTGGTACCTCTATTATTTTCACCGTATCCATTCGTTTGATTTACTTCAATATTTTATTTTATTTTTTAAGGAAAGAAATTGAGCATAAAATGGCAGCGGTGGGTGGCCATGGAAACAGGCAAAGGGACCAAAAATTCCCCCATGTACGTCCTACATGCTTATGAGACAGCTGATTCCACCCCTTTTCTTGAGCAGAGATCCTGTCATTGAGTAATCCTAGTGTCTCTGCATTCCTCGACGCAAAGGGCTGCTCTCATCATACTCAGCCAAGGGAAACAGATGGGCTGCTATGTGCCGTGGTGAAGGCTGGGGGTGGGGCTGGGGAGGCAATGTTTTCCTCTCAGAGTTGTCCCCAGAGTATTCTCCCAGGGACAGATTTGCTTTGCCAACGTGGAGGCGACAGATTTTCACAGCGGGCCAAGCAGATGGCCTGTGCTTCCTTCTCCTCCGCCACTACCTCCAGATGTCTGGTGGAAAATACGAAGGCTGAAATCACACAACTGCCTTGAGCATCATTTGGGAACCTTCCCCTGCGTTTGTTGAGGCACAAATGTGATGCTTTACTCATTTTGAGTGGAAGCTCACCTGGTGTTATGTACTGAGCTGAGTCCTAGAACAACAGGATCCAGAATGCAGCAGTCTGATTGGTCCACAGGAGCCACCCAATCCAGCTCCAGGTAGATGTGAATCAGCAACCTGATTGGCCTGCAGGAGCAGCCCGGAAGTAGCCAATCACGTGGGGTCCATTGTGTAATTAATGTATATATATCTAAACATTTTGGGGAAAGTTTCATTCATTGCTACTATGAGCTGAAGAAAGAGCATGAAATTCACACTCGACTCAGAGTATATTTCACCTGGTGAAGGAAAAAAGATTTGCGGAATGAGGCTAATCCAGGGTAAACGATGGATTTTCAAATTTTGGTGGCACTGTGAGGCCAAAATTCACCCCCTGCCTCCCACCTTCTGTTTTGCATGTGCATCATAAAAAGGGACGTGGGTGGCGCTGTGGTCTAAACCACTGAGCTTCTTGGGTTTGCTGATTGGAAGTTTGGCGGTTCGAAACCCTGCGACGGAGTGAGCTCTGTTGCTCGGTCCCAGCTCCTGCCAACCTAGCAGTTCGAAAGCACACCAGTACAAGCAGATAAATAGGTACTGCTGTGGCAGGAAGGTAAACGGCATTTCCGTGCGCTCTGGTTTCCGTCACGGTGTTCCATTGTGCCAGAAGCGGTTTAGTTCTGCTGGCCACATGACCCGGAAAGCTGTCTGTGGACAAACACCGGCTCCCTCGGCCTGAAAGCAAGATGAGTGTCGCAACCCCATAGTTGCCTTTGACTAGACTTAACCATCCAGGGGTCCTTTACCTTTTACCTTTACCTTTACTGCATGATAATTGTGACACTTTGCAGTGCCCCACTTAGCTTGGTGCCCAGTGTGGGGAAACTGGTCACCTAAATCTGCCTCTGGGTCAATTTGCCCATCTTAGCCCCACATCCTCTTCCCAGTGTGGCCAACCATGTAGCTCTATGGAACTTCCTGCCGCAGGAGACAGCGGTGGCCTCTGACTAGGATAGCTTTCAAAGAGGATTAGACAACTTCACAGAGGAGAGGGCAATCAATGGTTTCCAACCCCAAAGGCTGTGCTCTGCCTTCACAGTTGGAGGCAGCAATAACATTAACCTAACTAGCCTATAGTATCCGAGATCCCCCTGGAACCTTAAAAAAAGAATCAGTGTTGCACTGGCCAGTTTGCAGTGCTCCAGTACAGAGGCTGATCTCAGGGACAAGTTACAGACGTAATTTTTGTTAGTGGATGAGCAATTTCACTTTTGAGTTCTTCAAGCATTCTCAACTGAGTGGGAACTTTTTTGGGCAAAATCTAAGGGATTTCTGCCCTGACACTGCTTCCGACTGCAGTATTCCGGTTATGTCCATATGCCAACCCTACTCAGTTCCTCAGACTCCCTTCCTGTGAAAGTTTGGGCACAGGATTTTGCCGTACGCAAAGACATGCAAAAAATCCTTTCAGTTTCTCTGCAATCTCCTTATTCTCCTTCAGCACACTTTAGATTCCCTTGCCATCCAAGTGCCTCACCAGCTGGTCTCTTGTTACTGATGCATTTCTCAGTCGCTGGATCTTTCCACAAGGGCTGACATTGATGCCAAAATCCAGCATCACCTGAGCTCTGCAAGCAGTGGTGTCGCAACAGGGGGGCAGGCAGGGCGCCCCGGGTTCCATGTTTGCAGGAGTGACAAGAAGTCAACCTGCGGAGGCTCATGGCGGCGCGAGCAGCCATCGCGCCGCCGCAGCCGCATGTGGAGGATCCTCCGTTTGCGGCTACAGTTGCAAGCAGAGGATCCCGGCACCGTCCGTATGGTGCTGGAGTGACGCGGGCAGCAAACCGCTATACAGTGCATGTGCGGCGTCACTAGATATAGTGCATGCGTCATACATAGCAATGCCACACATGCGCCCTCCGTAGCGACGCCTGCCCCGGGTGTCACGACGCCTTCCTTTGCTCCTGTCTCCAAGTGCAGCTTTCTCTCGACTGAGTGTTTGAGGACCGGGACATTCACAGGGAAACCAAAATACTCACTTACAAAGCTATTGTACTACCAACTTTACTGTATGCTTGTGAAACATAGATCACTTATAAACACCATCTCCAACTCCTCAAATGATTCCATCAACGATGTCTCTGAAAATTTTTACATATCACTTGGGAAGACAGGCGAACTAATGCCAATGTACTGGAAGAAGTAAAGATCACCAGTGTCAAAGCAATGATTCTTCAACATCAACTTCGTTGGACTGGTCATGTTGTGCAGATGCCTGATCATTGTCTTCCAAAGCAACTACTCTATTCCAAACTTAAAAATGGAAAGCGTAATGCTGGTGGTCAACAAAAGAGGTTTAAAGACTGTATCAAGGCAAATCTAAAAAAAAGTAGTATGAACACCAACAACTGGGAAACACTGGCCTGCGAGCGCTCCAGTTGGAGAACAGCCTTTACCAAAGGTGTCATGGACTTTGAAAATGCTCAAACTCAGGATGAAAGGGAGAAATGTGCTAAGAGGAAGGCAAGTTTGGCAAACACTCACTATGATCAACTCCCGCCCGGAAACCTATGTCCCCACTGTGGAAGGACCCGTGGATCCAGAATTGGCCTCCACAGTCACTTACAGACCAACTGTTAAAACTGTGTTTACGGAAGACGATTTTACCCAGATATAAGTGATCGCCAAAGACGAAGAAGACTGATACATTTAAAGAATTTTGTTCCTGTGCAGTTTTTAGGTTTTAGCAGTGTGTTCCTCAGTTTCTTTTCTTTTCTTTTAACTCTCTTTACTGTCTGCTTGTATTTCTTTTTTCCATGTTTGTATTCCTTTTTGCTCTCCCAGTTTGGTCAAATGTTTCCATTTTCCTGAAGAAAGCCTTCTTGCCTCTAATGGCTTCTTCGATTCTACTCATTAATCAAACTGGCATCCTCTTGGCCCTCGTGGTACCTTTCTCAATCTCCAGGAGATATCGAGCTCAATTTGTCCTATTTGGGCTTTAAACACCCTCCCCCCAGCATTTTGAAGAGATTTGACTCTCTCCAAGTGGTATTGGGCAAGGGACACATATTGCCCCCGAGATAAATTCATGGGCATACCAGGGTCGTGAAATGAAAGTGGATTAAAGCCCTCTGTCACCTTGTGCAAAAGGCAACTAAAAAGACCTACAACCCCTGGCTGTAAAATGCTTTGAAAAGTGTGGGGTGCATTTACTTTAGCTCATTATGTATCATTTCCCAGAAAATGTTTAAAAATGCATTTGTTAAAAAAACAGAAGCCTTTTTACTAGGTATAACAGGCGAAGAGCTACCAAGAGAAGACAAAAGACTTTTTATGTATGCAACAACAGCAGCGAGAACGCTACTAGCCCAGAGATGGAAGGAAGGAGAGGTACCAACAAAAGAAAAATGGCAGATGAAACTGATTGAGTACGTGGAGATGGCGAAACTGACGAGGAAGATCCGAAACCAGGAAGATCAAGTATTTTCTAAAGACTGGAGCAAATTTGTAATTTATCTAAAAGACCACTGTAAACAGTTAAAATCACTGGCAGGGATGTAATGGCAATTTTGTATGATAATTATAGATATTTAATAGATGGATAATGGTAAAAGATGCAGCAAACTTAATCTTAAACATGGAACCCATGGATGGAGGGAAGGAGGTCCGAAGGTTCAAAGGAACCTTGTACTTTAATGTTTGAAATGGTTATGTTAAAATGTATAAAACTGTGAAAAAAAATCAATAAAAAATTATTTGTGGGATGAATGAATGAGTAACAGGAAGATGCATGAGTGCTATGCATGCAAAGGCTCCCCACCAACAAAACGGAACAAATGCAATATCTTCCAAGTGGTTTTTCCCATTTCCTAATCCTAATCCTCGTGAAAACCCATCAACATTTTTAGTGCAAATTTCACCTGATATACACATTTTTTCTGTGTGATTGTGCATCATAGACACATTTTTTTTTGTAAAACCAGTTTCTTCTAATAAAATGCATTCTTGAATGTTATTTTAACGAATGTATGCATTGCCATGTCCTTTTTACCCTGGTATATGCATTTATGTCTACATTATTTGGCTGGAGACCTGTGCTGCAAAATTAGGAGAAGCGTGAATTTTGAAGGATGGCTGTGTCAACGGCTCTCGCATTGCTTCAGAAAGTGTGAATTAGGTAGGCTCACCTTTAAATGTGAACTGAACCGAGTTTATCCCCCATCCATAATTCAAAGTGCACCCCTGCAAATACAGCAGGCCTGGAGTGTTGCACACAATCGGCTTAACAAGTTAAATACATCACTGAACATTCGCATTGCTTTTGATCCTATGACTCAATACATACATAAGGGAGAGTCAATGTGATGCCCTCCAGATTCTATTGAACTTCAACGACCATCAGCCCCAGCCACCCCAACCAGCTGCCAAGGATGATGGGAGTTGTAGTTCATCAACATCTAAAGGGTACCACATGGGCTGTGCCTGCCGAACAGCATAGAATCACAGAATTGTAGAGTTTGAAGGGACCCCGAGGTTCCTTTAGTCCAACCACCTGCAATGCAGGAACCACAGCTAATGTGTGAATCAGCCCAATGCCAGCAAATACATTTGCTTGTGAACTGGCTCTTCCATTACTATGGTTGCTAACAAACCTAATATGCGTAACTTCTAGATGAGCAGAGTTACCTTGCCTTAATCAAGGCATCTCGTCTGGGAATTGTAGCTATGCCACCTTGCAATGTACGCTGGTGTGTTCGACCTTCCGGAATTGGAGTGTGATTCGTGGCGAGAGGGTGCGTTCCCTCTGAAATTTAATCTCCTTTTTTTATTTGGATGCTGGCCTCATGACAGTGGAGATCGATGTTGGGACTTTACTCCTTTTCCTTCATGCTTGTATTTGAGTTAGAGGAGCTGGATCATGTGAGTGGGGGGCATCTGCTTGGGTCTCTAAGCTGGGGGAGTAATAATTGGACCTGCTCTTTATCTGCCGTTTTGTGTACATTGTTTGCTATGGCTGTCCAGGCGGATTTTTGCTGAACTGGCAAAGTGTCTGTGAAAACCCAGATGTACGGCAAGTAGGGCGGGTTTTTTTGTTTTAAAAAAATGCTTTAAAAATCCCACCAAAGCACCCAAACTTAACAACTTGCCCCCCCCAACCAGATATGCAGATAAAATTGTTGCCCGAGAAACAGAAATCAGGGAGGTTTCACTTTCCCCAACGCTGCGTTTTAATGCTAGAAAAAGCTTCACCTGCTGGATTTCTGCCTGTCAGGCACAGGAGCACCATGCGAAAGAAAAGCTGCCAGCCCTTCAGTCAGCATAATTTTGCATATTAGCAAAAAGTAAAATGAAACTAATTTTAAAAGTGGGCAGCGCACTTCATCGATACACAGAGCTTTTCAACAAAGAGTCCTGAGAGCTGTAGTTTCTTAAGGGTGCCAGAGTTCCCTGGAAGATGGATTGATTCTTAAACCGCTCTAGCAATTGCAGCTCTGGGAGGGGAATAAGAGGCCTCCTACCAATTCTCAGCACCCTTAACAAGTTACACTTCCCAGGATTCTCTGGGGCAAATCATGACTGTTTAATGTGGCATCACAGCGCTCTAAGTGCATAGGACAGATGGGACCATAGTCTAACTTCTGCATAAGCTTTGTGCAATCAAATCAAGATGACCGCTCAACAAACAGGACCTCTAGAGGACCCACTTTGGCTTCCATGAGTTGATCTGAAGGTGCACATGGTCAGCGCATGGAAGTCAGAGGCGGTGCCTGCCACTACGATCCTAATCGCCCCATGCGTTTACTGATGCTTGCTGGATTTGAAGCATCTAAAGGGGTCTGCCGCTCACCCCAGACTTGCTTTTCAGCCAGTTGAATTCAGGAACGATGGAAGTAACACCATGTTAAAAGAGAGAGACTTGGATCCTCCATCTCAGTGCTGGGGTAAAAGTCAGGAAATGAGTTAACATTGAGCAAAGGGGGGGGGGGACAGCCCATCACCAAGAAAAGCAGAGTTAGCTCAGCCAGTCCTTGAAAAATATTTTTTTCATTCGTGTGGACGCAGGCATGGAGTGTCCCAAAGCAGAGAACCAAACAGAGGCAAGCAGCGCATGCATGCCCCACACCTGTGGAAGCCATCACTGGAGTTACTCCCTCCAATTACGGAGAGCATTTTTGTTTCACGCCGTGCATTGATGCCTATGTTCTGCCTTCTCTCGTGCCAATCCCAGAGTCAAGAGCGTGTCCGAGCAGGAAGAGGGTCCCAGGCAGAATGAATGCAGAAACAGGGGAGCTGGCGCCTCCCCTGAAATTGGGAAAGGTGACTGGGGTGGTGGCAGAAGTGGCCCCCAGGCAAGGTCTTTGGACCACCCGCTCTCTGAACGGTGCCGTGCGCAAGACACCTTGGTCAGTCTGCCACGGGCTCCACCTCCTCTTTGATCTCCGTCCTGTTGTCTGTTGTTTCAGCTCCAGCAACTGTTCCGAAGGCAGAAGAGGGAGGGAGGGAGGAAAGTCCAGAGGGGGGCCAGGAAGGGCAGGAAGCGGAGAAAGAGAAAGCAGGAATTAGTAGTCAGGCGGCGAGAGGAAGAGCATGCAGGAGGCAGCCAGTAACACCAGGAGCCATTCATAAAAGGATGTACAGCCTCAATTCCCCAAGCAAGGAGGGCAGGCACTAAGTTATTGATCACACTCGGTCGTGCCAAACGGTACCCAGGGGGAGGGGGTGGGTCTTGTGTGTTCGTTAGTCTGGAATCATTAATCATCGGGCTGGGTGTTCATCAGTATGCGGATGATACCCAGCTCTACCTCTCTTTCAAATCGGAACCAGTGAAGGCGGTGAAGGTCCTGTGTGAGTGCCTGGAGGCGGTTGGAGAATGGATGGTGGCTAACAGATTGAGGTTGAATCCTGACAAGACAGAAGTACTGTTTTGGGGGGACAGGAAGTGGGCAGGTGTGGAGGACTCCCTGGTCCTGAATGGGGTAACTGTGCCCCTGAAGGACCAGGTGCGCATCCTGGGAGTCATTCTGGACTTACAGCTGTCCATGGAGGCGCAGGTCAAATCTGTGTCCAGGGCAGCTGTTTACCAGCTCCACTTGATACACGGACTGAGACCCACCCTGCCCGCAGACTGTCTCGCCAGAGTGGTGCATGCTCTGGATATCTCCCGCTTGGACTACTGCGATGCGCTCTACGTGGGGCTACCTTTGAAGGTGACCTGGAAACTACAACTAATCCAGAACGCGGCAGCCAGACTGGTGACTGGGATGGCCGCCGAGACCACATAACACTGGTCTTGAAAGACCTACATTGGCTCCCGGTACGTTTCCGAGCACAATTCAAAATGTTGGTACTGACCTTTAAAGCCCTAAACGGCCTCGGTCCAGTATACCTGAAGGAGCGTCTCCACCCCCATCTTTCAGCCCGGACACTGAGGTCCAGCGCCGAGGGCCTTCTGGTGGTTCCCTCACTGCGAGAAGCCAAGTTACAGGGAACCAGGCAGAGGGCCTTCTCGGTGGTGGCACCTGCCCTGTGGAATGCCCTCCCACCAGATGTCAAAGAGAACAACAACTACCAGACTTTTAGAAGACATCTGAAGGCAGCCCTGTTTAGGGAAGCTTTTAATGTTTGATGTATTACTGTATTTTAATATTTTTTTGGAAGCCACCCAGAGTGGCTGGGGAAGCCCAGCCAGATGGGCGGGGTATAAATAATAAATTATTATTATTATTATTATTATTATTATTATTATTATTATCATCATCTGGAGTGAGCACCTCACTGAGGATCAGCTGGAGGGAACAGGCTCCTGAATCCGCAGTCCATACTGCCTCTTGCCCAATTCAATCTGTTACGGGTGCCACATACGTAGAACCCGCTTTGCATTTGTAAGAAATAGATCGCTTAGCGTGGCAACACCTAAACTCTGGAACTCCCCGCCTATTGACACCCAGCAGACGCCTTCCCTGAGTTCTTTTCGGCACTGGCTAAAACCATATTTTGTTTAGACAACCCCATCCAGACACGAAGAATGTTGATGGATGTTTTGATCTCATCTGAGGAGCATCCCTTTATGCCAGCGCCTAGGAAAGGATGGAAAGAGGGGCTTACTTTTGCAGATAGGGACCTTGTTGCTCCACAAGCCATCCTTCATGCACTCGATCTGGAACGTCTCGCTCTCCACGCCATCCTGCAAAGAAGCAACAAGGGAGCGTTGTGGAAGAGGGAGAAGTAAAATGCAACTGCTATGAAGGCTTCCTGATCACACCTCTGGAGCATAGCTGTCAACCGTCCCTTATTTGGCGGGAAAGTCCCTTATCCCACTTCCGGGTTGGTGCGAACAGCTAATGGCGGATTCTCTCCGAGCTCCGGAGGGAATCGGCTCCGCTGGGGACGGGTCTTGCCGCGACGGCGACGCGGAGACCCTCAAAAACCGCAGGCGCGGATGCCTGCGGACCTGGTGACTCGGTGGGCACCTTAAGCGCCCCCCCGACCCACGAAGATCCATTTAAAGGCTACGGAGAGGGTACGGAAAGCGGCGTGGTGCTGGGAGTAGACCGCTACCCCAGCGGAGCGGAGCCGTGTGCCATGGCTGAAGAGCACTGACTTTTTTCCTTAAATTGAACTCGAAAAGAAGCAACCCGTGAGTAGATTGGAATTGGACTTTAAAATATCTATCTGTGAATTTGATACGACCGGGGATGTGTTAAAGGGAAGTCCGCACCTCCCTTCTGCAGACGATTTAAAGCAATAGCAGGAGAACTAAGTTGGAGAGTCTACCCCTTTGGGGTGAGTTAAAAAGACATTAACTTTCACGATTTGATAAAAGAAGTTTTGAGCTGGAGTGTAAGAGTGGAATTTTAGAAGTTTTTCTCTTGTGGTGTGTAACCCCCCCCTTCCGGGCCCGGGAGCGTCCTGCCTTTGAGCCTGTTGAAGAGGAAAGGAGTTTGACAGCTGTTAAAGCTGTCAAACGGGCAATTTAAAGTAAAAAGCGTGTTATTTAAGATCTCCTGGACTAAATGTGATACAATTGAATTAAAGTGGTTCAAACAAAGAAACAAAGACCGAGGCACAGGACTGCTGGGAAAAGATTACGTAGTAACCAGATTCCCTCTAGGGGGAATTCTGAGACATTACAATGGCTGCGGATGGAAATTTACTAGCTGAAATAGAAAGAATGTGTTACTTTGTGGGAACTTTACAAGAGCAGAGTCTGGCTATGAATAAACAACTTACGACCTTGACTTCTGGAATAAGCAGCTCTGCTGAATGTATTGAGGATCTGAATGAGAAAATCTGCAGCTGAACCGGAACAGATATCTCAAGAATTGAAGGAGACTAAACAAGGAAAGGAGAAAGCACAGATGGAAAGTACCAACCAGAAGCCTACACATGTGGATTATAAACAAGAAGACCCTTGGATTACATGGATTACAAATCTGCAAAAGATGCGAAAGATGAAGGAGGAGGCCCCTGGAGTACTTGGAATTCAAGAACTTAAAAGAAAGAAGAAATATGATGGGGGCCTCCATTCTGAATATGAAGGACTGGTGGAACTTTTGCAGCAGTTGTCTCTAAGTTTTCTTGTGGGAAGAAAATCTGGCTTGACTGGGACAGAACTCCTTCGAGATCCGAAGACCAACATAAAGGACTACCAACAAAACCGGCGGAGAGGGACTGAAAGAGACTTGAAGGCCTCGGATGTGAGAAATCCAGGCTAAGAACTGTTATTGTAGAAATGTACTTGGGACGGGACTAACGGGGGTTGGGTGGGGGGGGAAAATAGAATTTTAAAAACACTTACGATTTTTGGGTCTAGTCAATATGATTGATGCTTAATAAAAATGGGAAATCGATGGAAGGGAATCTGAGCCCAACTTAGGATAGAATTTAATCTTCTACAAAAGATGTAATATTAACAGGGTAAGGAGGTAAAATAATAACTTGCTGACATAATTATGGGAATTGGGATGTATGAAGGGGGGGTGGGGGGAAGTCAAGGACTAAAGTTAAGAAAGTAAGATTTCTGAAATTATACATGTTTTTTGTCTTTGTCTCTTACGTGTGTGTTATGTCTTTATAAAATGTGAAAAACCAATTAAAAAATTATAATAATAATAAAAAAGAAAGTCCCTTATCCCAGCGCCGTGTCCCGCTGCTGTCCCTTATTGATGATGTCCCTTAAATTTCCCAGGTTTCAAAGGAAGCAGCTCCTCTCCCTCCCTCCCTGCCAGCCAGGGAGGAGGGAGGCTCCAACTGTGTTGCTTGGCTGCGTTGCTCACCCAATAAAGAGTCCAAGAACGACTGGGGGGTGGAGCATGCACGCCTTGTGCTGATCAAATCGGCCGTGCGGCCTGGGGACTCGCCTTTGCTCAGCGCTTCCCAGCGGAGAGGGGACGGTGGTTTTCCTTGCTGCATCCCCTTTGCCTGGTTGCTGTGCTGTGGGAGCCACCGCTTGAGGCTTCGTTTGGCTGCTGGCTGGGATTTCTGTCTTTGGCTCGGAGGGGCTCAGAAGTTGAACATACCAGTGCTCTGAAAATCCCTTATTTTGGCTGCTGATCCCTTATTTTCGAGGCTGCTGGTCCCTTATTTTCAAATCTGTAAGTTGACAGCTATGCTCTAGAGGGAGCACCCTCAAGAAACTAAGCCTGAAGGATCTGGGGATGTTTAGCCTGGAAAAGAGGGGACTGAAAGGAGATAGGAAAGCCATCTTCAAATCTCCAAAGGGCTGTTCCATGGAAGATGGAACAAGCTCATTTTCTCCTGCTCCGGAAGATAGGACTCGAACCCATGGCTTCAGGTCACAAGGTAGGACATTTCAACTAAATATCAGGAAGAACTTTCTGACAATAAGAGCTGTTTGACAGTGGAACAGACTCTCTTGGGAGGTTGTGGACTCTCCTTCCTTGGAGGTTTTTAAGCAGAGATTGGATGGCCATCTGTCATGGATGCTTGAGCTGAGATTCTTGCATTGCACAGGGTTGGACTAGATGTCCCTTGGGGGTCCCACAGAATTCTATGATTTTGTGAAATCTAAACACCCTGTTAAAAAATCAGGATGAAATCAGGACAAATGCTCCTTGTCAGTTATTTCCCAGCTGCGATTCGAAATAGATAGTAATAAAAACAAACTAGTCAAAAGCAATAATTAAAATATATGAGAAAAAATTAGAAGCTGTAATTAAAAAGCAGCTTCCAATTGTTGTATAACTGCCCTGTAAACAAATGCTCAATAAAGGCTGAATGTAATCTGACCTCCATGCGGCGTTGTGCAAACTAATCAGGGTGGTTGGTCAATAAACAGGTCCTCTAGACGACCCCTCTAGGTTTTTGGGTTTAAAAAACCCTGCCTTTCCTCCAGTTCATAGTCCAAAGAGGCTAATGACCAAAAATGCAAAACAAGATGTTTTAAGCAAGAAGGTATAGCATTGAAGTAGGGACGCAGGTGGCGCTGTGGGTTAAACCACAGAGCCTAGGACTTGCCGATCAGAAGGTCGGCGGTTCGAATCCCTGCGATGGGGTGAGCTCCCGTCGCTCGGTCTCTGCTCCTGCCAACCTAGCAGTTCGAAACACGTCAAAGTCAAGTAGATAAATAGGCACCGCTCCAGTGGGAAGGTAAGCGGTGTTTCCGTGTGCTGCTCTGGTTCGCCAGATGCGGCTTAGTCATGCTGGCCACATGACCCAGAAGCTGTATGCTGGCTCCCTCGGCCAGTAAAGCGAGATGAGCGCCGCAACCCCAGAGTCAGTCACGACTGGACCTAATGGTCAGGGGTCCCTTTACCTTTTTATAGCATTGAAAGTGGAACAATGGAAGTTTCCATATGTTGAGTGAGACCATTGGTCCACCTAACTGATACTGTCTGCACTGGTTGGCAGCAGTCCTCCAGGGTTTCAGCGTGGGTCTTTCCAGCCCTACTGATGATACCAGGAATCAAACCTGAGACATTCTCCATGAAAAGCAGATGCTCTATCACTGGGCAACGCCCCTTTTCAACTGGTTAATTTTGGGACAAACGAGGCAAATGTGACGGAGCCCTCAGCTGGGCTCCCAGTAGCATACTCTCCAACATTCCACTGGAGTAAACTGGGACGCATGTCTTTGGGTGCTGTTCTCTTGCAAGAGTCAGCAGTTGTGTTTTTTGGTGCTGCGAGACAGCATGGTAACTCCAATCCTGAAAGACCTTCATTGGCTCCCAGTACGTTTCCGAGCACAATTCTACGTGTTGATGCTGACCTTGAAAGCCCTAAAGAGCCTCGGTCCTATATACCTGAAGGAGCGTCTCCACCCCCATAGTTCTGCCCGGACACTGAGGTCCAGCGCCAAGGGTCTTCTGGCAGTTCCCTCATTGTGAGAAGTAAAAATACAGGGAACAGAGGGCCTTCTCGGTGGTGGCGCCCACCCTGTGGAACGCCCTGCCGCCAGATGTCAAGGAAATAAACAACTACCTGACTTTTAGAAGACATCTGAAGGCAGCCCTGTTTAGGGAAGTTTTTAATGCTTGAAGTTTTATTGTGTTTTTAATATTCTATTGGGAGCTGCCCAGAGTGCCTGGGGAAACCCAGCCAGATGGGTGGGAAATCAATCAATCAATCAATAAATAATCATCATGGTACCACTGCAAACTCATCCTCCCCCCTGAGCTCAGCGGCGCTGGAAGGGGGAAACAGGATATTCCGGGATCCAATCAGAAGCCGGAATGCCTTCTAGGATGTGCAAGGGAACTTGGGGCAGTTGTGGGAGATGCTCTAAGTGCCGCCACAGCCCTCCCCCCCCAAGTACCTTTAGGATGTTGTATCCGGTGTTGCAGCTGACGACCACCTGGTCCTTGAAGGTGTAGGTGGCCTGGGAGGGCTCAATCTTGCCGTGGGGAGGAGGCTCCACAAGTGGGCAGGGGTCCCCTGTGGGGCGCAGGCAGGCAGAGAGAAAGAAAAGGGAGGAGCCCCCAGGTGATGATCGACGTAACAGCATCCGTAACATTTTGGAAATGAAATAAACTATGCAACTTAAGACCATTTAGCTGCCCATATGTGCCCACACGAACCACTTCAATTGGAGGAACTGTCCCTACTGCAGGTGTCAAGTATTGCCTGTTTTGCATTGGTAAGAACTCAAGTCGTTTAGTGAAGCAATGCCTACATTTTGGAACTCCTTGCTGATTGATATCAAGCAGGTGCTTTCATTGTACTCTTTTCGGTGCCTCATCAAAAATATATTTATTTTTTGTTTAGACAAGCCTACCCAGATGTTTAGAAAGGTCCTCTGAGTCTTAATCTGCTTTTAGCCTGTTGGTATTTTAACTTTGGAAAATTACAGTGGTACCTCGGGTTACATATGCTTCAGGTTACAGACTCTGCTAACCTAGGAATAGTACCTCAGGTTAAGAACTTTGCTTCAGGATGAGAACAGAAATCGTGCAGCGCCAGCAGGAGGCCCCATTCGCTAAAGTGGTGCTTCAAGTTAAGAACAGTTTCAGGTTAAGAATGGACCTCCAGAACGAATTAAGTACTTAACCCGAGGTACCACTGTATCTAGATAAAAGTCTTGGTTTGGTTAAAAAAAAAGGGGGGGGGAGATAATAAGTTTTGTATTTTTCTCTATAAACCTTAATAAAATTTAAATAATAATAATAATAATTTTTATTTATACCCCACCCTCCCTGGACAGAGCCGGGCTCAGGTCGGCTAACACCAATAAAATCACAGTAAAAAGCATAAGAGGGAAAATAAATTAAAATACAGGTTAAAATGCAATTTAAGAGCTATTAAGCCATTTAGAAATAAATAATGAAATAAATCTGGAGGGCATCATTCTCCCACAGGAGGCCACCAACTCAGACGGCTTAAAAAGAGAATTGGACAGCTCAGAAATGGAAAGAAGATAAAGTCCCGACCAGAGAAGAATGGCAGATTAAGTTGATGGATTTTGCCGAAATGGCTAAAATGACTGGAAGAATCAGAAGTCAGGAAGACCAAATTCTGAATAAGGAGTCGGGAATTTCTTTAAATAATTTATCTTAAAAACCATTGTAAGCAGTTAAAATCATTAGTAGTACTGGAATAGCACTTGTAGTTTAATGGTGGATTTTGGATAAAATGGAGATGTAAAAGATTTGGATTGTTATAAAAGATGCAGGAGGAAATGACTAACATTAGGACCCACAAAGGGGAGGAAGGAAGTCCAGGAGATTCTGTGGAATTTGGTTTTTATGATGTGTGTTGGATATGTGATTGTAAAACTTAAATTTGAAAAACCAAATAAATAAATTTATTTTAAAAAGAGAGTGCGGATAGGCTTAAAGAGCATCATGTTGCAGCAGTCTGCTCTAGAAAGATTCAGCTGCAATGTTAAGCTTCTCTAGAAGATGCAGCTACAATGTTAAGCTGCTCTAGAAGATTCTGCTGCAATGTTAAGCTGCTCTAGAAAGATGCAGCTGCAATGTTAAGCAGCTCTGGAAGATTCAGCTGCAATGTTAAGCAGCTCTAGAAGATGCAGCTGCAATGTTAAGCTGCTCTAGAAGAAGCAGCTGCAATGTTAAGCTGCTCCGGAAGATTCAGCTGCAATGTTAAGCTGCTCTAGAAAGATTCAGCTGCAATGTTAAGCGGCTCTAGAAGATTCAGCTGCAATGTTAAGCTGCTCTAGAAAGATGCAGCTGCAATGTTAAGCGGCTCTAGAAGAAGCAGCTGCAATGTTAAGCTGCTCCGGAAGATTCAGCTGCAGTGTTAAGCTGCTCTAGAAGACGCAGATGCAATGTTAAGCTGCTCTAGAAGATTCAGCTGCAATGTTAAGCTGCTCTAGAAAGATGCAGCTGCAATGTTAAGCGGCTCTGGAAGATTCAGCTGCAATGTTAAGCTGCTCTAGAAGATGCAGCTGCAATGTTAAGCTGCTCTAGAAGATGCAGCTGCAATGTTAAGCTGCTCCGGAAGATTCAGCTGCAATGTTAAGCGGCTCTAGAAGATGCAGCTGTAATGTTAAGCTGCTCTAGAAAGATTCAGCTGCAATGTTAAGCTGCTCTAGAAGAAGCAGCTGCAATGTTAAGCGGCTCTAGAAGACGCAGCTGCAATGTTAAGCAGCTCTAGAAGATTCAGCTGCAATGTTAAGCTGCTCTAGAAAGATGCAGCTGCAATGTTAAGCAGCTCTGGAAGATTCAGCTGCAATGTTAAGCAGCTCTAGAAGATGCAGCTGCAATGTTAAGCTGCTCTAGAAGAAGCAGCTGCAATGTTAAGCTGCTCCGGAAGATCTCAGCTGCACTTTAAAGCTGCACTAGAAAGATTCAGCTGCAATGTTAAGCGGCTCTAGAAGATTCAGCTGCAATGTTAAGCTGCTCTAGAAAGATGCAGCTGCAATGTTAAGCGGCTCTAGAAGAAGCAGCTGCAATGTTAAGCTGCTCCGGAAGATTCAGCTGCAGTGTTAAGCTGCTCTAGAAGACGCAGATGCAATGTTAAGCTGCTCTAGAAGATTCAGCTGCAATGTTAAGCTGCTCTAGAAAGATGCAGCTGCAATGTTAAGCGGCTCTGGAAGATTCAGCTGCAATGTTAAGCTGCTCTAGAAGATGCAGCTGCAATGTTAAGCTGCTCTAGAAGATGCAGCTGCAATGTTAAGCTGCTCCGGAAGATTCAGCTGCAATGTTAAGCGGCTCTAGAAGATGCAGCTGTAATGTTAAGCTGCTCTAGAAAGATTCAGCTGCAATGTTAAGCTGCTCTAGAAGATGTAGCTGTAATGTTAAGCTGCTCCAGAAGATTCAGCTGCAATGTTAAGCTGCTCTGGAAGATTCAGCTGCAATGTTAAGCGGCTCTAGAAGATTCAGCTGCAATGTTAAGCTGCTCTAGAAAGATGCAGCTGCAATGTTAAGTGGCTCTGGAAGATTCAGCTGCAATGTTAAGCTGCTCTAGAAGATGCATGTTTGCACAAATTGCTTTCCTGGATTAGACGAAGGTTCATCATGTCCTGACCTAAATGGGCAATGATTGGCTAGATAGGGACGTGAGAAATACACATGCCGGTTTCAAGGCAAGAAAGGATAAAGGAGAAGGTGCTGGAAGGAGCCAACAGAAATGTGATTCCTGGTGGAGCAAGAAACAGCCCCTCCTGTAGGGCTGCCAGCTCTCGAATTTGAAACTTTTTCTGGTATCTGATGATAGGGGTGGGACAGAACGAGCTGAACCTGCCTAATTCACACTTTCCGAAACACAGCAAATCCTATGAAATCCAGGCCTTTCTGAATTCTGCAATGCCGTTCCCCATCCCAAATAATGCGTACAAAATAGACATAGAATCATAGAATCATAGAGTTGGAAGAGACCACAAGGGCCATCGAGTCCAACCCCCTGCCAAGCAGGAAACACCATCAGAGCACTCCTGACGTATGGTTGTCAAGCCTCTGCTTAAAGACCTCCAAAGAAGGAGACTCCACCACACTCCTTGGCAGCAAATTCCACTGTCGAACAGCTCTTACTGTCAGGAAGTTCTTCCTAATGTTTAGGTGGAATCTTCTTTCTTGTAGTTTGGATCCATTGCTCTGTGTCCGCTTCTCTGGAACAGCAGAAAACAACCTTTCTCCCTCCTCTATGTGACATCCTTTTATATATTTGAACATGGCTATCATATCACCCCTTAACCTCCTCTTCTCCAGGCTAAACATGCCCAGCTCCCTTAGCCGTTCCTCCTAAGGCATCGTTTCCAGGCCTTTGACCATTTTGGTTGCCCTCCTCTGGACACGTTCCAGTTTGTCAGTGTCCTTCTTGAACTGTGGTGCCCAGAACTGGACACAGTACTCCAGGTGAGGTCTGACCAGAGCAGAATACAGTGGCACTATTACTTCCCTTGATCTAGATGCTATACTCCTATTGATGCAGCCCAGAATTGCATTGGCTTTTTTAGCTGCCGCGTCACACTGTTGGCTCATGTCAAGTTTGTGGTCAACCAAGACTCCTAGATCCTTTTCACATGTACTGCTCTCAAGCCAGGTGTCACCCATCTTGTATTTGTGCCTCTCATTTTTTTGCCCAAGTGCAATACTTTACATTTCTCCCTGTTAAAATTCATCTTGTTTGTTTTGGCCCAGTTCTCTAATCTGTCAAGGTCGTTTTGAAGTGTGATCCTGTCCTCTGGGGTGTTAGCCACCCCTCCCAGTTTGGTGTCATCTGCAAATTTGATCAGGATGCCCTTGAGTCCATCATCCAAGTCGTTGATAAAGATGTTGAATAACACCGGGCCCAAAAGCAGCTCCAATGTTAAGCTGCTCCGGAAGATTCAGCTGCAATGTTAAGCACTGTAGAGGGAGCAACTGCGGTTCCTGCACTGGAAGGGGTTGGACAAGGAACCCTGCAATTCTGTGATTCTGTGAAAGTGCACAAATGTTTCTGGAGAGGAAAAGAACAACTCCTGTCCTCTTGGACCGAAAACGTAGAGTTCTGTGCCCTTTTCACTGGTGCATCCAAACCACTCTCTGTGACTCAGCTCAAGGAGGAAATGGAATAATTGCTTCTTGATTTCTCGGCATGGAAAAGCTGAGAGGTGCAGCAGCGACCATCTGCCAAAGGATCAATGGGCAGGAACCAGAACAGAAGTGTGGTGCTTCTAAGCCGCTGGGAGCAAGCCCGGCTGAACACAGAGGGGCTTCCTTTTGAGTAAAGGTAGTTCTTAAAGAAATGGGAGTGCCTGATCACCTCATCTGTCTCTTGAGAAATCTCTATGTGGGACAAGAAGCTACAGTTAGAACTGGATATGGAACAACTGATTGGTTCAAAATTGGGAAAGGAGTACGACAAGGCTGTATATTGTCTCCCTCCTTATTTAACTTATATGCAGAATTCATCATGCGAAAGGCTGGGCTGGATGAATCCCAAGCTGGAGTTAAGATCGCCGGAAGAAATATCAACAACCTCAGATATGCAGATGACACAACCTTGATGGCAGAAAGTGAGGAGGAATTAAAGAACCTCTTAATGAGGGTGAAAGAGGAGAGCGCTAAATATGGTTTGAAGCTCAACATCAAACAAACGAAGATCATGGCCACTAGGCTCATCACCTCCTGGCAAATAGAAGGGGAAGAAATGGAGGCAGTGAGAGATTTTACTTTCTTGGGCTCCATGATCACTGCAGATGGTGACAGCAGTCACGAAATTAAAATACGCTTCTTGGGAGAAAAGCAATGACAAACCTAGACAGCATCTTAAAAAGCAGAGACATCATGGGTCCATATAGTTAAAGCCATGGTTTTCCCAGTAGTGATGTATGGAAGTGAGAGCTGGACCATAAAGAAGGCTGATCGCCGAAGAATGGATGCTTTTGAATTATGGTGCTGGAGGAGACTCTTGAGAGTCCCATGGACAGCAAGAAGATCCAACCTCTCCATTCTGAAGGAAATGGAGTGAGTGCTCACTGGAAGGACAGATCGTGAAGCTGAGGCTCCAATACTTTGGCCGCCTCATGAGAAGAGAAGACTCCCTGGGAAAGACCCTGATGCTGGGAAAGATGGAGGGCACAAGGAGAAGGGGACGACAGAGGATGAGATGGTGGGACAGTGTTCTCGAAGCTACCAGCATGAGTTTGACCAAACTGCGGGAGGCAGTGGAAGACAGGAGTGCCCGTCGTGCTCTGGTCCAGGGGGTCACAAAGAGTCGGACACGACTGAACAACTAAACAACAACAACAACGTTGCAGAAAGGTGGAATGTTGGAGACCTTGTTGTGGTGCCATTTGAGAATAAATATGGGGCCTCAGGTGGCAAAATTGTGCTTCTCTTGGAGTGAAATGCCTGGCTTGGCATCTCACCAAGAACTTGATGTCTCAGACATAGGTTATAAGAGATCAGGATCCCCTGCACATTCCACACAACATGCAATTATTCACAGAAAGCAATTAATTTAATGAATTTGAGACACAATTATAACATGCGGTGTATGTTTATATTTAAAAATAGCAGTGTTGTTTATTCATAACAGGGAATTTATCCATTTTCTCCTTCTTTCAACACACATTATCCATTTTATTATTCCATTTAGAAGCCATTTTTCCAAATTGTTAGGCAATTGAATTGCATGTTTGAGTTAAGCTGTCAAGCTGCATTTTTAATATTTTTTTTTGTATAGCTGTGCCCAGTAGCTATTATATTATTGGGTTCTTTCTGCAAATAATTGCATGTTGTGTAAAATTTACACTTTCCTTGGTGGTCCTGACATTTTACAATCTGGGCTGGTGGTGAGTGGTCGGGAATTATTCCTCTGTGTTTGATTCAGTCAATTGATGCTCAGCCAGACCATAATTTGATGCAGATTTGAGTGGGCAAACACAACAGAAGGACGAGGCTGATGAGCAACCAACATCTTGATTTTAGTGGGCATGCAGTTTAATGAGCTTCAATAAAATAAATAAATGCATTTTCATTTGGAAAGTTGGGCCCCCCATGCAGTATTTATTTGGAGATAAAGTGCCAGAAGATGTATTGAAAGAGTGGCTGGGGAAACCCAGGCCAATGGGTGGGGTATAAATAAATTATTATTATTATTATTATTATTATTATTATTATTATTATTATTACTACTACTTGCATGCAAGCTTAAGGTCCCACCTGGACCATACATTGAAAGTAGTATCATATTGCTTTAAACCCATGGTTCTCAAAGGGTGTGCAGTGGCAGGAGAGAATGGAAAATGTGAAAAAGATGTTACTTTTTTTCCTGTATGCCACAACAGCTGCAAGAATATTGCTAGCGAAGAATTGGAAGAAACAAGATTTACCAGCTATCGAAGAAGGGCAGGTGAAGATGATGGACTACAGTCATACCTTGAGTTGAATGTGCTTCAGGTTGAGCATGTTTGGGTTGCGCTCCACAGTGACCCGGAAGTGACGGAGCGCGTTACTTCCGGGTTTTGCCGCTTGCGCATGTGCAGACGCGCAAAATGATGTCACGCGCATGCGCGGAAGCGGTGAAACGCGACCCGCGCATGTGCAGACACGCCGTTGTGTCTTACGTTCCGTTCGGGATGCGAACGGGGCTCCGGAACAGATCCCGTTCGCATCCCGAGGTACCACTGTATATGGAACTCGCCAAACTGACTGGGAGACTCCAAGACCAGAGAGAAGAGACGGTGGAAGAAGATTGGAAGAAGTTTAAGGAATATTTGAAAAAAATATGTTAATATTTAAATCTTAGAATAGCTTTGGAAGTGGATTTAGGCTGTAGGGTTAGAAGTAGAAGATAGCGTATTTTAAAATAGTATTATTTGTAAGTGATAAAATATGAAGATTTTTATGGTTAAAGTAAGTGTGGTAAAAATAAATGGTTAGAAATTATGATATATGTAAACTGCTAAAGATGAGGTAAAATGAAAATCAGTTAGTGGGGACTTGGGGAAGCCCACCTAACAAAGTTTAGAATAAAATAAGGATAAGACAAGAATCTGTTTGTATTGTTTGTTTTTCTGTTTGTGTTGTTTATTTGTGTTATAAAATGAAGAAATTTTTAAAAGAAAAAAAAAGAGAATGGCAAGTGTGGCTGGAAGATTGAAGGATAAACAAAGAAATATGAAAGATCGGAAAAGACAAAGGCTTCTTTGTGTTGATGAGGAGATGAGAGTTTGTTTGTCTCAAATTAGATCTGTTATAAATGAGATACCCCTGCAAAAGCAAGCTCACACTTCTCACTGGGTTTGCATACATACTTAAGGTATAGTTTATAATTATATTTAGGGAATCATTGAAGTAGCTGCATTGCTTTATACTTTAGGGATGTCCCATGATTATATCGTAAGGCAGTTGTGTTCTATGGTATAAATCAAGCACTGCTAGGAGCTTTCCCTTTTTGTTTTATAATAATAATAATTTATTATTTCTACCCCGCCCATCTGGCTGGGTTTCCCCAGCCACTCTGGGTGGCTTTCAACGGAACATTAAAAACAGAATAAAACTTCAAACATTTAAAACTTCCCTAAACCGGGCTGCCTTCAGATGTCTTCTAAAAGTCAGATAGTTGTTTATTTCCTTGACATCTGGTGGCAGGGCGTTCCACAGGGTGGGCGCCACCACCGAGAAGGCCCTCTGCCTGGTTCCAATGTTATTTTCCAATGTATTTCTTATCAATAAAAAAATCCAGTGTGGCGTGAGCAAATTTTTATTCTGCAAGTGTGGCTCAGAGAAAAAAGTTTGAGAACCACTGCTTTAAACGCTCTTGGCTGCACCCAATGGTGTAAAAAGTATAAAGATAGAGGTAATCTACATTAGACACAACAACTTAGAAGGAATAAAAATTTTGAGGTCTTAGAACAAAGGAAGGAAGTCAATATGTTTATATGTAAGTAATGACTAGATTAGAAGGATGGTATCGTTTTAATTTGTAGATGTGTGTTTTTGTTTTTTGTGTTCTTTTTTCTTTTGTGTTTTTTTGTTTTGCTTGTTTGTACCTAATGGTCAGGGGTGCCTTTACCTTTTACTGTTTTATTTTGGATTCAGTGTTTGTAATTTTTGCATTGAGAGATATATATATCTATATATCTATATATCTATATCTATCTATCTATCTATCTATCTATCTATCTATCTATCTATATATATATCTCAGGATCTGAGCACACCTCTGATAGAGTCTGGTCTGTGTGGGGACTAAGAGCCTCTCAGCACCCTGAACAGACTACAGTACCCATGATTCTCTGGGAGTGGGATGCTGCTGGTCTAAATGTATAGAACAGGTGGGGGCTAAGGAGCGTCGCCTCGGGGAAGATTACCTATTGCCGTGTAGGACAGCTTCCACCCTCCATTCTCTCCAGAGTTGTCACTGTGGAACAATATTTGAATGCTGTTGCTCTTCGTTTCGATGCGTCCTGGCGATTTCTCTCCACAAAAAGGCCCAAACTCCTGACGCCCGGCTTTGATCTGTCAGGAAAAACAATCAAAGGAGGAGCAGAGAAAAGGCGAGACCATCATTTGTGCCTGGCTGAAATCAGGCAAGTCGAATGCAACCGTACTGTACTTAAAACACAAGGGTGTGTGTGTGTGTGTGTGTGTGTGTGTGTGTGTGTGTGATTTCTGCCTGGCCTCCTGGTATTTTCCAGTCGCTGTGGAACTCGAGCCACATCAGTTTGCTGCTGTGCTCACCTTGATGTAGTCATATGGGCAGGTGACCTCCGGGTGGTCTTCAATGTCAAAGTTATCGTTGAACTCCAACGTAATGAAGAAACCCTCTTCCAGCTCAATGCGGTACAAGCAATCGGAGCTTTTGGGGTAGGAATTGGGGAAGTCTGGGCTGTTGATCACCCCATTCCTCTGAGTGAAGAGGTTGTCGCTGCACTCCACTGCAAGGGAGACAAGGGTGAACACACTGTTAGAATATTCCGTTCCACCTTAAGGGACAGGCATGAGACTGTTGTATGTCACATGTCTGTTTACACTCCAGCACAGTTTGCTGGGAACTTCCGTTTGTGTATAGATTTTGCTTATGCTGCTTGCTTTGGACACGAAGGGGGAGAAGACATATTTTTCCTTTTGTCCTGATGTACGCTGAATAAACTGCTCGTAAATATGCTCAACACAACCTCTCTGCCACTTCTGTTGTGCAGCGTTATTTACTCTGCTGAGTGAGTGTGCCCAGCTTCTGAAGGCTTCTGAAACTCGGGTCGCAGTTTCATGCTGATCCAAGGACTAGAGATCAGCTGGCACACCGGCTGGTGGGCTGGGGCCTGCTGGGGGCCTGCCAATTGCCCCCGATTCCTTGGCTGCATCCCAGCACACACAACACCTTTGCTACGTTGTGTCTGCCGGGGTCAGTATTGCCGTGGCCAATGGTCTGACTCCACAGAAGGCCACTTCTTCCCATGTTTCTAGGGGACGAGCAGTAATAGCTCAGGGGCTAAGTGCATGCAGGAGAGATCCTGGTTCAACCTCGTGACACAAGGTCCTGGTAGCAAAACTGGTGGAGAAACTACATGAGTTGGGGTAGAAATCTGTAGTGAGGCAGCAGCTTCAGTGGCAGAGGTGGGAGGGGCAGAGGATTGGGATGTGGGCGTACCCGCATTGGTCGCCGCAATCCCATGGTTCTAATTGCACCTGCCAAGCCTCTGCATTTGGCCTGTAAGGCCATTTTGGGCAAACCACCCCAACTGTCAGGGACCGTGCTGAGGAGGGCTGCACTGAGGAGGAATGGTGGGAACTCCCCCTGCTCCTGATGAGGATCCTGAATCTTCCCAGGAGCAGTGGGACAGTATAGATTTGGAACAGTGGTTTGCAGAGGGACATAGTTCAGAAGGCAGAAGTTGGGAAGAACTGGGAGGGAGAGAGAGAGAGTTAACAGACTCTCATTTGCTGGAAAGCGTCCATCTGCTCAGCCCAAGGTCATGGCGAGCAGGTCAGGTAACAGAACAGAAAGCAAAGTGGTTGCGAGTTCAGGTTGCAAGACATGGAAGTGACGGGGGGTGGTGGAATCCTTAATTGGGAGCATCTTCATCCTAGGAATGGATGCTTTCTTCTCCCTCTGTGATCACTAAAATTTCTAACTGGTAAGAGACTCCTTTTGCTTTGTTCTGCTTCTCTACTGCCAAAGGGGGGTGCGGAGAGGAAGCCTGACACCAACCTGACAGTCACCCCAATTAATATAATCTATTATTTTGAATCCATGCACTAAGTGCTAAGCTTGGAACTGAAGCACCTATTAAGGGACACAGGTGGCGCTGTGGTCTAAACCACAGAGCCTAGGACTTGCTGATCAGAAGGTCGGCGGTTCGAATCCCCGCGACAGGGTGAGCTCCCGTTGCTCGGTCCCAGCTCCTGCAAACCTAGCAGTTCAAAAGCACGTCAAAGTGCAAGTAGATAAATAGGTACCGCTCCGGTGGGAAGGTAAATGGCGTTTCCGTGGGCTGCTCTGGTTCGCCAGAAGCGGCTTAGTTATGCTGGCCACATGGCCCGGAACAAACGCCGGCTCCCTCGGCCAGTAAAGCAGATGAGCGCCACAACCCCAGAGTTGTCCACGACTGGACCTAACGGTCAGGGGTACCTCTACCTTTTTTAAGCACCTATTCCCCACTCCTGCTCTCGAGTTTCAGAGCAACCAGCCCAGTTCACTCCCAGCATTGTGATACGGGCAATACCTTTGCAAGTCCTGTTGTCAGAGTGGAGGATGTAGCCAAACCGGCAGGAGCAGTAGTACCCGCCAATATAGTTGTGGCAGTGGTGGTCACAGGCCAGCTCTTCGTCGCTCTTCTCCAGGCACTCATCGATATCTGTTATAGAACAGGAGGGAGCGGCAGACTCGTAAAGCAAACCCTTTAGGATTCTGCGGTTTTCGAACTCGGCACCGTCGCCAGGCAAAAGATCTATGTGGACCCCAGGTTGTGCTTACTTTGAAAGTTTGTGGGAGGTAACTTCAGTTGGCCAAGATACGAATGCCTCATTTGCTAACAGCTTCCTGTTCAGTCGCCTCTCAAGGCTAGAAGGCTAGGTGCTGGTTTTGACCTTTAAAGCCCTATGCGGCCTAGGACCCACATACCTACGGGACCGCCTCTCCTGGTATGCCCTGTGGAGGACCTTAGGGTCCACAAATGACAACATTTTGGAGGTCTCAAGTCACAAGGTGGTTAGATTGGTCTCAACTAGGGCCAGGGCCTTTTCAGTACTGGCCCCGACTTGGTGGAACGCTCTGTCACAAGAGACCAGGGCCCTGCGGGACTTGACATCTTTCCGCAGGGCCTGCAAGACAGAGCTGCTCCACCGGGCCTTTGGTTTGGACTCGGTCTGACCCTTAGTTTTCCCTTCCCTTATGGCCTTGATCTATGGGCTACTTTTAAAATGAGGCTGCATTTTAAATTGTATTTTAACCTTTATTTTAAATTGGTACCTCCCCCCATTATGTTTTTATTGTAATTTTACTGGTGTTAGCTGCCCTGAGCCCGGGGAGGGCGGGGTATAAATGAAATTTATTATTGCTATTATTATAGAAGGATGCTTCTGTGTACTCTACAACAAACTGGTTTTTAAAAGCCTTATTTGTAGCCAAACCAGAGAAATTGGCCCACCAACTCTGGGCTCTCAGAGGGGAAGCGGATCCGCTGGACTTTGCATCTGCCTGGTGGTTTATTGTAGCTAATTTAATGACATGGTTGCACAGATGGCAAATTCCATCCAAATACTATTTCATATGGCGCCGTTTTTTTATTGTATGATTTTTTGGCTCAGCTGCTTATTTCTTATCTTGGAATGATGCCATAAGACTTGGAACGATCCCCTTTTGTGAAGTTTATCTTCCCATTCTCCTTTATATCATCATTTTAATTATTAAATTTGTATGCCACCCTCCATCCACGGATCTCAGGGTGGTTCACACACCCGAAAATTCCAACATAAAAACACAAAATACATGATGAACACAAGAACGAAAAAGACAAACCAATAACCGCCCCCCAAAACACACTCATTGTCTTAAACCTCTTTATCTTATACCTGACCATGCTAATTCTTTTTTCTCTTTTGTTGAATTATTGGAATGCTATGTGAGTCTTGTTTGCTACACATTTACTAAAGCAAACACTCAGTTTCCCTCCCATTTTGACCTGGCTGCTATCCTTTATGACGTGGCTTCTGCAACGTCAAGGCTTGGCTACTGCAACATACTGTATTGGTGACTGCCCCTGGAGACTGTCCAGAGGCTTCAGCAAGTGTGTAAGTCACTGAAACAAATAAAAGCAATTTCATTTTTAAAAAACCCATCCAAGTGCAAGAAATACTATTTACCAGGGACAAACAAACCTTTCAATTAGAGTTTCTTTAGCACCACACTTTTTGCCAGCATATAGTCCACTGGGTTTTAGACTGCTTTGTTGTGGGTTTTAGTTGTGTAGTACCGTATTTTTTGCTCTATAAGACTCACTTTTCCCCTCCTAAAAAGTAAGGGGAAATGTGTGTGCATCTTATGGAGCGAATGCAGGCTGCGCAGCTATCCCAGAAGCCAGAACAGCAAGAGGGATTGCTGCTTTCACTGCGCAGCGATCCCTCTTGCTGTTCTGGCTTCTGAGATTCAGAATATTTTTTTTCTTGTTTTCCTCCTCCAAAAACTAGGTGCGTCTTATAGAGCGAAAAATACGGCATTTAAAAAACACACACTTTTGATGTATTTTAGCTGTTGTCAACTGCAGGTACTTTGGAGTCCAGTGGCCTGGGCAACCTACATTGTGGCCAAGCGGTTACTCACCCACGGCTGTGTAATGGGCGTCAAACCCTGTGAAACGTTCCTCATTGGAGAAGTCCGATCGGAAAGTGAGGCTCATGAAAGACCCCGGGGAGACAATGGCCTGCTGCCCCGGGGTCTGCTCTGTGTCCGTGGCTTCCCTCCCGCAGAAATTTGCCAGGACTTGGTCCTCAGACTCCACCTGTTCCAAGCCCAACAGGAAAGAAAAAGAACCATCAGCTTGAAGGTGGTGGAAATATATTGTTGCAGCAATGCCAGCAGATACTGTACATGCATTTCCCGATCTGGGCTTTGCAGAACAAGAAGAGGAAATAAAGGTATTATATTGTTTTTGCACTGTCTGTTGCAGCAACATGCCTTTCCAGACCTGGGTTTTCCACAAGAAGAAGAGGAAATAAGGGTGAAGCTACTGCAGGTGATGCCGCCAGTAAGATTCACAGTCAAAACCAAGTAGTTTGTGGAGGAAGAAGGGGTGTGTGTGTAAAATAATAATAATAATAATAATAATAATAATAATAATAAAAATGATGCTTCAGAGTGTCTTACAAATCCACAAAATGCAAAATAAACTTGATTATCAATTAAAAACAAAATCGATAGAAAAAATACTATTGTTATTTATTATTGTTATTTTTTGAGTTTATATACCACCCTACACCCAGAGGGTTCACAGAAAAGATCACAACATATAAAATCAGAATAAAAACAGCAACTCAATAACACCCCCCCCCCCAAATAAGAGCCACATTTTAAAAGGGTGTAGGATGTCCATCAGGTCAACCAAAGGCCTCCTGGTTAAAAAGGAACGTTTTTGCCTAGTGCCTAAAGGTGTATAATGAAGGCGCCAGGCGAGCTTCCCTGGGGAGAGCATTCCACAGATGGGGAGCCACTGCAGAGAAGGCCCCGTTCTCGTGTTGCCACCCTCTGGACCTTTCAAGGAGGAGGCACACAAAGGAGGGCATCAGATGATGATCTCAGGGACCAGGTAGGTTCATATGGAAAGAGGCAGTCCTTGAGGTACTGTGGTCCTGAGCCATACAATATACAATACAGTGCAAATACAATACAGTAAAACAAATACAAGCACAGGCTGTATGTGATAAAAGAAAGTGCATCTTTGCATAGCTCACAAATTGCGGAACTCGCTCCGACAAGAAGCAGCAGTGGCCACCAGCTTGGGTGGCTTTTAAACAGGATTGGGCAAATTCAGGGAGGAGGAAAGGGCTATCGATGGCTAACAGCCACAACTGCGCTGCTCTGACTCGACAGCTGAAAGCAGCAATGCTTCTGAACACCAGTTTTTGGAAGTGGCAGGAGGAAGAGACAGGACTCTTGTGCTAGGATCCTGTTTGCTGGTTTCCCATCAGGGCATCTGGATGGCTCATTGGTCTGATCCAACATTGGTCTGACATTCTTTTGTCTGTGTGTTCAGGTGTCATGCACGACATAGCAATGTTGAAACACAATTAGAGTGGTATCTCTGGTTGCGAATGGGTTCTGTTCTGGAGGCCTGTTCGCAACATGAAAGGAACGCAACCCGCAGTGGCACGTGGGTTGTGATTCACTGCTTCTGCGCATGCGTGTGACGTCATTTTGTGCATCTGCGCATGCGCGAGCGGCGAAACCCGGAAGTAACCCTTTCCGGTACTTCCAGATCGTCGCAGGACGCAACCTGAAAAAAACGTAACATGAAGCAAACGTAACATGAGGGATGACTGTATAAACCCACCTTCCTGAATGGATTTTTTTTAAAAAATAAAATGGCATTTCTGCATTTTGCACCTACATCCACCAGCAGTGAAACAGAGGCTCACGAGTGCCCAGATGGCGTGTGATGTGTGCCATGGAGCCTGAAACTTTCCCCAAAATTAGGCAGGCCTTTTCCAAATGGAACATATCCATTATCAAACCAATGTAGGGCTGTTGTCGCCGTTTCTTCTCCTCTGATCTCCTACCCAACCTGCTTCCTGGAGTCTGAACATCGTTTGGAAACCAGGCTGGTCTGTAAGTCATGACAGAAGAGGGACGGAACCTCTTTTGCATTTTTGGGATGGCTTTCAAATCCTGCTTTCATACACAGCGATCGTTTTCAAAGCACTGCCAGCCACCCCGAACCCACAAGGCAAAACGCGCCCCAAGTCCAGCTAATCAATCACAGTCGGACTCTGCAGTTTCCTGGAAGGAAAGGATCCTCTCTGGGTAAGTTAAACAGCACCAAGGCCAATAACATGTGGGTGATCTGAAGCATAGCTTTTCCAAAAAGCAGACCCGTATTCTGAGACGCGCCAAGCCCACAGCCTTCCTAGGCTCTCTGCCACACCCTGCCCTTCCAGAAAGTATGTAAACCTTTTTGCCACAAGACTGGGAGAGCGAAATCCAAGCGTATTGTGGCACCAAAAGACCATGAAGTCATTCAGCCACTGGGAACTTTCCATCAGGTTGTCTTAATTATCACAGCTTAGGAACAGATGAAGACAAACGCTCTAAGGATGTAGGCAAAAATTGTTTCCACTCCGTTGGAATATTATCTTTAAAAATAGCTGCACGGCAAGGAGCCGAGGGCTTGCAAAATAGTCGACGGAGACAATTCGGGGGGGGGAGGTGTATGTTGGAGGCCTCTTTATTACTGGGGGGGGGAGACGCAGTTCATATTTCCCTGCTCAACCCCCTACCCTGCCATCTCCACTTGAAAGGGTCACAGGTAGATGAGCTGAGATTGCTTACGGGGCGAGGAGAACAGTTGCCAGCCAAATCTAGGTGGGGCTGCCCCTGGGGTCAGTCTGGAACATTGGTAGGCAAGCTAAGGCCCGGGGGCCAAATCCGGCCCAATCACCTTCTAAATCCAGCCTGCGGCCGGTCCAGGAATCAGCGTGTTTTTACACGAGTAGAATGTGTGCTTTTATTTAAAATGCATCTCTGGGTTATTTGTGGGGCATAGGAATTCGTTCATTTTTTCTCTCCAAAATATAGTCTGGCCCCCCCCACAAGGTCTGAGGGACAGTGGACGGGCCCCCTGCTGGAAAAGTTTGCTGACCCCTAGTCTGGAGGCTGAAGCTGGTGCAGAAGGTGCCAGCGAGTTCGTGTGTGTGGTCAAACTACTGCCAGCACGCAACACCTTGCTTGCAAAATCTGACCTGGCTGCTAATTTGCTAGCGGGTCAACAGAAAAAGGGTCTGGAAAACCAAGCCTGATGGGGATGGGATGAGGATGTTGGTGAGCTGTCTTCAAATATCAAATGTCATATGGAAGATGGAACAAGCTTGTTTTGTGGTGTTCCGGAGGGCCAGGACCTGAACCAAGGGATTCAAATGACAAGGAAAGAGATTCCGACGAAACATTAGGAACGACTTTCTGACAGTAAAAGCTGTTCAGCAATGGAATGGACTACCTAGGAATTATGGTGCTGGAGGAGACTCTTGAGAGTCCCATGGACTGCAAGAAGATCAAACCGATCCATTCTGAAGGAAATCAGCCCTGAGTGTTCACTGGAAGGACAGATCCTGAAGCTGAGGCTCCAAGACTTTGGCCACCTCATGAGAAAAGAAGACTCCCTGGAAAAGACCCTGATGTTGGGAAAGATGGAGGGCACAAGGAGAAGGGGACGACAGAGGATGAGATGGTGGGACAGTGTTCTCGAAGCTACCAGCATGAGTTTGACCAAACTGCGGGAGGCAGTGGAAGACAGAAGTGCCTGGCGTGCTCTGGTCCACGGGGTCACGAAGAGTCGGACACCACTAAACGACTAAACAATAACAACATAGGAAGGTTTTTAAAATCCTTGGAGGATTTTAAAATCCTTGGAGGATTTTAAGCAGAGGTTGGATAGCCATCTGCTAGGGGTTATTTAATGAGATTCCTGCATTGCAGGGGGTTGGACTGGATGACCTTTGGGTTCCCTTCCAGCTCCACAAATCTATGATTCCATCTGTTCTGAGGGCCAGGCAGAGAGTCAGAGACACACTCTTTCCTGGCCCCAGTCTGAGGCTCTCCAGCCCTGCTCTAACCATTGCACCACACACTGGGTCCGCAATATGGATTTCCCATTCTCACTTCAGACTCTCATGTCTGCAGTTACAGCTTTACAATCCCAGCCACATAAAGTGTGACCCAGACATGGCCATTTCTCCCCCACGTGCACAAAGCCCTTCTGCATCTCTCCTCCAGCACCACGATTTTAAAAATGTGTGAGAAGATGCACTCTCACAGTGAAGTATGTTTCTCATTTTATATCGAAAGGGCTCTGGTATTCACTCGCTTTCCCACTTGCTCCCAACTTTCACATCTCAACCCACAAACGCTTTCATTTTCACAAAGTCCCCTTCTGCTGCTGTCTCCGTCTCGTTCTGTCATCCGTCACATGAAATGTCATGCCGAAAGACATAGAAAAAGAAAAAGAAGCCAACCATACGGCAGAGAATTCCCACACTCTTTGCAAAAACCAAACATGACTATGCTCAGCAATACCCCTTGTTATTTGATTTTACCTCTGACTCACAAAAGCAATGTGTGATATCAGATGATTAGAGAACCTCATGAAGGAAAAGGCTTTTGATGGGTACTGAATGAGTCTTATATCTGGTATTGGAGAAAGTACTTATTTACAGAGCTCATGGGGTTCTCTCCTGGGCCTGTTGCTCAACGTCTTTTTAAACAATTTAGATAAAGGAATAGAGGGGAAGCTTGTATTTGTCATTACAAAAGACTGGCCAGACTCCCCAGGGTATCCAATCAAGTGAGCATTGACAGGTAATGCACTCAGATTTCTGCTGTAGACCACCTTTTCTGTGATGTAGGTATGGTGTATGGGTGGTGGTGGTGGTCTTGAGCTCCAGGGCAGGGAATTTAAAATGTCTATATAAGGGCAGGCACACCTTGGTTCTGGGTCCTCCTCCTTTCCTGCGTGTGAAAGGAGCACCCTGTTGCAACAGATCAATAAAGATCCGGCTTACTAGCTGCTTTGCTTCTCAATATCCTCTGGTTGGCCTCTGTTATTTTCTCCTGCCAATAGGGAACCTAGGTAAGGACTCTATATGGGCTCTTGGATACCCCATAAGGGAAGAAGGGCAGATTTTGGTTTACAACACTGGTAGTGGGGAAAGAGAAGAAGAAGAAGAGTTTGGATTTGATATCCCTCTTTATCACTACCCGAAGGAGTCTCAAAGCGGCTAACATTCTCTTTTCCCTTCCTCCTCCACAACAAACACTCTGTGAGGTGAGTGAGGCTGAGAGACTTCAGAGAAGTGTGAGTAGCCCAAGATCACCCAGCAGCTGCATGTGGAGGAGCGGGGAATCGAACCCAGTTCACCAGATTACGAGTCCACCGCTCTGAACCACTACACCACTCTGGCACACTGTTGCACTCTGGTCTGGGCTACTCAGAGGCATCTGGTAGCAGGCCTGGATGGGCTATTGGCCGGATCAAGCAAACTTTTCTTACGTTCTCCCTACCAATCTCACTTTAAAGTCTCACTCCTGTTTTCCGGGGATTGTCAGCACAGGCAGAACTAAAGAGCAGCTCAGGTGAAGCTTCTCTCCCAGGCAGACCAGATGCCAAAGATCTTGCAGAAACCCAGAAGTCCAATGTTGCAACAGTTCTTAACCTTTAGCCAGTCAGAGGCATGGGGCAACGGTCTCCTCCTTGCTTCTGCAAACTCTTTCCTGGCATGTTTGCGCAAATTGCTTTCCTGGATTAGACGAAGGTTCATCATGTCCCGACCTAAATGGGCAATGATTGGCTAGATAGGGACGTGAGAAATACACATGCCGGTTTCAAGGCAAGAAAGGATAAAGGAGAAGGTGCTGGAAGGAGCCAACAGAAATGTGATTCCTGGTGGAGCAAGAAACAGCCCCTCCTGTAGGGCTGCCAGCTCTTGAATTTGAAACTTTTTCTGGTATCTGATTATAGGGGTGGGACAGAACGAGCTGAACCTGCCTAATTCACACTTTCCGAAACACAGCAAATCCTATGAAATCCAGGCCTTTCTGAATTCTGCAATGCCGTTCCCCATCCCAAATAATGCGTACAAAATAGACATAGAATCATAGAATCATAGAGTTGGAAGAGACCACAAGGGCCATCGAGTCCAACCCCCTGCCAAGCAGGAAACACCATCAGAGCACTCCTGACATATGGTTGTCAAGCCTCTGCTTAAAGACCTCCAAAGAAGGAGACTCCACCACACTCCTTGGCAGCAAATTCCACTGTCGAACAGCTCTTACTGTCAGGAAGTTCTTCCTAATGTTGAGGTGGAATCTTCTTTCTTGTAGTTTGGATCCATTGCTCTGTGTCCGCTTCTCTGGAGCAGCAGAAAACAACCTTTCTCCCTCCTCTATGTGACATCCTTTTCTATATTTGAACATGGCTATCATATCACCCCTTAACCTCCTCTTCTCCAGGCTAAGCATGCCCAGCTCCCTTAGCCGTTCCTCCTAAGGCATCGTTTCCAGGCCTTTGACCATTTTGGTTGCCCTCCTCTGGACACGTTCCAGTTTGTCAGTGTCCTTCTTGAACTGTGGTGCCCAGAACTGGACACAGTACTCCAGGTGAGGTCTGACCAGAGCAGAATACAGTGGCACTATTATTTCCCTTGATCTAGATGCTATACTCCTATTGATGCAGCCCAGAATTGCATTGGCTTTTTTAGCTGCCGCGTCACACTGTTGGCTCATGTCAAGTTTGTGGTGAACCAAGACTCCTAGATCCTTTTCATAACAGAGTACAAGACGCCTAACTAATGTAATCAGCTCTAAACTATTTCCAAATCTACTTAATTTTGACTGTGTCGTTTGCGCTCTGTACATGCATGGACTGTTTCTTGGGGGTTTATGGGGTATTTGGTTAATGCCTTTTTAGAAACTGAAATATAAAGTTAAGATTTTTAATTAATAATAATAATACAGTGGTACCTCGGGTTAAGTACTTAATTCGTTCCGGAGGTCCGTTCTTAACCTGAAACTGTTCTTAACCTGAAGCACCACTTTAGCTAATGGGGCCTCCTGCTGCTGCCGTGCCGCTGGAGCACAATTTCTGTTGTCATCCTGAAGCAAAGTTCTTAAGCTGAAGCACTATTTCTGGGTTAGCGGAGTCTGTAACCTGAAGCGTATGTAACCTGAAGTGTATGTAACCTGAGGTACCACTGTAATGATAAATATTTTTATTATCTATACCCTGCCCATCTGGCTAGGTTTCCACTCTGGGCAGCTTACAGCACATGGCAGCATTTTTAAACGACCCCAACCTCAAAGTGATGCAGCCATCCCTTTGGGCAGGGAGTTTGCCACTCCACAAAGCGTATTGTAAATAAAAAGTTAAGTAGCTGGTTGCAGCCACAGCAGAGTGAGGACAAAGCTCCCCTTGTTGGCTGGGTCCGTCTCCCCTCGCCTCATCGCTTTCCCCTGAAGGCCTTTAAAAGAAAGCAAAGGGGATTTCCTGAGACAAATGCGGAGGGGCCTGTCTCTCTCCTGGCATCCTGGGTGCAAATTCTTTCTCTTTCTGGCTTGGTGCCATCGTCTGCCCCCCCCTCCCCCAGTTTCCCTATATTAGTCAAATGCCTTCCCAGTGCTTAGAGACTCCATCCCCTCTAAGGTCTGGTCTGGACTGGGTAACCTCTCCCAGACAGGGACCCTGTCTGCATTCCTAATGGAATGATTTGAATATGAATGTGTCCTTTCTCTTTTTTGGGGGGCGTTAGAGAGGCGAGGGAGGCTCCTTTCATTCCGAAGATGCGAGCACCTCAAACTCTCGTGGCAAACGAGGGAGATTAGACGGGTGGGTCTCCAAGCTGTCATCCTTCAGAGAAAAGGGATATCAAGGTTATTTAGTATTTCATTGCATTTATTGTTTATCATTTCACTGCATTTCTGTCTAACTTTTTTCTCCAGGGAGCTGAAGGTGGTTCTCTCCCTCTTTGTTTAATTAATCACTACAACAACCTTTTAATGAGGGTGAAAGAGGAGAGTGCAAAATATGGTCTGAAGCTCAACATCAAAAAAATGAACATCATGGCCACTGGGCCCATCACCTCCTGGCAAATAGAAGGGAAATAAATGGAGGCAGTGAGAGATTTTACTTTCTTGGGCTCCATGATCACTGCAGATGGTGACAGCAGTCACAAAATTAAAAGACGCCTGCTTCTTGGGAGAAAAGCAATGACAAACCTAGACAGCATCTTAAAAAGTAGAGACATCACCTTGCCAACAAAGGTCCGTATAGTTAAAGCTATGGTTTTCCCAGTAGTGATGTATGGAAGTGAGAGCTGGACCATAAAGAAGGCTGATTGCCGAAGAATTGATGCTTTTGAATTATGGTGCTGGAGGAGACTCTTGAGAGTCCCATGGACTGCAAGAAGATCAAACCTCTCCATTCTGAAGGAAATCAGCCCTGAGTGATCACTGGAAGGACAGATCCTGAAGCTGAGGCTCCAAGACTTTGGCCACCTCATGAGAAGAGAAGACTCCCTGGAAAAGACCCTGATGTTGGGAAAGATGGAGGGCTCAAGGAGAAGGGGACAACAGAGGACGAGATGGTGGGACAGTGTTTTCGAAGCTACCAGAATGAGATTGACCAAACTGCGGGAGGCAGTGGAAGACAGGAGTGCCTGGCGTGCTCTGGTCCAGGGGGTCACGAAGAGTCGGACACCACTAAATGACTAAACAACAACAACAACCCTGTGAAGAAGGTTGGGGTGAGAGGCAGCGACTAGTCCCCAAGGTCACCCAGTGAGCTTCACGGCCAGTGTAGGATTTGAACACTGGTCTCTCAGCTCCAGGTCCAACACGCTAACCACTACACCACACTGGATCTCCAAGCTGAGAATCTAAAGACTCCAAGGTAACCTTCCACAACTGGGTGTGACTACCAGGTGCTCGGTGATCTAAGGCTTCCACCAGTCGCAGACCACAAATTGGTTGGGGCTGACAAGACTCATGGCCAAAGCAGCTGGTGAACATAACAACGTAGGGCCTTGCAGGATCAGGCCAATGGCCCATCGACTCCAACATCCTGTTCTCACAGTGGCCAGCCAGTTGCCTGTGGGAAACCAGCAAGCAGAATTTGAACACAAGAGCAGCTCTCGCCTCCTGCAGTTTCCAGCAATTGAGATTCAGAAGCATGATTGTCTCTGACCAGGAAGGCAGAGCGTTACCATAGTATCTAGTCACCACCAATAGCCCTCTCCTCCATGAATTTGTTTGGTCCTCTTTTAAAGCCATCTAAGTTGTGGACATCACTGCCTCCTGTGGGAGGGAGTTCCATAGTTTAACTAGTCACTGATTGAAGTACTTACTTTTCTCTGTCCTAAAATGTAAAATAATAATAATAATAATAATAATAATAATAATAATAATAATAGAAGAGTTTGGATTTGATATCCTGCTTTATCACTACCCAAAGGAGTCTCAAAGTGGCTCACAATCTCCTTTCCCTTCCTCCCCCACAACAAACACTCTGTGAGGTGAGTGGGGCTGAGAGACTTCAGAGAAGTGTGACTGGCCCAAGGTCCCCCAGCAGCTGCATGTGGAGGAGCGGAGACGTGGACCCGGTTCACCAGATTACAAGTCTACTGCTCTTAACCACTACACCACACTGGCTCTCTAATAATAATTTATTTATTTATACCCTGCCCATCTGGCTGGGTTTCCCCAGCCACTCTGGGCTGCTCCCAACAGAATATTAAAAGCACAATAAAACTTCAAACATTAAAAACGTCCCTAAAGGACTGCCTTCAGATGCCTTCTAAAAGTCAGATAGTTGTTTATTTCCTTGACATCTGACAGAAGGGCCTTCCACAGGGTGGGTGCCACCACCAAGAAGGCCCAACATTCAGCTTTGTTGGATATGCACCAATTCTAGTATCAAGAGAAGAAAAAAATCTTTCCACGGGATACTTTTCCCATGTCACGCATAATTTTTATAAACTTCCATGCTGTTGCCTCTTACATGCTTTTTCCTGAAACTAAGAAGTTTGGCCCCCAGATGCACAAGGCTTCTCTAAATCCTTATTGGCAGGCTGTGGCACCATCATGTGGGATAGTTTTAATTTCTCTCCTTCTCCTGCCCTCACTGCCCTTTTAAGAATTGTTTCACAGGACACTGAACCTCAGATCTCGGGGGTAGCAAGTGTGTGAGAAGCTACAATAGGATGCTCCCAGCTAGGAGCTTAACATGCGATTTTTTGCTGCTCGTGCCTCATAATGACCCACTTGGGGGGTTAAGCCCCCTTGGACTCTGCCCCCAAATCCCTTTAATGCTCTTGTGTCCATCTAAAACAATGTGTCTTTTGGGTAGTGACAAAATGGGGAGCAATGGCAGGAAGGCAACAGGGAGATTAAACAGAAGCTTCTCTTCATCACTAATAATTAGAAACATTCTTTTTTCCCAAAAGAGAAAGGGAAAATTATGCACAAGTAGCAACCCACATTCATTTGCTGGTGGGTTTGTTCGTTTGGGTAATATATTATCCTCTGTCAAGTTTCACTTCATTTGGTCATGTTGCATAATCTCTTGAATTTTCTCTCTCTCTCTCACTCACACACAAACAGGGTGCTTTATTCAAACATGACTCTCATATGTCATTCACGTACCACGCTTATTGTACACAGGAAATATTCACGGACACAGATAAACATCTGGAAAGCACTTTGAGAATGTGGATCGCTACCTTCTTTTTACCCTTAGTATACAGATCCCAAGTCCTTAATGCAGACTACGGTACTTTTTTTAATAAAAAACTCCTGAGTTAGAATTTTCATAGATGTTCCACGATCTTTCGGCAGCTGAGCTGATGGTTGGACAGAGTTCGTGTCAATCAACTGAAGCTCCGACAGCCAACAGAGCGGCAAGGGTTTTAAAGACCGCAGCGGGTATTTCCATCGGGGTTTTTCAGTCATATTTACTTGCTAATGAGGGACAAATGGACAAAAGCGCATCCCTCCCCCATCCGCAAACTGATAAGGTCTAAGGTTTAATTTGAAACAACATTCATTTCTCCACGGCCTAGTAAGTACTTGATTAATGTCTCTGGCTTTGATTTCACAAAATAGATAGAAGGGTTAGGTAGGAACAGTGCCAGATTTAGGTAAAGGTAAAGGGGCCCCTGACCATTAGGTCCAGTCATGGCTGACTCTGGGGTGGCGGCGCTCATCTCGCTTTACTGGCCGAGGGAGCCGGCGTACAGCTTCCGGGTCATGTGGCCAGCATGACTAAGCCGCCTCTGGTGAACCAGAGCAGCGCACAGAAACGCCGTTTACCTTCCCGCCAGAGCAGTACCTACTTATCTACTTGCACTTTGACATGTTTTCAAACTGCTATGTTGGCAGGAGCAGGGACAGAGCAACAGGAGCTCACCCATTGTGGGGATTCGAACCACCAACCTAATGATCGGCAAGTCCTAAGCTCTGTGGTCTAACCACAGTGCCACCCATGTCCCAGGTGCCGGATTTACGTATAAGCTAAACAAGCTATAGCTTAGGCTTAGGGCCCCACTCTCTTGGGGGCCCAAAAAAAAATTAAAGGAAAAAACCTGGATGTACATTTCCAAAATATAAGATAAAAAACAAATAAAATAAAACCTACATGCAGCAACAGTGTTTTGTGTTGTGTGGGCTCCTATTTTGTTATGTGCAAATGACTTTAGATACCTATTAGGTCCATATAGCATATATTCAACGCAAAAAACAGCGACAATTTGTTGTTGACAAAGGATGGCGGGACATTTTAAGGGCCCCATTACCTTCAGGAACTTAGAGCCTCATCAAACCTAAATCAGGTCCTGGGTAGGAAGACAGATTGCAAGATCCCTTGTGGATGCAGAATGCAGTTAAGCAAGTTGTTTGACACAGGAGAAAGAGAGAGAGAGAGAAAGAAAGAAAGAAAGAAAGAAAGAAAGAAAGAGAAAGAAAGAAAGTCTTCTTGCAGCACATAGCTAAACTATGGAACTCACTCCCATGGGCGGCAGTGATGCCCTATGAAGAAAAGTTACAGTGCGATATTAGGACTCAGAGTCATCCAGTGATGCTGAATATTCTGATATTCAGGACAGATTAAATAAAGGGCTTCATCACACAGCTTATGATTAAATTGTGGGATTCCCTGCCATAAAATGTGGCTGTTAGAATTCCTGCTCCGTGATTGCAGTCATGGGATTGTTGTCTATCACATGACAGTGTATATTTTGACTCCACAGAGTGGGAACTGACGGAGACAGGATGTTTGTGTTCCTGTGTTCCATGAAGTGGGACTGTTATCCTTTGTTATTTCTCTCTTTGCTGTCTGATGCTAGAGAGGGAGCCATGTTGCAGTGCTCCATGTGTGTTTATATGTAGATAAAGTAGATTAGCCAAAATGCTGAGTTGCTGAGTTGCAAGGTGCCCTAACTCTGCGGATCCCTAAGTGTGCCGATGTCTGTTGGCATCGGTCGCTGTGATGTTTGGGCAGAAGAAAGCTTTGGAAGCTCCCGATCAACCAGGAGGGAGGGAACATGCCAGTCAGGCATGTGTCCCTGCCAGGGTCCTACTCGAGTGTAGGCTGAACTCCTGACAGTGGCAATGGCTACCAAAGTGATGGCTTTAAGAATGTAAGGAGAGCCTGTTGAATGAGGTCAATGATCCTCTAGTCAAGCATTCTGTTCTCAAGGCGGTCAACCAGTAGGATAAAGGCTACCAATGCCTATTAGTCATGATGACTAGATGCCACCTCCAAGCTCAGAGGCCTTTGAATACCAGCCCTTGGGAAGAAGAAGAAGAAGAAGAAGAAGAAGAAGAAGAAGAAGAAGAGTTTGGATTTGATATCCTGCCTTTCACTCCCTTTAAGGAGTCTCAAAGCGGCTCACATTCTCCTTTCCCTTCCTCCCCCACAACAAACACTCTGTGAGGTGAGTGGGGCTGAGAGACTTCAGAGAAGCGTGACTGGCCCAAGGTCACCCAGCAGCTGCATGTGGAGGAGCGGAGACGCGAACCCGGTTCCCCAGATTACGAGACTACCGCTCTGAACCACTACACCACACTGGCTCACAGAGTTTAGGCCTTCGGTCTAATTCAGTAGTTTCCTGCATCACAGGGGGTTGGGCTAGATGATCCTTGGGGTCCCTTCCAACTCTACAGTTCTGTGATTTCATGTTCTTAACTAAAAGATGCACTCAACTCTTCCACTGAAATCAGTGTGAATGAAAATGCTGACAGCCGCTAGGATTCTGGTACCCCAGAGTTGGAAAGACGGACATGGTCGCTTACCAGAGTGGAATGGCAGAACAAATTGCTGGACTACGCAGAAATGGCAAAAACGACCAGGAAAACCAGAAACCAGGTAGATCAAAACTTTAGTAAAGATTGGGAGGAATTTATATTATATTTGAAGAACCGCTGTAAACACTTGAACTCCTAAGCAGGTTTAAAATAACTCTTGTAAGGTAACAAAGTCTTTGGACAAAATGGATATCTGGAAAACTGGGGTGACATATGATATGCAGTAGAAAAGAGTAAATAAAGAACCCATGGAGGGCATAGCTGTCAACGTTTCCCTTTTTTAAAGAGAAATTCCCTTATTCCGAATAGGATTCCTCGCAAGAAAAGGGGAAAGTTGACAGCTATGATGGAGAGGTGGGGGGAAAGTCAAAAGATTAGGAAGAATCTTGTTTTTTTTTTGTTGTTTTTTTTTTGGAGTGTGAATGTAAACATCAATTTGTAATATCCAATAAGTTTTTTTATATAAAAAAAGAAACTTTTGCTGGATCGGGACCTTTGCATTTAGGTTTCCCGCTGTTTCACATTGATTTAAGCCACCCACCCTCACAACGGCCATCCTCCTCAGTCCCCCAGCACCGCCACAAATTTCCTGGCCGCCTGTCTGCTCTCTTGACACTCCATTTCCGAGAATGCTTTCACTCCTGCAAATGGAATTTTGCTGCTTTAATGAGGAGTTTATATATACGTTACAAGGGATGGATTATATCCTCCCCTCATCAACCCAATTAGCGCATTCCAGGCCAGGCCAGGGAGAGGTTGACGGCCTCCACCGTTGACTGCCTGCCGCAGGGTAGCAATGAAGAACGCTGGCATTCAGGGGGTTCCCATGACATTGTAGGAACCACTTTCAAAAACAGATCCTTACACTGTTTCCTTGCATCCCGGCTGGGAATGGGGCAGAAATAGAATTACCCCTGAAGTTAAAGGCGGACCTACCCAATTCACACTTCCCGAAGCAACACAGGGGTCGAAATGCAGTCCCTGAATTTTGCAACGCAGTTCTGCAGCCAGCTAACGTGCATTTACTAGGAAAAAGTGGGTAAGGAATGCACATATATGTGAAAATAACAGCCAAAAATGCACCATATTAGGGGAAATTGCTTGCAAAAATGTGTAGGCAAGATTTTATAGCAATGCGGAATTAGGAAAAAGTTGCTGGCGAATTTTCATGAGTCCCTTTGTAAAAAAATCTCAGAATGATGTGGAAATGTTTGGAGCTAAATTCAAGAATGGAAAAACGGGAAACTAAAAATGGACAGATTCACCCACCCCAAAACCTCTGCTACCTTGTGGGATATCTTCAGGAGAAGAAAAGGCTATACAGTGGTACGTCGGGTTACAGACACTTCAGGTTACATATGCTTCAGTTTACAGACTCTGCTAACCCAGAAATAGTACCTCGGGTTAAGAACTTTGCTTCAGGATGAGAACAGAAATCGTGCTCTGGTGGCGCGGCAGCAGCAGGAGGCCCCATTAGCTAAAGTGGTGCTTCAGGTTAAGAACAGTTTCAGGTTAAGAACAGACCTCCAGAGGAAGGAAGAATAATAGCGGTTCGTATTAAATGGCAAGGTGAAATATTGATAATAATCGGGATTTACGCACCAAATGGTAACAAAACAGAGTTCTTTAGATTATTGGAAGAGAAGTTATTTGAACATATGGACCAAAAAATCATAATAATGGGAGACATGAACGGGGTGGTTTCAATTGAAATGGACAGATTAAGGAAAACGAAGAACAAAGAAGGAAAGTTACCTAAGACATTCTTTATGATGACCAAGAATTGTAATTTAATAGATATTTGGAGACTTAGGCACCCTCTGGAGAAACAATTTACATATCACTCAGAACCGAACCAATCAATGTCAAGAATAGATCAAATATGGATATCAAATGAATTGACACCAAGAATTCAAAAAATTGAAATCCAGGCCAAAGTTGTTTCTGATCATAACCCAATAGAAATGGAGATGAAGGGAGCTGAAGAACGAACTTTCAGATGGAGGCTGAATGATAACCTATGGGATGATCAAAAGTTCGTTGAAAAAATACGGAAGAAACTATTTGAATATTTTTTGGATAATTTAGATAAAGGGGTGAAAATAAGTGTGGTATGGGATGCAAGCAAGGCAGTAATGAGGGGCCTTTTTATTCAACAAAATGTGTGGAAAAGAAAAAACAAAGAAAGAAGGACAAAAGAGATTCTGAGACAGATCATGGACAATGAACAAAAATTGATTAAAAAACCGAACAATGAAAGGATAATGCAGGAAATAAAATCCCTCCAAACCCAATTTGCTATGTTAATAAATAAAGAGGTTGAGTGGAACATCAAAAGGTTAAGACAGAAAAATTTTGAATTCGCCAATAAGTCAGGAAAATGGCTTGCTTGGCAAGTTAAAAGGAGGAACGAACAAAATACAATCAGCAAAATACAAATAAATGGAGAAGAAACAACTGACCCGAAAGGAATTAGAAAAGGATTCGTGGATTTTTATGAGCAATTATATAGGAATAAAGAAAGGAACAATATAAAAAAAATAGAAAGATATTTAAAAGAAAAGATGGTGAGGAAGATTTCGATAGATCAAAAGGAACAGCTAAATGCCCCAATATATAGAGAAGAGGTAGAAGAAGTGATAAAAGAATTGAAAAGAGGGAAAGCACCGGGCCCAGATGGGTTTACATCGAGCTATTATAAAGAAATGAAAGATACATTGATGACTCCGTTAATTGAGGTGATGAATAACATCCTAAAGGAAAGAGATATCCCAGACACATGGAAGGAGGCATTTATCACAATAATTCCAAAGCAAGACTCGGATCTAACCCAAGTTAAGAATTACAGACCTATCTCTTTATTAAATACGGATTATAAGATTTTTGCTGGAATCCTAGCCAAAAGATTAAAAAAGATACTAACAAAAATTATACATGAAGACCAGGCGGGTTTTTACCGGGCAGGCAAATAAGAAATAACACAAGAAGTATAGTTAATTTAATTGAATACCTTTCTGATAGATGTGATAAACCAGCCAGTCTAATCTTCGTAGATGCGGAGAAAGCCTTCGATAATGTAGTCTGGGATTTCATGTTAAAAAATTTGGAAATTATGGAGGTGGGCCAAGAGTTTCTAAATGGCATAAAGGCAATTTACACAGAACAGAAGGCGAGACTGATAATTAATAATATCATCACTGAAGACATAAAAATATCCAAAGGAACAAGACAGGGATGTCCGCTTTCGCCGCTGCTTTTTATTGTGGTTTTGGAAGTCTTACTAAATGTAATAAGACAAAATAAACAAATTAAAGGGGTAACATTAGGTTCAAATGAGTACAAAGTTAAAGCCTACGCAGACGATGTGGTCCTAACAGTGGAAGAACCTATAGAGAGTATAAGGGAGATCTTGGAAGAGATGGAGAAATTTGGGAAGCTAGCAGGATTTAAATTGAATAAGAGTAAGACAAAAATGATTGTTAAAAACTTAGATCAGGATAAGATTGAATTAGTACAGCAACGAACCGAAATTGAGGTTGTTAAAAAGGTTAAATATTTGGGACTCTGGCTTACCAACAAAAACATCGATTTATACCAAAATAACTACACCCCGGTTTGGAATGGAATTAAAAAAGATCTGGAGGTCTGGGCCAGGATGAAATTATCATTCTGGGGAAGAATATCTATGGTCAAAATGATGGTGCTCCCAAAGTTGTTATTTTTATTTCAAACGATACCCATATTAAAAGGTACAAAAAATTTTAAAGAATGGCAAAAGGTGATCTCTAGATACGTCTGGGAAGGAAAGAAGCCTAGAATTAAGTTTAAGTTATTAACAGATGTAACAGAAAGAGGGGCTTCGCCCTACCAGACATGAGACTGTATTACGAAGCAGCATGTCTGTGTTGGATAAAAGAATGGGTAAAGCTGGAGAATAAAGAACTACTAGATTTGGAAGGGCACAATAATAGATTTGGGTGGCATGCGTATCTATGGAGGGATAAAAGAGAGTGCATAAAGAATTTTGTAGCCACATCTTTAAAGGTCCACTAATAGAGGTCTGGGACAGATATAAAAATATATTAGAACCGAAAACCCCACATTGGCTATCTCCGTTGGAGATAATAAGTGTAAAGAAAGTTAATATGAGAGAAAAGTGGGGAAAGTATGGAGAAATGGTTACTAATGAAGGAGGGAAGTGGAAAGTAAAATCATACGATCAGGTTAAAGTATTTACATATGACTGGCTGCACTATTTTCAGATAAATGAAATGTTTAAAGAAGAGGTGAAGGAAAGGGGTTACGAGGAAAAGGAATCGGAATTTCAAAAAGAGATAATAAACAACGAATATAAAAACCTGTCAAAAATGTATAAAATATTGTTAGAGTGGAATACGAAGGATGAGGAAGTAAAATCTGTCATGATACAATGGGCAAGGGATTTCGGCTATAATATTCAATTAGAGGATTGGGAAAAGTTATGGAGAGTGAACATAAAATTTACGGCATGCACGTTACTGAGAGAAAATGTGATGAAGATGCTTTACAGGTGGTATATGACACCTGTAAAACTGGCTAAGATGTATAAGGCAGATAACAAATGCTGGAAATGTAAACAAAAGGAAGGGACTTTCTATCATCAATGGTGGGAGTGTAAGAAAGTTAAAAGCTTCTGGGATGAAATTTACAACGAAATGAAAAAGATGTTAAGTTACACTTTTGTAAAAAAGCCAGAAGCCTTTTTATTAGGTATTGTGGGAAAGGATATCAAAAGGAAGGATTGCAAACTCTTCCAGTATGCGGTAACGGCAGCCAGAATTGTGATAGCTCAGAAGTGGAAGCAGGAAGAAATCCCAACGATAGCAGAGTGGAGAGTGAAACTGACAGAATACGCTGAGTTGGATAAATTAACAGGGAAAATCAGATATACTAAGGATCAAAAGTTTATTGAGGACTGGGGGAAATTTGTGGGTTATCTGGAGAATAAATGTTTTGTAAATACAACGCTAGTGGGATTTAAAGAGGCACTGTAAAGAATTAATAAGTATTGTTTAATAGAAATAATGTATGAAGGAAGGAACGAATGGCAATATGAAAGAATGGAATGTGTTTTAAAGATATAAATACGAATGAATGTCAATGACGCTGAAGGAAGTTCAAAATGTATGAGATATATTGAAATATGGATATACTGTATAAAAATGGGAAATCAATAAAATCTTTGAAATACAAAAAAAAAAAAAAAAAAAAAAGAACAGACCTCCAGAATGAATTAAGTACTAAACCCGAGGTACCACTGTATTATGTATTTGAATTATGTATTTAATTTGAATTACTGTATTTGAATTATGGTGCTGGAGGAGACTCTTGAGAGTCCCATGGACTGCAAGAAGATCAAACCTATCCATTCTTAAGGAAATCAGCCCTGAGTGATCACTGGAAGGACAGATCCTGAAGCTGAGGCTCCAAGACTTTGGCCACCTCATGAGAAGAGAAGACTCCCTGGAAAAGACCCTGATGTTGGGAAAGATGGAGAGCACAAGGAGAAGGGGACGACAGAGGACGAGATGGTGGGACACTGTTCTCGAAGCTGCCAGCAGGAGTTTGACCAAACTGCGGGAGACAGTGGAAGACAGAAGTGCCTGGCGTGCTCTGGTCCAGGGGGTCACGAAGAGGCGGACAAGACTAAACGACTAAACAACAACAACAACAACAACAACAACAACAAACCACTGTACAAATCTGGATAGCACCTTGTACGCCTCCTTCCGGCAACTCTTGCAGCCAAGCTAGTGCCAAATGTATTGCTCTGCTTGACTTTGGACCACATCATCAAGACCAAGAGGGGGGTCTTGTCGTCTGGGCAGCCCAGAACCTCCAGACACATTGCCCAGGATTGCACCCCGTCCAGGTGCTGCTAGTGCAACAGTGTGACTTCACCCCCAGAGGCATACTCCATTGTCTCTCAAGACAGACAGATGGCAACCACAACAGCAGTGCAGTCTGGAGTTAGGATGTGAGACCCTGGTCTCCAGGTATCCTGGAGCTCAGATCTTAGGCGACACAAGCAGAAGATACTCTGAGCATGGATCCTGGCAGGATCAGGTACCCACAGTGGCTGCCCATTGGGACTAGCAGGGTGGGAAGCAGGGAGCCCAGACTGTGGGTGGAGCCAGAAGTGATGGCAGGCGAAGCCAAACTCTGGTTTTGACTCCATCCTCCTCCTCACTGCTCTACAAAGCAAAACATTGAGACTAAGGAGGAGGAAGACGCTTAAAGGGCAGGATTATTCCCTGGACTATTTGCAAGGAGGAAGTGTGGTATGTAATCTACTAGAGCAGTCAAGTACAACAATACCTGTTTATCAGCTCTACCAGTACGCAGGATGAGACCCTCCCTGCCCGCAGACTGCCTCGCCAGTGGTGCATGCTCTGGTTATCTCTTACTTGGACTACTGCAATGCACTCTACGTGGGGCTACCTTTGAAGGTGACCTGGAAACTGCAACTAATCCAGAATGCGGCAGCTAGACTGGTGACTGGGAGCGGCCACCGAGACCACATAACACCGGTCTTGAAAGACCTACACTGGCTCCCAGTACGTTTCCAAGCACAATTCAAAGTGTTGGTGTTGACCTTTAAAGCCCTAAATGGCCTTGGTCCAGTACACCTGAAAGAGCGTCTCCACCCCCATCATTCTGCCCGGACACTGAAGTCCAGCACTGAGGGCCTTCTGGCGGTTCCCTCACTGCGAGAAGCCGAGTTACAGGGAACCAGGCAGAGGGCCTTCTCGGTGGTGGCACCCACCCTGTGGAACGCCCTTCCACCAGATGTCAAAGAGAAAAACAACTACCTGACATTTAGAAGACATCTGAAGGCAGCCGTGTTTAGGGAAGCTTTTAATGTTTAATAGATTATTGTATTTTAATATTCTGTTGGAAGCCGCCGGAATGAATTAAGTACAGTGGCACCTCGGGTTAAGTACTTAACTCGTTCCGGAGGTCCGTTCTTAACCTGAAACTGTTCCTAACCTGAAGCACCACTTTAGCTAATGGGGCCTTCGCCGGAGCACGATTTCTGTTCTCATCCTGAAGCAAAGTTCTTAACCTGAGGTACTATTTCTGGGTTAGCGGAGTTTGTAACCTGAAGCGTATTTAACCTGAAGTGTCTGTAACCCGAGGTACCACCGTACTCAGACTGGCCCAGCAATGAGGAGAAACATTGGCGCGGCTGTTTTCAAACCTGTGTCCAAGAGAAACAGCCGTTGTTTGAGAGGGCTGTGTGTTTTTGCAACGCATTTCTCTCTCTCTCTCTTCAGCCAGTGCTTGATGCTCTTCCTCAGGGACAGATCTTCTCTAGTGAACATGTCGACATAATGACCCCGGAGGGGAATCCCGCCAAACAAGCAGCCAAGATTTAATTACCAGCCGCTCTCGGGATGTAAATGATCTATGAAAAAGTATACAGTCCTCAGCGGAGGCAGCACACATTAACCAGCCCGCGTGACCCCTCTGTTTAGTTTACTGTCAGAGGTCTCTCCTGGGTTCTTTGGGGAAGGGGGAATGACTGGCGAGGCGGCTGGGAGGGGGAGAAGGCCCAGGGTTCGGAGGAGAAATGTTTCTCTGATGCAGAAGGGCAGGCAGGGACTCACAAACTCATTAAACCATAGAACTGTAGAGCTGGGTGGGACCCTGAGGGTCATCCAGACCAACCCCCTGCAATTGCAGGAATCTCAACTAAAGCATCCAGGACAGATGGCCATCCGGCCTCTGCTTTCAAAGCCTTCAAGGAAGGAGAGTCCACAACTTCCTGAGAGAGACCGTTCCATTGTCAAACAGCTCTTACTGTCAGAAGCTTATTTTGGGTGTTTAGTCGGAATCTCCTTTCCCCCCAATTTCAGTCCATTGATAATAATAATAATAATAATAATAATAATAATAATAATAATTTAGTATTTATACCCCGCCCATCTGGCTGGGCTTCCCCAGCCACTCTGGGCGGCTTCCAACAAAATATTAAAATGCAGTAATGCATCAAACATTAAAAGCTTCCCTAAAGAGGGCTGCCTTCAGAATTCTTCTAAAAGTCTGGTAGTTGTTGTTCTCTTTGACATCTGGTGGGACAGCGTTCCACAGGGCGCGTGCCACTACCGAGAAGGCCAGATTAAGAGTATCTGCTACTTGCCAGGGTCAAAGTTGAGCATCTCTTGCCACTGATATTCAGAGATATATTGCTCCTGGACATGAAGGTTCCATTCAGCTATGATTCTGGGATGAGTTAAATAGGTCTCACCAGTGTTTGGAAACAAAACTGTCCCAATCCAGCAAAAGTTTGGCATTTTCTCAGCCTGGCATCTAAGAGATCTCACTGCACTCCTTTCTTCTTGATGTTTAAAGCCAGGCTCCCCCAGGACAGGCCTTCAAACACAGGACCATCCTCTACAAAATAGGGCACATGGCCACTCTATTACCACCCCTCCCTCCCCCCCGTCCCCCCTTCTGTGTGTAGCTGAAGCTGCAGTTTCTTGGCTCCTGTGCATGCACAGAGAGCAGATTGCTTCTGGACAACCTATTGTGCTGATTGGCTGAAGCTGAATGTTGGAAGATTTGGAACAGATAAAGGAAAGTCTTTCACGCACACAGTTAAACTATGGAACTCCCTGCCACAGGAGTCAGTGATGGCCACAAACCTAGGTGGCTTTGAAAGAGGAATAGGCACATTCATGGGGGAGGAGGGGGCTGTCAAAGGCTGCTAGATATGATGGCTCTGCTCTGCCTCCACAGTTGGTGTGATGGTCTGGGGCTCGGATTTGGAACCAGAGGGGTCTCAGTCCTTTGCCTCAGGCATCATCTGAACCAAGTCTGGGGCCTGATCCTGAAGAGTCCCAGTCTGCAAAGGTTCCCCTGCAACAAACACCAGCTGGGCCGAGTCAGGGGCCTGAGCCTGCCCTGGCTCCAGATATGGGGATGACCTCATTGCCTCCAGCTGGGCCATCACTTACAGCTGCTCCACTACCGGTTGGGTCAGGAGAAGCTGAGGCAGCCCCTGGGTCTAGTAACCCACCGACGTCTCCTGAGCTGCAGAGACAAAGGTCTGAGAGAAGGAGAGACCTCCGGGTTAGCGCCATCGGTGAATGGCGGAGTTCCTCCGACCGGAGGAACTGGCTCCATGGAAATTGGGTCTTCCCGCCGCAGCGAAGGTGGGGACCCGCTAGAAATCCCAGGCGGAGGAAGCCTGGGAACGTGGGGTTCAGCAGGGCACCAGGAGCGCCTCCTCTACTCACGGGGAACCCCATTTCGGGGCTCCGGAGTGAAGTGGGGTGAGAGGCGCGGTGCTGCGAACTGATTGCTACTTTCACGGAGTGAAGCCGCACAGCCATTGCCGGAGACCGCTGACTTTCCTGTGGACAATTGGATTTAAAACAAGTACCCGTGAGTAGAAACGGAAAATTGGATCAAGAAATATCCTAATTTGGCACCGAAGCGGGAAGGTTCAAAACAGGAAGTCCGCCTTCCGCTTTTTGTATATAGACTGAAGCAAAAACCTTGTAAGCTAAAGCCTGGAAAGTCGTTTATAAAAGTCTAAATTTCCTTCATTTATAACCACTAAAACCCCCTTGGAAGCAGGAGAAAAAGGGGGGGGGACTTTGTTTAAGCCTGCAGGAGAGGGAGTAAAGAAAGACAAGTTTTCACCGTCTCAAACCTGGGAACGGGGTGTCAGAGACAGAAATTGTTGGAGATGTTCATTGACTGTGAATGGAACACTTTGACAGATAGCTAAAAAAGAGAAATAAACTGATTCCAATGTTGCCTTTTGCATTCTAAAGAAACAAAATATCTGAAAAATGAAAGTAATTTTCCTTTGTTGGACTTGCCTTAAAAAGATGGATACAAATAGAAATTGTCTCCTCTAGAGGGAGCTTGTTAAATTGTTGCTGCAGTCTACTTGAGGACTATACAGCTGTGAGATTAAGATCGTGGGACCAGTCCTTTTGACCTTGGATAAAAATGTGCTGGGAGGAAGTTTTGGTGCTTGCTTTATGCAAGACAAGTGCTTTGTTGGAACAGATGCATGAGAAGATGGATTTGATGAATGAGAAAACGGATTTGATGACTGTTGTGGTCAATAACTGCGGACAAACAGGGAATACTGATACAGAAACCGTTCAGGGACCAACTCAGGAACCTGTATTGATTGGGCAAGTGCAAGTGCAGAAGATAATGGAGGAGGTTGCGGTTGCACCTCAAATAATACAAACGGAGAGATCCGAGGCCCTGCAGGAGCATAAGCCGCTGATTTTGAAGACTGAAGTTGGAGTGGGCCAGGGGGAGTCTGGAGCTGAGGAGGTTCTTAACTTCGGAGGATTACATTGATGACTGTGGGGAGTGGGACTGTGGGGAATGGGCTGGTTTGATGAAGGGAGATGGAGATAACTTTGGGCTGGAACCTCCCAGAGACCTACTCCTCAATGAGAAAGGAAAGAAATTAAGAAAGAGACCAACAAAAGACAAGGAAAAGTGCAGGTATAAACAAGAAGAAGAAGATCCGCAGAAGGGCCATGGAAGAGACTTAAGAGCCTCGGATATAAGATTACCGGGTTGATGGACTGGACGGAATGGACAGTAAGGACTGACATAACCCGAGACCAGGAAGAAGAGACGTTGGATGAAGATTGGAAGAAAGTTCTTAAAAATTTATTTTGAGAATTAGTGTAAAATTAATGAGTATTAGGAAAAATGTTGGAATGAAACTATTTGGCTTTAATAGAAATGATATAAGGAGTTATGTATAAATAAGTATTAAGTTTTAAGTTTTAAGGTATTTTATGGTAAGATAAGGTTAAAATAAATTAAGGTAAATTGAATGACAGAATATAGTGAAAGATGGAAAGGATTTGCTGAGTTAATTAATAGGTTAAATTGTTAAGATAAATTATTCAATAAAAATTGAGAAAGATGGAAAGAATTTGCTGAAATAACTAATTAAACTAGAATACAAAAAGGGAGGTGTGAGGAGGTCAATGAAACAAGCAAATGGAAGTTAAAAATATGCAATATGGGATTTGTGTTTTTTTTCTCTTTTTGTTGTATTGTTGTATTGGTTTTTATGCTTTGTTTTTTTTCCTTCTTTTTTATGTATTGTAGTGTTGTTTTCTATTTTTTCTTTTTTTCTGTAATCCTGAAATTTTTAATAAATATTATTTTAAAAATAATAATTATTATTATTTCTTGTCTAGATATGAGTGACTGAACTGTAGAACAGCACCATCCCCCTACATCTTAAATGGGTTTTGCACAGCTTTGAATGACTTTTTTTTTGTTTAACTATATATAGTGACTTTTCAGTATTATATGTTTGGATATACAGCCCAGAACTGTTGAGTGTAAATGCCGTGACTGAATAGTGTGCATACTAGTTTAGTTTAAGAAGAAGAATATATAATGCTAGTAATGTTTATTTTTATTTAACGAACTGCTTGATTGTAATAAAACTTCTTAAGCATTTTACAGCAAATGTTCCTAGTAATGTTAGTCATTGTACTCATCATAATTGAACATCAAACGTATGCTTGTATCTAATTGACTAACTTTGGCTAAACAATGCAATAAATTTGCTCCATACAAAAAAAGAGAGAGAGAGAGAGAGAAGGAGAGACCTGAGTACTCGCAGGAGGAGTGCTCGCCTTCAGGCGAAACAGGGAGGTGAGTCGCTGGGGGATCAGGACTGGCTGTTACCCCGACAAAGATAAAAGGCTGTCGGACCCCGCCCCAGGCTGTGGGAGCAACATTGCTGTATGCTAGATCCTGCACCTGTCCTTGCCTGGTTTCCTGCCTCGTGTCCTGCCTTGGCCCTGTCGGACTGACTCCCAGCAGAACCTTCGGATTTTGAACCGGCCCTGGACCACATTTCACGGGTTACCCCCGGGCCCAGCACAGTGGGAGGCAGTGATGCTTCTGAATCCCAGTTGCTGGAAACCATGAGATGAGAGAAGGCTCTTGTGCTTGGATCCTGCTCACAGGTTTCACATAATGGCCATCTAGTTGGCCACAGGACAAGGAGCTAGCTAGCTGAGCCACTGGCCTGATCCAGCGGGCCCTCCTTACATTCTTATCCCACACTTTCCCGTCACTTTCGTTACCACAAAAACTCAGATATTTTGGGATGTGCCTTTGTTGTGCAAGAGTGACAAAGCTACTCTGATTGTGCAATCTTAATTTGCTGGTATGTGCCCAAATCCCAAGCACAAAATAGCAACTGTCTGGAAGCAGCCTAGGAGTGCACTGCCTTTAGGTGCAGGAGGGAAAGCTACACCCTGCTCTCAATGTTTCCTCCCATCGAAACATTCAAGGATGCTCTGTTTTCTACCCAGGGACACAGAAATCTGCATTGCTGCATTCACTGCTGTGAAGGCAGTACTAACTATTAATTAGTAGCTGCTGATATTTTTCTCATCTTCCATGAATGTGTACAACCCTGTCCTAAATATCTTCCACCTTCCACTTTCTCCATGCTGTGTATAATTTTATAAACTCACCTGCCCAGGTAAAGGTAAAGGGTAAAGGGACCCCTGACCATTAGCAACGGGAGCTCACCCCATTGTGGGGATTCGAATCGCCGACCTTCTGATCGGCAAGCCCTAGGCTCTGTGGTTTAACCCACAGCGCCACCCGCGTCCCTTTTAAAAAGTGCCCAACAGACACAGAATTGCTCCAGAGGGCACCAGCCTTCATTTAACAAATAAGTTTCTAGCTCTCATGAATGGAAACCGCGTTGGATTTCCAGTGGTAATCCAGAGGGGAAAGAGGGTCCCTATAGAGATTGTTGACTTTCTCTGTGAGCAAAGCTTGCAGATATATTTCCATTCTCAAGGCATAAAACGAAGCTGTTCTTTGGGGAGAGTTAGAGATCCCAGACATATTTTTTCATTATTGCATTTAAGTGCAGGGCTACAGATGGCCCAGGCCACACCCCACGGAACAGCCTGCTGGGCTGGCAGAATAGCTGCAAAATTAGAAAAACATGGAGGATTAACTATGGTGCTGTTGGGAATGAAGACAAACAAAACCCCGATCTGTGATGGCAGTTTCGAAACTGCACGGGGTTTGCAAAGAATTGTGCAGGAGGCAGCAGTGGCGAACGCTCAGGCCCCCTGTGGCAGCTGCAGCAAAGCCTTGGCCAAAGACATGCTGATCCTGTGGCAATTGAGGAGCTGCCAGGAGCCACGGAAATAGGGGCTGGCTTAGCTCCTCCAGAGTCAAGCCTGTGCTCAGCTGCTTCCCTGGAGCGCAGGGGGCCAGCTCAAGATGTTCTTTCCTCCTTGCACCAAAACGAACCTCGCTTCTCTGATTCATGTACCAAATATGACACTCCTTGTTGCCGCTCCTTAAATCGGAGACGGGGAGCCTTCTTCAGCCTGAGAATGCTTTCCCTTTCCAGGGTCTTGTGCTAGTGGTGGGCGGGGCCAGAAGCAAAAGTAGGCAGAGCAACACTTTCCCCCTTTTCCTAAGACCTCCTCTCCAACGGAAGCTGAAAATCCTCAGGTGAACCCCTTCTCTCCATCCCATCAACATCAGAGGCATAGATGGTGGTCACACGACACAGGACCTTTTCTGTGGCTGCTCCCGGATGGTGGGACTCCCTCCCAAGGGAGGATAGCCTGGCTCCCTCCCTGTTATCCTTCTGTCAACAGGCTGAGACTTTCCTGTTCAGATGGGCCTTTGGAAGCTGAGGTGCAGACAATGTTAATCACCACCAGGCTGTTGTCAGGGCAAATCATATTTTAATTGTCGGTTCTAAATGTGTTCTGGTGTATTTTAATTATTGTTTCCAACAGGTTTGTTTTTATTGCTTTGTATTTTATGAAGTTTTAAAATGTTGAATCCCAGCTTGGGAAGGAAGGCGGGATATAAATACATTTAATACTTTTAAAAGGTAAAGGACCCCTGACAGTTAAGTCCGGTCGCAGACGGTTCTGGGGTTGTGGTGCTCATCTCGCTTTACTGGCTGAGGGAGCCGACGTTTTGTCCGCAGACAGTTTTTCCAGATCATGTGGCCAGCATGACTAAGCCACTTCTGGCGCAACGGAACACCGAAACTAGAGCAGCGCACGGAAACGCTGTTTACCTTTCCACCGGAGCGGTACCTCTTTATCTACTTGCACTTTGATGTGCTTTCGAACTGCTAGGTTGGCAGGAGCAGGGACCGAGCAACGGGAGCTCACCCTGTCACAGGGATTCGAACCGCCAACCTTTGGATCGGCAAGCCCAAGAGGCTCAGTGGTTTAGACCACAGCGCCACCCGCATCCTTTAATACTTCTAATAAAATAATAAATGAGTATTTTGGCGTGGGTGCCATGACAGGCTCTTTAATAGATCCTGACATTAACAGCTATCGCTCTTGCCACCAGGCTCTTGCCACCAGGCTTACTGTGAGAATCTGGCCACAGCTCCCTTGCCCCTACGACTCAGTTTCTAGTGGCTTCTGAGCAAATGCAATTGCCAGGTCAAGATTAAACTTACAAGCATAAAGAATCTTCATTGATGCTTTGATCCTTGTTCAGATTTTTGAAAACAGCTTGGGCGAAGGGAGTGCAAGTCCCTTTCACACCCGTTTCTGGGTCTGGACCTTTTTAACAAGCTGGGATTCCTGCTGACTTGAGAAATGCAAAACAACTCTGCAATTCCTGCTGCATAACAGAAGCCCCACAATCCTACAGAGGCTGGGAGATGTCTGCTAAGCGGGTGTTTGAAGTTAAACTGGTTGTCAGCTCTGACTCACTTCTCTCCAAAAATAGCCTGCCCCCATCAGTTAACCCCTGGGGTGCTCTCAGTCCAGAAGTGGTTCCCCTCCCACCCCCAAAGTTTCTGCACCCAGCTAGGGGTGGAGGAAAATTTTGATTTTGTTTGCATTTTCATGAGAAACTACACAACTCTCAAACCGATATATGCACCAAAACACACAATCCTTCGAAACACACACTTCTCTGATGTACAAAAGCATATGAACCAAAATGCACACCAAAGCATATACGAGGGGGAACTGGGCCTAGAAACAAATATTGCATCAAAATGACATACAAGAATGTCTTGTGTCAGGGAAAGTGGCTTGCAAAATTGAGTTTAGTAGGAGAAATTCATGCTAAAACAGTTATGAACTTTCAAGAGAGTTAAAAAAGAAATTGCAGATGGTTGCAGAAATGTAGAGGAAATGAATAACGTAACTAATATTTGCAATAGATGGGAGAGTTTGGGCAGACATATCTCCTTCCATCTTAGAAGCTCTCTGCAACTGGACAATTTCCTTCTGGAAAATGATTAGTAAGATAGCAGGCACCTTCCCTTCCTCTCACATCCATTCAGCTAGGAATGGACCTCACAGAGTTATGTGGTCCACCTGGGAAGACGACTGTAACCTCAGGCCATGTATTGCGATGGACCAGTTCCTTGATCCATGCGTCATTCAAACCTGTATTCTGCTCTGGTCAGACCTCACCTGGAGTACTGCGTCCAGTTCTGGGCACCACAGTTCAAGAAGGACACTGACAAACTGGAACGTGTCCAGAGGAGGGCAACCAAAATGGTCAAAGGCCTGGAAACGATGCCTTATGAGGAACGGCTAAGGGAGCTGGGCATGTTTAGCCTGGAGAAGAGGAGGTTAAGGGGTGATATGATAGCCATGTTCAAATATATAAAAGGATGTCACATAGAGGAGGGAGAAAGGTTGTTTTCTGCTGCTCCAGAGAAGCGGACACGGAGCAATGGATCCAAACTACAAGAAAGAAGATTCCACCTAAACATTAGGAAGAACTTCCTGACAGTAAGAGCTGTTTGACAGTGGAATTTGCTGCCAAGGAGTGTGGTAGAGTCTCCTTCTTTGGAGGTCTTTAAGCAGAGGCTTGACAACCATATGTCAGGAGTGCTCTGATGGTGTTTCCTGCTTGGCAGGGGGTTGGACTCAATGGCCCTTGTGGTCTCTTCCAACTCTATGATTCTATGATTCTATGCTCCTGGTGTGGCCTGCCTGACAGTCTTATGGTTTCTAGTTTGTATCCTGAGCATCCTTCAAACAGAGGAGGAGGTCAGGGGTGCTCCCTAAAGTCCTGCATCAAATTCCTTCTAGATTTTCTGTGTACAGTCATACCTCGGGTTACGAATGCTGCGGTTGCGCATTTTCGGGTTGTGGACTGCGCTGAACCCGGAAGTACCAGAATGGGTTATTTCTGGGTTTTGGCGCTTGCGCATGTGCAAAAGCACAGAATGACACCACCCGCATGCACAGAAGCGCCGAATCACGTCACGCGCAGATGCAGCACTGCGGGTTGCAAACGCTGCGGGTTGCAAACGTGCCTCCCGCATGGATCACGTTTGCAACCTGAGGTATGACTGTATACTTAGGGCCAGCCTCCCCGCAAAAAGCTCCACAACTCTGGAGGCGTGTTATACATGAGGGCATGTTATACACGGAAAAATACGGTATATATTTGATCCCCAATGGTCCTATTCCCTGGGTTCTATCGTGACAGCTGCCCATGCCTGTGTTTGCATGCATGTGTGATGAACAGATCACATCGTGTACTACCCATAAAATACTTTGGTGTTTGAAAAAGCGCTGTGTGTACTATTCTTTGCGAGTCACCATCGAAACAGCTGCATGGATTCCTCCTTCCTCAGCCGACAAGCACTTGGCAAAAAAGAATTTTACATTTCCCCATCTGATGGATGGCAGCAAGACTTTTCATGTCAGCATGATAGCAGTTATTTAGCAACCGACGTGGGATCTGAGTTTCTCTGGAGAACCTCCCACCCAGAAAAGTTGGTCATACCCGTGATAGGTCTGAATCATACACAGTGATATTGGCAGAGATAACTCATCTCCCCAACCTGGGCAGGTTCCAACATTTTCTTCTTTACAGCTCCTTCCCATTAAAAAAACCCAAAAAAACGGCAGCAGCAATACCAAACGATCTATTTACAGTATTTTTCGCTCCATAAGACGCACCAGGGGACGCGGGTGACGCTGTGGGTTAAACCACAGAGCCTAGGACTTGCCGATCAGAAGGTTGGCAGTTCGAATCCCCGCGACGGGGTGAGCTCCCGTTGCTCGGTCCCTGCTCCTGCCAACCTAGCAGTTTGAAAGCACGTCAAAGTGCAAGTACAGTGGTGCCTCGCAAGACGAAATTAATTCGTTCCGCAAGTCTCTTCGTCTTGCGAGTTTTTCGTCTTGCGATGCACGGTTTCCCATAGGAATGCATTGAAAATCAATTAATGCGTTCCTAGGGAAACCGCCTTCAGACCAGGTCCGGGGACAGTCTGTCCCCGGACCTCTTCTGAAGGCTGGGGGCAAGGGCTTTTCTTCCCACCCCAGCATTTTAAAAAACCCCGGGACAGCGGAGGACTTCTCCGCTGTCCGGGCGATCTTAAAATGCTGGCGGGCGGCATTTTAAAATCACCCCGGGACAGCGGAGGACTTCTCCGCTGTCCGGGGCAATTTAAAAGCCCCTGGGAAGGCAGGCAGGGGGGACAAAGACTTTTGCCCCCCGCCAGCCTTCAGAAGAGGTCCTGGACCTCTTCTGAAGGCTGGCGGGGGCGAAGTCTTGCTCCCCCGCCTTCAAAAGCCCTCCGGGACAGGCAGGCAGGGGGAGCAAAGACTTCGCCCCCGCCCGCCTTCAGAAGGTCTTCCTCCCCCCGCCCGGCTCGGAGCACCGTTCCGAGCCGGGCGGCGGCGGAGGTCTTCCCTCCCCCGCCCGGCTTCGGAGCACCGTCCCGAAGCCGGGCGGCGGCGGAGGTCTTCCCTCCCCACCGCCCGGCTCGGAGCACCGTTCCGAGCCGGGCAGAGGCGGGAGGTCTTCCCTCCCCCCGCCCGGCCCGGAGCACCGTTCCGAAGCCGGGCGGCGGCGGCAGGTGTTCCCTCCCCCCGCCCGGCTCGGAGCACCGTTCCGAGCCGGGCGGCGGCGGCAGGTCTTCCCTCCCCCGCCCGGCCGGGCACCGTTCCGAGCCGGGCGGTGGCGGCAGGTCTTCCCTCCCCCGCCCGGCTCGGAGCACCGTTCCGAGCCGGGCAGAGGCGGGAGGTCTTCCCTCCCCCCGCCCGGCCTCGGAGCACCGTTCCGAGCCGGGCGGCGGCGGCAGGTGTTCCCTCCCCCGCCCGGCCCGGAGCACCGTTCCGAGCCGGGCGGCGGCGGAGGTGTTCCCTCCCCCGCCCGGCTCGGAGCACCGTTCCGAGCCGGGCGGCGGGGAGGTCTTCCTCCCCGCCCGGCCTCGGAGCACCGTTCCGAGCCGGGCGGCGGCGGCAGGTGTTCCCTCCCCCGCCCGGCTCGGAGCACCGTTCCCGGCCGGGCGGCGGCGGCAGGTGTTCCCTCCCCCCGCCCGGCTCGGAGCACCGTTCCGAGCCGGGCGGCGGCGGAGGTGTTCCCTCCCCGCCCGGCTCGGAGCACCGTTCCGAGCCGGGCGGCGGGGAGGTCTTCCCTCCCCCGCCCGGCTTCGGAGCACCGTCCCGAGCCGGGCGGCGGCGGCAGGTGTTCCCTCCCCCGCCCGGCCTCGGAGCACCGTCCGAGCCGGGCGGCGGGGAGGTCTTCCCTCCCCACCGCCCGGCTCGGAGCACCGTTCCGAGCCGGGCGGCGGCGGCAGGTGTTCCCTCCCCCGCCCGGCTTCGGAGCACCGTTCGGCCGGGCAGAGGCGGAGGTCTTCCCTCCCCACCGCCCGGCCGGAGCACCGTTCCGAGCCGGGCAGAGGCGGGAGGTCTTCCCTCCCCGCCCGGCTCGGAGCACCGCCCGAGCCGGGCGGCGGCGGCAGGTGTTCCCTCCCCCGCCCGGCTTCGGAGGAGCCTTCCGAGCCCGGCGGCGGCGGGAGGAGGTGTCCCCGCCCCGCCGCCAGGCTTCGGAGGAGGTCCGAGGACAGTGGGGAAGACGCGCTGCGCTTCCCCGCTGTCCCTGAGATTTCCCTATGGGCTGTCGTCTTGCGAAGCAAGCCCATAGGAAATTGCTTGCGAAGCGCCTCCAAAACGGAAAACCCTTTCGTCTAGCGGGTTTTCCGTCTTGCGAGGCGTTCGTCTTGCGGGGTACCACTGTAGATAACTAGGTACCGCTCCGGCGGGAAGGTAAACAGTGTTTCCGTGCACTGCTCTGGTTCGCCAGAAGCGGCTTAGTTATGCTGGCCACATGACCTGGAAGCTGTGCGCCGGCTCCCTTGGCCAGTAAAGCGAGATGAGTGCCGCAACCCCAGAGTCAGTCACAACTGGACCTAATGGTCAGGGGTCCTTTTACCTTTACCTTTAAGACGTACAAGACCATAAGACCGCACCTAGTTTTTGGAGGAGGAAAACATGAAAAAAAATATTCTGAATCCCAGAAGCCAGAACAGCAACAGGGATCGTTGCGCAGCGATCCCCCTTGCTGTTCTGGCTTCAGCGAAAGCAACGCAAAGCCTCTTCAGGGCAGCGGGAGGAAGGCTCCCCCTGTCCTGAAGAGGATTCGCATGGCTATCCCAGAAGCCAGAACAGCAAGAAGGATCGCTGCGCAGTGCTCCCTCTCCCTGTTCTGGCTTCTGGCTTAGCCGCGCAGCCTGCATTCGCTCCATAACACACACACACATTTCCCCTTACTTTTTAGGAGGGAAAAAGTGTGTCTTATAGAGCGAAAAATACGGTATATTCATGCATATATATTTTTTTACCATAAGGCTCTGAACTTTGCATTTGGAGAAGATGCAGAGGAAGAAAAGGACAGTAAGCAGGAAGGGCAAGCAGCTGTTAGCAAGGAGAAACAAAGCCAGAGAAAATCAAAGCAGGACCCCCCCTCCATTTTTAATTATTTTGGGAAGCAGAGCTTCAAGCAGGTGGAATCACACAGACATCTGCAAGGCAGTAGTCGCCAACATCTCACACTCCTGACAATGTTTTTCAAACTTTTTAACACTTTGTAAACTCCTCCTCCTTTTTGATTTTCACCCAAGGAGCTCTGGAAACCTCCCATGGGATCCCTGAAATTCAGGCCACAGAATACATCACGAGTCCCAAACAGACGCCCTCCAGATTGTTTGGACTGCAAGAGCACTCTTGAACATAAGGACATAGAAAAGGGCCAATAGCCCATCCAGTCTATCCTGGTATGCCCCGCTGAGGACCTTAAGGTCCACAAATGACAACACTTTGGAGGTCCCAAGTCACAAGGTGGTTAGGTTGGTCTCAACTAAGGCCAGGGCCTTTTCAGCACTGGCCCCGACGTGGTGGAACGCTCTGTCACAAGAGACCAGGGCCCTGCGGGACTTGACATCTTTCCACGGGGCCTGCAAGACGGAGCTTTTCCACCTGGCCTTTGGTTTGGACTCGGTCTGGCCCTTATGTTTCCCTCCCCTTATGGTTTTGACTTTCAAACTGCGGCTGCATTTTAAATTGCATTTTAACCTGTATTTTAAATTGTTTTTTTTCTTTTCCCTACCTTCTTATTATGTTTTTACTGAAATTTTATTGATGTTAGCCACCCTGAGCCCGGCTCTGGCTGGGGAATGCGGGGTATAAATAAAATTTATTATTATTATTATTATTATTATTATTATTATTATTATTATCCAGCATCTTTTTTCTCACAGAGGCCAACCAGATGACTGTTATGGGAAACCAGTGAGCAGAACATGAGCGCAAGAGTCCTCTCCCCTTCTGTGGTTTCCAGCAACTGGTATTCAGAAGCACTGGTGGGAGCAGAGCAGAGCCACAATAGCCCTTTCCTCCATGAATCTGTCTAATCCTCTTTTAAAGACATCTATCACTGCCTCCGTATAGGTCTGTATAGTTAAAGCCATGGTTTTCCCAGTAGTGATGTATGGAAGTGAGAGCTGGACCATCAAGAAGGCTGATTGCCGAAGAATGGATGCTTTTGAATTCTGGTGCTGGAGGAGACTCTTGAGAGTCCCATGGACTGCAAGAAGATCAAACCTATCCATTCTGAAGGAAATCAGCCCTGAGTGCTCCCTGGAAGGACAGATCGTAATACTGAGGCTCCAAGACTTTGGCCGCCTCATGAGAAGAGAAGACTCCCTGGAAAAGACCCTGATGTTGGGGAAGATGGAGGGCACAAGGAGAAGGGGACGACAGAGGACGAGATGGTGGGACAGTGTTCTGGAAGCTACGAACAGGAGTTTGACCAAACTGCGGGAGGCAGTGGAAGACCGGAGTGCCTGGCGTACTCTGGTCCAGGGGGTCACGAAGAGTCGGACACGACTAAATGACTAAACAACTAAACAACAACAACAACATCACTGCCTCCTGTGGCAGGGAGTTCCACGGTTTAACCATGAACTGCACGAACGAGTCCTTTCTTTTATCTACACTACTTGTGGGCTTCTGGGTTGGGGGCCTCTCCCCAGTTGCAAACAGGATACTGGGGCCAGAGGGATCCCTGGTCCCATCCAGTCGGGCTGCTCCTTATGTCCTCAACGTTACTTGACAGCCGCCACGGAACGGCACGCTTAAATCCCAAACCGCTGCAAGCAATTATTACGTCTGAGAGCATTGCGCAAGGGAGGGAGCTGGCGTGAATGGAGATTCCAGAAATGTATTTTATCCTGGATGAGCCAGAACGATGACAGAATGTGTTTTAAATGGAACGAAGGAAAAACAAATGTCACATAAATAGGAACTGAGAGAGGATGTAGAGGGCAAAGGGTCCTTATCCCTAGCTTCAGACACACACTCGCTTTTTCTCTCTCTGTCGTGGGATGGTGGGCAAGGATGGCTTCAGATTTGAGCAAGTCACCCTCCCTGCCCCTTTTCCCCACTGAGTCTCCCTTGGGGATGGGGAACTGGTTCCTTATCAGGGACTAACAGCCTCTTGGTGGTGCCTGACAGATATTCAGGAACACTTTATATGTGTTGTTGTTGTTGCTGTTAAATTTGTATGCCGCCCTATACCCGCAGGCCTCAGGATACAAATTACAACATAAAAACACAAAATACATAATAAAAATAAAAACAGAAACCTTCCAATTGTCAGGAGCTCATCCTATACTCGAGTAGGACCCTGGCAGAGACACATACCTGACTGGCATGTTCCCGCCCTCCTGGTCAATCGTTCGGGAGCTTCAAAACCTTTCTTCTGCCCGAACATCACAGCGACCGATGCCAACCGACACCAGCACACTTAGGGATCCACAGAGTTTGTGCATCATGTGTAACAGACCTCAGCAACTCAGCATTTTGGCTAATCTACTTTATTTACATATAAACCCACACGGAGCACTGCAACATCAGATAGCAAAGAGAAAAAGAACAAAGGACAATAGTCCCACTTCACAGAACACAGTAACACAAACATCCTGTCTCCGTCACTTCCCACTCTGTGGAGTCAAAACATACACCGTCACGTGAAAGACAACAATCCCATGACTGCAATCATGGAGCAGGAATTCTAACACCAATAACCCCCTCAAACACATTTTAAAAGGGCCTTGGAGGACAATCAACCAAAGGTCTGGTGCAAACCTGCAGAAAAAATGTCTGTTGGACCATAGACCATCCTCTCCTAGCCAGATGTTTTGGAGCACAACTGCTTATGTCAATGGGAGCAGTGCTCTCGCTACTTGTGAATCTCAGCAGCTGGGATACAAACGGGGCTAAAGAAGATTTACACTGATACAGGCATGCAGGTGCCTATTTTTTCAGTGTTTTGGAAAACGCAAACGTCAAGAGTTCACAAGCAACATGGAAACATAGCAGAGGAAGAGGTGCAAAGAAATGAACGGTGTGGCAAACAATATATCCTTTAACTCCGGAATAATCTGTGCAATCTGTGTAAATGGGAATTAAAGAGAACGGGTCAGTAATGCAGACTGAAATTTTGAAGCAAAAAAAAGGAATGAAATGTGGGGTTGGGTGAACCTACTCATCCCCAGCCAAGACCAACTGCTACATTTTGTGTGACAGCAGCTACGCTTTGGAACTCCCTGCCACTTGATATCAGAAAGGTGCCTTCGCTGTACTCTTTTTGGCACATGCCTTACCCAGATTATTAGAATGTTGATGTGAGTTTTAATCTGGTTTTGGTCCGTTGTTATTTTAACTTTCCAAATACCTTAAATTATTGTTGTCAATGATTCTTACTTATTGTTTTAGCTTTCTTGCAAACCACTTGGAAGCTTCCTCCTCCTCCTCCTCCTCCTCCTCCTCTTTCTTTTCTTTTGCAATTCAGTGGTGTAAAATTTTTATGAAATGAATGAACAAGAGCCAATGACGCTCACCTTCACAAAGTCATATTCGCAAAGGTAGGACGATTCGAGATCAAAATGCATGAAATAGAGCTTGACCCGAAAGCCGTCCGGCACCGATATGTTCCAAGTCACTTCCGAATCGCTGGGGTAGGAGTCTGGATAATTTGGAGACTGGATCTCCCCAAACATGTCAGTCAGTTCAATGGTGTCTGCTTTGACGAGGTGGAAAGCACAAAGGGACCAGACCAAGAAGTACCTGCAGGAGAGACAAAGAGAGAGCATGATGACTACCAATGGATTCAAATGACAGGAAAGGAGATGATGATGATGATGATGGTGATGATAATAATAATAATAATAATAATAATAATAATATATTATTTATACCCTGCCCATCTGGCTGGGTTTCCCCAGGCACTCTAGGCAGCTTTCAACAGAATATTAAAATACAGTGGTACCTCAGGTTACAGACGCTTCAGGTTACACATGCTTCAGGTTACAGACTCCGCTAACCCAGAAATAGTGCTTCAGGTTAAGAACTTTGCTTCAGGATGAGAACAGAAATCGTGCTCTGGGGGCGCGGCAGCAGCAGGAGGCCCCATTAGCTAAAGTGGTGCTTCAGGTTAAGAACAGCTTCAGGTTAAGTACGGATTTCTGGAATGAATAAAGTACTTTACCTGAGGTACCACTGTACAATAACCTATTCAACATTAAAAGCTTCCCTAAACAGGGCTGCTTTCAGATGTCTTCTAAAAGTCTGGTAGTTGTTGTTCTCTTTGACATCTGGTGGGAGGGCATTCCACAGGGCGGGTGCCACTACCAAGAAGGCCCTCTGCCTGGTTCCCTGTAACTTGGCTTCTCGCAGGAGCTGGACCTCAGTGTCTGAGCAGAACAATGGGGATGGAGACGCTCCTTCAGGTATACTGGGCCTTTGAGGCCGTTTAGGGCTTTAAAGGTCAGCACCAACACTTTGAATTGTGCTCGGAAACGTACTGGGAGCCAATGTAGGTCTTTCAAGACCGGTGTTATATGGTCTCGGTGGCCACTCCCAGCCACCATTAAACATCAGGAACAACTCTCTGATGCTAACGGTTGTTCGACAGGGGAACGGACTCCCTCAGAAGGTGGTGGACTCCCCTTCATTTGAGTTTTTAAGCAGAGGTTGGAGGGTCATTTGTTGGGGATGCTTTCGCTGTGATTCCTACATTTCAGGGGGTTGGACTAGAAGACCTTTAGAGTCCCAGCCAACTCTAGAAGTCTATGATTCTATGATTCCCTAGGTAGCACCCTCCCAACCCCTATCCCAGTGCCGGATTTACGTATAAGCTATAGCTTAGGGCCCCACTCGCTTGCCCCCCCCAAATTAAAGGAAATAAACCTGGATGTACATTTCCAAAATATAAGATAAAAAACAAATAAAATAAAACCTACATACAGCAACAGTGTTTTGTGTTGTGTGGGCTCCTTTTTTATTTTTTATTGATACAGCAAGAAAAGAAAAAAGAAAACACAAATACCAAATTACACACAGGAATAACAATAGATACTGAATTTTCTTAATAAACAATAAGACACAAATTGGTCTTAACACTAAAGACCCAACCTCCCGTCTATTCCATATTTTGATTTATAACTTATTGCCAGTACACACTTTTATCATTATTAATCCTTTTCTTAATATATCTTAATTCTTATATCTGCCTTGCAACTATTACGGAAGTCCCTCGAATGCTGCAACCGAATTTAAATTACTATATTTATATTTCAAATATTCTTTGAAAACCTCCCATTTTGAAACAAATTCCTGCTTTGATTTATTCTTTATTTTTTCTGATAGACCATCTAATTCTGCATATTCTGTCAGCTTTTGGATCCAATCTTGTATAGAGGGAATTTCATTACTCTTCCATGGAAATGGAAATTGAAGAATAGTGTTGTGTAGGCTCCTATGATGTAAGTCATGGGCCCCGCCTGCTCACCTGCTCCCTAAAATATCCCTGGTTTGCTCATTTCTATATATAGGGTGCCTACATTGTGCATGGACTGGTTGCAGGGCAACATGGGCAAATGACTTTAGATACCTATGAGGTCCATCAACTACCATATAGCATATATTCAACACAAAAACCAGTGACAATTGTTGTTGGCAGAGGACAGCTGGACATATAAAGGGCCCCATTACCTTCAGGAGCTTAGGGCCTCATCAAACCTAAATCCGACCCTGCCCCACCCCCACACATTCAAACCTACCTACACCGAGAGAAAGCTTGACCTTAGATCCCAGAAAAGCCCAACATGGGTGCTTCTGGAGAACAAGAATGTGTCCTTTAGTGGTTTACATGCATCTTCTGGAAATTTGCTAGCCAAGTTGAAATTTGTGGCTGCCAGCAGCCGCCCCCCCACCTAGTTTCTCACAAAAAGAGAGAGGAGACTAGTGCCTTTACATTTTGCCTCATATCTCAGTTCTTCAAAAGCTAGAAATTTACTCTTTTTAAATCTGGCAATCTGGAGATTGAGATTCATCTCCCTCTGTGTGGATGCCTATGCTTTGAAAGCTTGTTCAGGCTGAAAACAGAAATTGATGAACTGATAAGTAACACAAACAGGAGGGACTTGGGCCGGCCCACCCATGAGGCAAGGTGAGGCAACCGCCTCAGGTGGCAGGATCCACAGGGGCAGTCGACCCCAATGTCGATCTTCATTCCCCTCCTTCTTCCTGAAGTAAATCTCCACTCGCCTCTTCTTCCCTGTTGGGGAGGGGGCACCATTTTGTGGTTCGCCTCAGGTGCCAAAAGGTCTTGGGCTGGCCCTGGACTTGGGTACTTGCAGGAGGGATTTGTGGGGCTAGGAAAACAACTGGATCACTGAGGGTTTGGGAGCCACGAGGCAGTGACATGCTGATGATCCAAGGAATTCATTGCAGGGTTCTGGGGTTTGATGCTCTGAACTGGTATATATAGTGTGCATGTGAAGAGATTTTAATTGGCTGATCTGGCACCCAGTTCAAAACAAGGACAGCTAATGAGGCTGAGCTGGAGCATGGGTCTCTTTTCCTCCAGATGAGTTGAGGTTTCTAGCAAGTAGGCTTCTGAGAGTCCCCATCTGACCACAGAAGCTGCAAGCCAAAGGAAAAATCTGCTCAGAATATATGGACAGGGACGTCCTCTAATGCCTCTCCCTCCCTCTCTCTCTCTCTCTCTCTGCTCCCTCCCTCCCTATCTCAAAGGCTACAACATGATGGAAAAGCCTTCTGAAGACAAAATTGGACCATCACAGCAACCCTGTATGCAAGAAGCTGGCATGAAGCAAGCTGGCGTAAGTTAACTTAACACCAGATCCAAACCCCAACCAGGAAGGAGCACAGCTACAGCCAACTTAGCTGGCGCAATCCTGTCAGAACAAGAGGCGCCATGACAGATATTTATAAAAATGATGCGCAGCATGGAGAAAGTAGAGAGAGAGAAATGTTTTCCTCCCTTTCCCCGAATGCTAGAACTCATGGCCAGCCAATGAAACGGAAAGCTGGAAGGGTCAAGTCAGACAAAAGAACGTATTCACGCCGTGTGGTTAAACTACGGAACTCCCTGCCACAGCGATGGCCAACTCAGATGGCTTTAAAAGGGGATTAGAGAAATTCATGGAGGAGGAGAGGGCTATGGATGGCTGGGAGCAACGATGACTATGCTCTTCACCCACAACTGGAGGCAGGAATGGTTCTGTATCCCACTTGCTGGAAACCACAGGAGGGGAGAGTTGCTCTTGTGCTCGGATCCTGCTTCTAGGCTTCTTGGAAGAGGCATCCAGCTGGCCCCTGTGAAAACAGGATGCTGGACTAGATGGACCACTGGCCTGATCCAGCGGGCTCTCTTTATTTTCAGAGGGATAACAAACTCTTTAAAATAAAGGTTGACTTAGACTACCGTTTTTACAGTGGTGCTGTGGTCTAAACCACAGAGCCTAGGGCTTGCCAATCAGAAGGTCGGCGGTTCGAATCCCCACGATGGGGTGAGCTCCCATTGCTCGGTCCCTGCTCCTCCTAATCTAGCAGTTCGAAAGCAGGTCAAAGTGCAAGTAGATAAATAGGTACCACTCCGGCGGGAAGGTAAACGGCGTTTCCGTGCGCTGCTCTGCCAGAAGTGGCTTAGTCATGCTGGCCACATGACCCGGAAAAACTGTCAGATCCCTCGACCTGTAACGCCAGATCCCTTGACCTGTAAAGCGAGATGAGCGCCGCAACCCCAGAGTCGTTTGCGACTGGACTTAACTGTCAGGGGTCCCTTTACTGTTTTTACCATGTCATGTGACTGAGCTGAATAGAGTTAGGATCCAGATTAAGTCTCCCCTGCCTAGTCCCACCCCACTCCCAGAATACAGTGGTACCTTGGGTTACAGACGCTTCAGGTTACAGACTCTGCTAACCCAGAAAGAGTACCTTGGGTTAAGAACTTTGCTTCAGGATGAGAACAGAAATCGCACAGCAGCGGGAGGCCCCATTAGCTAAAGTGGTGCTTTAGATTAAGAACAGTTTCAGGTTAAGTACGGACCTCTGGAATGAATTAAGTTCTTAACCCGAGGTACCACTGTACTGCCTTTTGGGGATTTATGCTTGGCCTCAGCTCAGATGGGATGGGCAAATTATGCCAGCATACAGTGGTACCTTGGGTTACATACACTTCAGGTTACAGACTCCACTAACCCAGAAATATTACCTTGGGTTGAGAACTTTGCTTCAGGATGAGAACAGAAATTGTGCTCCGGCAGCTCGGCAGCAGCGGAAGGCCCCATTAGCTAAAGTGGTGCTTCAGGTTAAGAACAGACCTCCGGAATGAATTAAGTACTTAACCCGAGGTACCACTGTATCTTCAATTTAGCTGGAGTTGGGGAATGAACACTGGTTGAGCTGGGATGCCCAGTGGAACCCACCATTGGATTGCTCCCTTGCCCTATTCTCCCTATGAATAATATTTCTAATACATATGTTTAACACGTATCCATATACGCCTTTTAAGTGGATTTTTTTAAATATCCTAGCCAGCATCTGTAGCAGATTTGAAACCATTTCTATATGTTTTTATTGTTGACGCTTTTATGGATGCTTTCATGACGTTTTTATTCTTAATCGCTTCGGGATGTTCCACAGGATACGATTCATAGATGAAGCAAAATAAATATTACATAGGACTTTTTGGCACGTTATAAAGTAAACTGTTGACTGTGTGGATAATATTTCTAGTATACTTACAAAAGTTTGTGGTGGGGGTTTGTATGATTTGCCTGCCACTGAAAAGGCAGTAATGTAGAGAAGCATCTCTGGGGGCTGATTTTTTAGATCTATTATATTTCTACGTCACTTTTAATTCCAATGAATCCCGATGCGGCTTACGAACAATAAGTAAGAATAACACGATGGAACGTAATAAAGAATCACAAATTTAGCATGAACCGTATGGAATAATTAACATAATCACCAGCGAAACAATTACAATCTATAAGGCACTGTTAACAAGTCCTGTATACCTGAAGGAGCATCTCCACCTCCATCGTCCATCCCAGACACTGAGGTCCAGCTCCGAGGGCCTTCTGGCGGTTCCCTCCCTGCAAGAAGTGAGGTTACAGGGAACCAGGCAGAGGGCCTTCTCGGTGGTGGCGCCCGCCCTGTGGAATGCCCTCCCTTCAGATGTGAAGGAAATAAGCAACTATCTTATTTTTTAAAGACATCTGAAGGAAGCCCTGTTTAGGGAAGTTTTTAATATTTAATGCTGTATTGTTTTTAACACTTGATTGGGAGCCACCCAGAGTGGCTGGGGAAACTCAGCCAGATGGGTGGGGTATAAATATTATTATTATTATTATTACTATTATTATTACAAAGCAACAATGGAAAAATAAGCGGAATATCACAATGAAAGCAAAAGTCATATTATATAATTGGCAAAACAATACAGCATTTATAATTTGTAAAATAGTAACTGCATTAACAAAACAGCAACCAGAAAACAACTTACTGCTGCTCCGTTCCTACACAAACTCTCCAATGATCTTTCTGCCATTGGATCCTGATTGCCAACAGAACTTCAATGACGGCACAAATGTTGCCACCGTGTGAAGAAACCAGAGGCCTTTCTCCTGGGCATAGTCGGCCAATTGGTGCCAAATAATAATAATAATAATAATAATAAATTTTATTTATATCCCGCCCTCCCCAGCCGAAGCCGGGCTCAGGGCGGCTAACAACAATAAAACAGTACAAAAGTACAGCATAAACAACAGTCTAAAATCATTCGTTATAAAATTAATTAATTCAAGCCACTGGCAACCATTGGGCCAGAGCTCCGCGAAGATTGCCGAGGGAGGGAGTCAGGCTGTGCCCTGGCCAAAGGCCTGGTGGAACAGCTCTGTCTTGCAGGCCCTGCGGAAAGATGTCAAGTCCCGCAGGGCCCTAGTCTCTTGTGACAGAGTGTTCCACCAGATCGGAGCCACAGCCGAAAAAGCCCTGGCTCTAGTTGAGGCCAGCCTAACTTCTCTGGGGCCTGGGACCTTCAAGATGTTTTTATTCGAAGACCGTAAGTTTCTCTGTGGGGCATACCAGGAGAGGCGGTCCCGTAGGTACGAGGATAGAATTTTTTTCATGTATGCCACAACAGCAGCAAGAATACTTATTGCAAAGTACTGGAAGACACAAGATCTACCCACCTTGGAAGAATGGCAGATGAAGGTGATGGACTATGTGGAACTGGCGGAAATGACTGGCAGAATCCGAGACCAGGGAGAAGAGTCGGTGGAAGAAGATTGGAAGAAATTTAAAGACTATTTACAGAAATATTGCAAAATTAATGAATGTTAGAATGATGTTGGATTGAAGTTAAGTGGTTTTTAGCAGTAATGTTATAAAGGAATATGAAAAAATGGATTGTTAACAGGTGGTAATTTAAAGCTACAATATATTAAGAATAAAGATCAGGATAAAACGAAGAGGGAAAGGATTTGCTGAACCAATAAATTGAACTGGAATACAAAAAAGGGAGGTGTGAGGAGGTCCGGGAAACAAGCAAATGAAAGATAAGATATGGAAAGATCGAATTGTTTTTAACTATTTTTATTTTGTATTTTGTATTTTCTATTTTTTCTTTTTCCTTTTTGTAATGCTTTGAAAACTTTAATAAATATTTTTTCACAAATGTTGCCACCGTGGCTCCCTCTCATCCCTACAAATGTGTAAATTGGCAGGGGCTCCCTCTCTCTCTAACCCCTCCCCCGGCTCTTACCCACCTCATCTCAGATGATAAGGCCAGCTTGATAAGGACCTCTGGACGGGAATAATAGGACCATAGAATTGTGGATTTGAGGTAAAAAAGGTAAAGGACTCTGGACAGTTAAGTCCAGTCAAAGGCGACTCTGGGGTTGTGGCGCTCATCTCATTTTCAGGCCAAGGGAGCCGGCGTTTGTCCACAGACAGCTTTCTGGGTCATGTGGCCAGCAGGACTAAACCGCTTCTAGGTGCAACAGAACACCGTGACAGAAACCAGAGTGCACAGAAACGCCATTTACCTTCCCATTGCAGCAGTACCTATTTACAGTGGTACCTCGGGTTAAGTACTTAATTCGTTCCAGAGGTCCGTTCTTAACCTGAAACTGTTCTTAACCTGAGGCACCACTTTAGCTAATGGGGCCTCCCACTGCTGCCGTGCCGCCGGAGCACGATTTCTGTTCTCATCCTGAAGCAAAGTTCTTAACCCAAGGTACAGGTTAAGGTTAAGAACAGTTTCAGGTTAAGAACGGATCTCCGGAACAAATTAAGTACTTAACCCGAGGTACCACTGTATGTGAAACCTTAAATCTTGCAACCCTCCCTGTACTTTGCTGCTCTCTTGATATTGGGTGGCAGTCAGGTACGTTTACTCAAAGTAGACCCACAAAATGAACATGACAAGCATGGGATTTTTGTTGGGGGGGGCAGGCCTTTTTTGGGGGGGGGGAGGCAGAACCTCAGTTATCCATGTATTTTTATTGATTTTGGATTATGACAATGCTGTACACACATTATACTTTCAGAGCACATTCATTCCATCAAAGTAGTCTGGGCCGCTGTCACAGTTGTTCTTCCATGCAGCAACCCCTTCACAAACTACAGTGCCCACGATTCTTTGAGGGGAGAAATTGTCCTTTAAATTTACAGTGTATACACAGTCTGCGTTAGATCCATTAATTTTAATATGTTTACTCTGAGTGGAACTTAGTTGAACCCTTAGGCTTGAGCGGGCACTCTTTGTTTTGTTAACCCCAAGAGAAGCAGAGGGTTTTGTGTTAAAATGTGGGGCGCAGCTTGAGCGTGCCTTAAACAGGAGGTTAGGAACAGGGAGCCTTCCTTCTCCACCCCTCCCTCCCTCCCTCCCTCCCCCTCCTCTTCTTCTTTAAAAAAAAAGGGGAGGGGGTTCATTCCTGCCAAGGTTGGCCTTTTCTGTTTCAAAAGTTTCGCTCCAGTTTAAATCCAGCTGCGATTTCAGGGGGAATGGGTGCATTCTAGTGCCAGGAAACTCAAGGGAACCTCGAATCAGATCAGGGCAGGTATCAACTTTTTCTGGCTTGTTTTCTCCCTGGTTTCTGTCTGGGACAGCGAGAGATCCAAACCTAAGAGGACCTTCCAGACAGAAGGCTGCTCCGGCAAGCAAGAGACTGTTTTGTTCCAGTTCCAGTTCCACATCTTAAACCAGGAATGCTTTTAAAAAATGTGACGACGAACCCCACATGGTTCAGAAAGCACGAGGCACAGTTCAGTTTAAAACCCCACAAGCACGCATCCACGCCAGCAACAACACCCCCGTGTGTGGCGTTTCCAGTGGAACCACATAGAATCCTAGAATGGGACCCAGAGTGTCAATCTAGTCTAACCCCTGCCCGGTGTCACTTGTGAAAGCTGGCACCCGTCTGTCTCCAGATAAAGCGCCTCAAGAAATATTGGGAGCCAACGAGTGCCAGAATTAAACCTTTTCCTTTCCCAGAAACAGGAATCTTCTCTCTGCCCTTGCTTGCAAGAGTGCAATAGAAGAAATGGTGGTGGTGGATAACCATGGTCGGTGCCGGATGTGGGGGACAAGCACCCCCAAACAAGGAGCTCGCCCCCATTTGCCTCTTCCCCCAATTTTCCTGCTATTAATAGATATTGTTCTCTTTCTCTCAGGGTCCTAAAGATGCGGGACACAGCTCGCCCGCCTAGAAATAGACTTCGCCCCTTCTGTGCCACCCCCCCCAAAGGGAAGATTTTTTTCTCTGGTGCCCCACTGCCCTTGCCAGCCCTCCATGACACCCCTTTCCCCTCGGGTTGGGCCGTAGCTCAGGGACGGAGGAGCGCGCAGAAGGTCCCCGGGGTTCAGTCCCCAATGGCATCGCCAGCTCTCTGCCTGAGATCCTGGACAGCCGCTGCCAGTCAGTGCAGACGCTACAGGCTAGGCGGAGGCAATGATCTGACTCAGGAAGAAAAACAGCTTTGGATGTCCCCGTCCCCCCCGACAGCAACTCACCTCATTTTTCCTGCGAGCTCCGCTGGTCCTGATTACTTTTGATCCCTTTTGGAGAGGCGGTTTTGTTTGTTGACACCGTGTTATTTTGCGCGCTGTCCCCAAACCTTCAGCTGCCGGGCTTATCTTCGCTCAGAGATTTGTGTGTGAAAGACAGAGCGAGGAAGAGAATGCCTCTCTCTCTCTGAGGTCCTTTGGCATTCTCCATGCTGGTCACGCCTTCCCCTCTCTGCAAAAGTCTCGCTCTCTCTCTCCCCCTCGCTCTCCAGACGCACACAGACCTGCCAGGGCCAGATCTATCTCCCTTCGCCCAGCCTCTAATGAGGATGTCTCAATCGCCCGCCGCCACCGCCGCCGCGCAGAAGCGCAACTTCGGCATCCGTCTTTCTCAAAGCAGCGCAGCCAGAAATCCGTTCCCCGCTGCTTTCCTTCTTTTCTCCCCAGATGGCTCCGGAGAGGGGGGAAAAACATACACACAACAGTTGCTTCTCAACAGGGCAGGAGAAGCTCTCGCAAAAAGAAACGGAGCCCAGGAGAAACCTGCTCAGGATTTCTGTTCGTTCGTTTTTTAATCATTTTATTAAAGTTTTATTACTGTATTACAATTCCCCACCCCCCAAAAAAACCTATTCTCTCTCAAACGTCCCCGTTTCTCGAGAAGAAAAAGAAAGCAAATGAAATAGATTGTGCTGGAAAATTGGAGGAAGGGATAATATAGCAATTTTTTTAAAAAAATACTGCCCTGACATCATTCACATTGTCATTCCAGAAACGTAAAAGTAAGGCCCACCTCAAGAAATCTGCTTTCTTGGTTATTATGGATTGCATTTTTCTTATATGTAAGTGTTATCATGAAATAGTTTGGATTCAAATTACGAGAAAGGAGATTCCGACTAAACATCAGGAAGAACTTTCTGACTGCGTTGGAAGGTGGTGGAGTCTCATTCACTGGAGATTTTGAGGCAGAGGTTTGATGGCCATTTGTCAGGGATTCTTCAGCTGCGATTCCTGCATTCCAGGGGGTTGGACTAGATGACCCCAGGGGTCCCCTCCAACTCCACAATTCAGAAGAGAATTTGAAGGATGACAAACTAGCAGTCCAGGGGCCAAATCTGCCCCCCAGGGCCCCACCACATTTTTAATTACAACATAATTCAAAAGTTTTCATTGAATTTAAATTATTTTAAAAGTTTCATGGAGGAGAGGGCTATTGATGGCCAGTGGCCAGGGTGGTTCTGCTCTGTCTCTACAGCTGGAAGCAGTGATTCTTCTGGAAACCAGTTTCTGGAAACCACAGGAAGGGAGAGTTGCTCTTGTGCTCGGATCCTGCTTGTAGGTTTTCCAATAGAGGCACCTGGTTGTCCACTGCCAGAACAGGATGCTGGACTAGATGGGCCAGTGGTCAGATCCAGCACACTCTTCTTATGTTTTCTGAAGGCTGGAAGCAGGGGTGGATTTTGACAATCTTTCGTAACATGGCACCTGTGCAAGCCCAGAATTTGGTGCCCCAAATGGATCTTCTCAGCTATGGATCTTCTCCATTTTGTCCCACCTTGGCTCAGCACCCTGTGTCAGGGAATCACCTGCACTGCCCTAAATCCAGTGCTGCTGTAAACTGTACCTCTGTCAGAATATCACAAGGACTCACTTCTGAATGCTGATGCCACCTGCAGGTTGCTGATAGAGGGAGAAAGAGGAAGGCGTTGAATTGTGGATTGCTTTCACCCCAGAAGGGTGCAGGATTATTTTTTTGCACCAACCAACCACACAATGTTGTTGGCATCTGAATACCAGCCCATAATTTCCCCCTCCCACTTTAATCTGGATTTAGAATTTCTGAGTTTTATTTTTTTTAAACACACACACACACACACACACACACACACAAATCATTTTTACATCTGAAATTGCACAATGGTTTTCATTGCTGGTTTTTTTTAATTGTGAAAACACTTTGAGATAATGGAAATCGATAGGGAGTCACCCGTCCCTGCCAAACATGGCTGGCAATAAACAGAACTGAAATAAAAAATATATAAAGTGTCCCTGCGTGGTTCAAAAAACAGGCAGGAATGCAGCCTGTGTGAGTTGCAGGGGGGCAGGCGATTGGAGACAGTTCTGGGTGTTGTCTCTCCTGGCAAAGCCATTCTTTAGAGTCTTTAGAAGAAGAAGAAAATTAATAGCTGTTTATGCACTCCGCATTGTCCTCCTGAGTCAGCCTGGAAGAAAAAGAGGGGGTGTTGGCACAACTCCCTCCAAACAACATGTTTGCTGCGCTTCCCTTGGACACCAGATCTTTCCTGGAATGGGTTTGCTTCAGCTGAAAAGCACCTAGTTAAACACCCGTCCTCAGACTGAAAAGAACTTCTGTGAAATGCCTCTGGTCCATTTTCAAATGAACAATGTTCCACCTCCGCAGTTGGAGACGGCGTGTCCCTGAATGCCACTAGCTTGGAGAAGGTGCCGCTGTGGTCTAAACCGCGGAGCCTCTTGGGCTTGCCGATCAGAAGGTCGGCGGTTCGAATCCCCACGGCGGAGTCAGCTCCCATTGCTCTGTCCCAGCTCCTGCCAACCTAGCAGTTCGAAAGCACGCCAGTGCAAGTAGATAGATAGGTACCACTGCGGCAGGAAGGTAAATGGCATTGCCGTATGCTCTGGTTTCCGTCACGGTGTCCGTTGCACCAGAAGCGGTTTAGTCATGCTGGCCACATAACAACAACAACAATTTATTATTTATAACCTGCCCATCTGGCTGGGTTTCCCCAACCACTCTGGGCGGCTTCCAACAAAATATTAAAAATACAATAAAACATGAAACATGAAAAACCTCCCTGTACAGGGCTGCCTTCAGGTATCTTCTAAAAGTCAGATAGTTGTTTATTTCCTTGACATCTGATGGGAAGGCGCTCCATAGGGTGGGCGCCACTACCGAGAAGGCCCTCTGCCTGGTTCCCTGTAACTTTGCTTCTCACAGGGAGGGAACCACCAGAAGGCCTTTGGAGCTGGACCTCAGTGTCCGGGCAAAACGACGGGAGTGGAGACGCCCCTGGTGGAGGAAGAGGAGTGTGGGGGGGAGCCTGCGCTGGGTGCCACGCCCCTGAAAGTGGCGTGCCATGCCCCCAGGACGCACGCCATGCCCCCGGGATGTGTGCCAGCCTGCTCTCCGCCCCCCTGTGCCGGAGCATGAAGCTCTGCCACTGGGAGACGCACCTTCAGGTATACTGTTCTGAGGCCATTTAGGGCCTTAAAGGTCAGCACCAACATTTTGAATTGTACGCGGAAACATACATGACCCGGAAAGTTGTCTGTGGACAAATGCCAGCTCCCTCGGCCTGAATTGAGATGAGCACCACATCCCATAGGTGCCTTTGACTGGACTGAACCGTCCAGGGGTCCTTTGCCCTTACCTTTTACCTGCTTTGGGGCTTCTGGTTAGGGCCTGACCACTGTGAGAACAGGAAGCTAGAGTACAGGGTGGTGTAGTGGTTAAGAGTGGTAGTCTCGTAATCTGGGGAACCGGGTTCGCTTCCCCACTCCTCCACATGCAGCTGCTGGGTGACCTTGGGCCAGTCACACTTCTTTGAAGTCTCTCAGCCACACTCACCTCACAGAGTGTTTGCTGTGGGGGAGGAAGGGAAAGGAGAATGTTAGCCGCTTTGAGACTCCTTAAAGGGAGTGAAAGGCGGGATATCAAATCCAAACTCTTCTTCTTCTTCTACATGGGTCATTGGCTTGATCCAACAGACTCTGCTTATGTGATCAGAGAGGGAACAAGCTGTGGGCTAGTTGAATGGAAGAAGCATCTTGAGGGCAGGATATTTCCCTCTGGGGGTCACATGTTGGCTGGGAGGTCTGCTGCAGCCTGTTTGCCTCCACTTAGGCTCTGCTTAGGTATTTGTAAATAAAGCAAATATTACAAAAAAACACCCTGAGATTCTCTAGAGTGCTCTGTCTGATCCAAAGGAAACTGAATCTGGGTCAGGCTGCCCCTGAAGTCTTGAGCCACTCAAGGAAGTGGGGAATGGGGCACAAGAACATTTTGCTCAAAATGAATCATGTAAGCTGCAGGAATTTGGCTATATTCCATCTTTCCTTCAAGGGCAATGCCATAAACATTCATTAAGCAGCAGTTTATCTTGCGGAAATTAAGCATATTTTCTCCTAAGGCTGCTTCCAAACTAGCCATTTTCTCCATGCTGCGACGCCGTAAAATGTTCATCCCTGCATTCCTATAATTTCCCCCATTTGGTTCCCCTCCTCCGCTCAAGCACTTCTTCACGCAGCGCAGAGTTAAGTTATGGAACTCGTTTCCCAAGGAGGCAGTGATTGCCACTGACTTAGATGGCCTTAGAGGAGGATTAGACATATTCTGTGCTATTTCTCTAGAAAAAGAGGTGTTGGAACTCACCATGAACACCCTCCCTCACTCTCTTAGAATGGCAATGGCACCCACCTGAGAGGTACCGGAATTGAGTTGCGGTCAGTGGGGGGAAAAAACCCCCTGGACATATTTATGGAGGAGTGTGGGATGTAATCTACTAGAGCAGTCAAGTACAACACTACCTGTTTTGCTAGAGTGGACATACAAGAGTTGTTGGTCCAGCCAGTGGACCTTAGTATCCTTTCTTTGCATGATCTGCTCCACTTCCCAGTGGGGAGAGTTGCGGTGGACCGCGTGGCCTCCCACTCCCTACCTGGGGTGGTGGACTTTGTCCCCTGTTGCCTGGGGGATCCCAGCCACGTCAGAGCCTGGCCAGCCAATCCGCTGGCTGGGGGGCATGGCCGGGGCTGTTTAAACTGAGGAGCGAGCCGGAAGACTTCCTCTTTGGTTCGCTTCCTCAATCACCCTCCCTCCCTCCCTATTTTGCAGGTTAGGCACTGGCCTTGCTATGGACCTCGGTTGGTCGCCTTGGTTGTCCGAGGGGCCTGGTAGGAATTTTTCCACTTGGCAAATTGGCACTGGCCACTTGGTTTCCGCCTACCTCGTAGCAATCGTCACAACTTTGTTAGGGTTGCGGTTAGGCATTGTTTGACCTTGTGTGGGGGAGGGGAGGTGTGGCCATCACTCCATGCTTAAGGGTATTCCGTTAAAGGAACCCGGGGGTGTTGTTCTAGTCTGAAGCCCGACTGGGGGGCTAGGGCCTTGACACGACCCCAACGGGAACACCAGGGGGAGCTTGAGTTGGTTCACATCGACAGGGCTCCCCCTACCGGTGGCTTACCCTTACTGCACTTGGGCAGGAGTCAGATATAGTCAGGTCCAATCAATGCCTAAGCCAATACCGCTCACATTCTGTAATTCAATAAAGTTGTGGCCAAAATTTGCCCAATAACATAAACCTAATATCTGTGTCCTTGTGTGAGTTATTTCCGACAAGGGGGGGGCTGCAGGGTCTTGACACGCAAGTGGGCGTGACCTTTCCAGACCTAGTAAA